ATTACCAAGTTATATAATAATATCGCCATATTGTTTTTTCTCATGCTGACATAAATGTGAGAAAATTTTATTCAGTTTGTATGTTAATGGAAATTCTTGCTTTGCTTTATCATCACCATTACAAATGATTAATTCGACGCGATCGAAGTCGCTTGTACACGCTAGTTTAATAATAAATAACTAATGATCGTATTTTGTTTCAACAGTAGAATAATGATGATGAATAATGAGCTGAATATGATGATTAAATATACAGGGTGGTCCGAACTGTATTCCGGATGCTTAATAAATAATTTTTCATTTGAAGCAGTGCCTTTACTTATGTACGAAAGCTAGATTTCCTTTTCTAGATGCCTTTTCAATGCTTTCTATCCCTTGGTGGGATAGGACCCAGAGTAGGAGGACTTTATTTTCTTTGACTAATTTGTTCATCTCTTCTAGGCATTCTTTGACCAACTTTGAATTGATGGTTACTGAGTTGATCGCTTTTAATTAACACTTCTAGAAATACTTAGAATTTTGATGACGGTGAGTGAGTCACTGTCGAAGTCAAAGAAGTTTGAGTGGCACTAATCCATTGTCTTTGAATTATTGTTGTTACATTCATATACAAATAAAGTCAGAAGAGACCGCTTCCGACCCAAATTACCAGTAGTGGCTAGCCAGCTAACTTTTAATTCATATAGATATTCCGAGATTTTTCATTCTTGTCTTCCATTATAAGTTTAATGCTACCTAAAATTTAAAATTTGAAGTTTGTAACACTTCTAAAAATACCAAACCAAGTATTTAGGCCGAAAACAAACGGACGACTGTCAAAAATGAATCGTTCTTATTTTTATCAAACGCAATAATTCCTAATAAATAATTACCCAAGCGGCATTTGGACGTCGGGACAACGTTGTGTCACGCGACCAAACGTCGGGGCGCAACGTCGGTACAACCTCGTGCCAACCCTACTCTGCACTAGTTTGGAGAATAATTTTTGGGTCGAAACGACGTTGGATACCGACGTTGGCTAGAAGCCTAATTTAGTACAAACTGCAACGTTGTTTAAAATCCTTATTCACAGAAATACAAAACTAATATGGCGTCTAAGTCGCGTTTTAACCTAAATTGGGATAATTATAGTAAAAATATTATTTTTATGATTTAGTTAGAGACATATGTCAGATGGCAGTAAAGGAATACTAAACAAAAGTATTTAAGTGTGGAGGATGTTTGAAGATCATAATTATTGAAACACTTTAACCGACTCTGTAACTCGTTACCCAAGGCAAAAAAGTTAAACGCAAACAACTTTTCTGATAAATGTATTGTTTCTACTTTGAAAAATACTAATGGGCGTTAAAATTAAAGAAGTTTTAAAAATTTTCTTGAATTTTTTTTTTAGTAAAATGAGAATAATTTATTCGCAGTCGAAAAGATTGTTTCCGCGTGATTTTTAGGGTCAAATATTTCAAGTTAATATATTCAAAAAGCAGGAATTGCTATTTTAGGAACGAAACATTTTCTTATTTAACAACATGGCGGCTTTCACTTTGTTGTTTTGGGAGATTAAGATGGAGTAGTTCGAGTAGTCGAATACTGGACTAATAAAGTCGCAGTTCGGCCTTAACAGGTAGTATACTAGTCGCAAGATTGCCTAATTTAGTCATCCTAGAGTCTAGCTTGTGCCGCCCTCTATAATCTAAATAAACGAGGGAGTGGATAAACTATCGGTAATATATGTACCTTTCTTATGTCCCATTTTAATTAAGTTTTTTTTATAAAAATAAAAACAGTACTGAACTGTCTGACTGAACAGAACAATGAAGTGAAAATTTAAGATTTAAGGTTATGGTTTGGTTGCAAAAAGGTAGTGACTCGACGTCCTACCAACGTAAGAATAAGGAAATCTAAACAACGTTGGAATTAGTAAAACAGACGACGTTTGCATAACGTTGGAATAGGTCCTGAAACTGACGTCGGAAAACTCTATATTGTCCAACGTTGTAACTGCGTTGTCCGAATCACCTAAAGATCACTTAAGCAAAAAAGGTTACAAGACAACGTTCATTCGACGTCGCAGAAGCTTCTACTTTGCTATAGTACTAGTCCAACGTCGGCACAACGTTATAAAAACGTTTAAATTTATTTTAATACCCAAGGTAGGGAGCTAACTATTTTTTGTAACTAATCCAACGTTGTGTTTAGTAAACATGTGGTCGCAAGTCGTGAAAATGCTACTTGGGTAACTACTTTATAAATAAAAGCACACAAAATGTTTTAAACCAAACGACTCGATCCATTAGACTATTTCGATTACTAGAAACCATCCGGCTAATCAGACAGGCAAACAATATCGGCAATTAAAATCGGCGAGGCTGAATAAATATTCCACGGCCTTGTTGATCTTTCGCTCATTTAAGCCCAGATTAAAGGAACAGAGGAACCCTCTAAAAGGATTTTCGACTGGGAATTATATCGTGGAGGGCTGCGAATTGATGTTTGAATTCGCCGCCACCAATGATTTTTGTTAAATATATCTGTTTACCTGTATATATCGATTTGAGCGGATGTTTTGGGATTAGTTTAGATTAATTTCAGAATTATTACGAATTTGTATCTAAATAATAAAATATACAGGGTGTTCCGTACGTAATTATTTTTAGCGAACAGTATTGTACGGCTCTTCTGATGATTTATTAACCGTTTTCTTTGACTTTTCACTTGACTCATTTGAATTTTATTTGAATTTTTGCGCATGTTTGACCTTTTTTAAATTAATTTTATGTTATTTCCTGTTTATTTTATGATTTGTTTTATACAAAGGTTGCAACCCAAGTGGCATTTTCACGACTTGCGACCACATGTTTACTAAACACGACGTTGGATTAGTTACAAACAATAGTTAGCTCCGTACCTTGGGTATTAAAATAAATGTAAACGTTGTTGTAACGTTGTGCCGACGTTGAACTAGCACTACAACAAAGTAAAAGCTTCTGCGACGTCGAATAAACGTTGTCTTGTAACCTTTTTTGCTTAAGTGATCTTTAGGTGATTCGGACAACGTAGTTACAATGTTGGGCAATAAAGAGTTTTCCGACGTCACTTTCAGGACCTATTCCAACGTTATGTAAACGTCGTCTGTTTTACTAATTCCAACGTTGTTTAGATTTCCTTATTCTTACGTTGGTAGGACGTCGAGCCACTACCTTTTTGCAACTATATTGAACTATAACCTCAAATCCTAAATTTTCACTTCATTGTTCTGTTCAGTGCTGTTTTTGTTTTTATAAAAAAAAATAATTAAAATGGGACGTAAGAAAGGTACATATAAAACTAAATTTAAATATACATCGACATATTACCGATACTTTATCCACTCCCTCGTTTATTTAGAATATAGAGGGCGGCACCATCTAGACTCTAGGATGACTAAATTAGGCAATCTTGCGACTAGTATACTACCTGTTAAGGCTGAACTGCGACTTTATTAGTCCAGTATGCGACTACTCGAACTACTCCATCTTAATCTCCAAAATAACAAAGTGAAAGACGCCATGTTGTTGAACAAGAAAATGTTTCGTTCCTAAAATAGCAATTTCTGCTTTTTGAATAGATTAACTTGAAATATTTGACCCTAAACAACACGCGGAAACAATTTTTTCGACTGAGAATAAATTATTCTCATTTTACTAAAAAAAGAAATTCAAGACATTTTTTAAAACTTCTTTAATTTTAAGGCCCATTAGTATTTTTCAAAGTAGAAACAATACATTTATCAATAAGGTTGTTTGCGTTTAACTTTTTTGCCTTGGGTAACGAGTTACAGAGTCGGTTAAAGTGTTTCAATAATTATGATCTTCAAACATTCTCCACACATAAATACTTTTGTTTTGTTTTCCTTTACTGCCATCTGGCATATATGTCTCTAACTAAATCATAAAAATGATATTTTTACTATAATTATTCCAATTTAGGATAAAACGCGACTTAGACGCCATTATTATTATAGTTTTGTATTTCTCTGTTTCAGTTTGTACTAAATTAGGCTGCTAGCCAACGTCGTTTCGACCCAAAAATTATTCTCCAAACCAGTGCAGACTAGGGTTGGCACGAGGTTGTGCCGACGTTGCGCCCCGACGTTTGGTCGCGTGATACAACGTTATCCCGACGTCCAAATGCTGCTTGGGAAGTTTGAAAAGATAGAGATACCTTCAGAAATTGTTACGTGTGCAGCATACCTAAATCGTTCCCAGCCATAAAAAAGGATGAACATATTGTTGCGGACCCGTGTGGACTCGACCTAACCTAACTATATGTCCCGCCATCAGATGACCTTAACATCGCATTAAAGAATAAACACCGTAATGATTCATTCGAACGTTCGAGAAAAAACGAGTTCCACTGGAATGGAGTAGTACATACGAGAACATTCGAAACCTTCTCTATGCACCTAATGATTTATGGATTATTCGAGAAACTCTTTAGCTGTGGGTATAAAATCCGACGGTTGGAGCCTGAAGAGGACAGAAATAAATAGACGAGTACAGTTGTCGCGCTAAATTCAAAATAAATTCTTTCCAGATAAATAGTTATAAATCGTTTGTAAATAGTCCTTTAAGTCTTTTATCGTTACTGTTTTTGTTAATTAGTGTTAAATAAATTGTGACTTTCTATCCACACGGAACCGACGAAAAAACGTAACAATATAATGGAACAGCTTTTCACTAGTAATTAATATACCGGGTGTAAAATTACTTCGTGTTTCACCGGAAATTACTACAACTTTTGATTTTTTAATGGTACTAATGGTATTTTTTTACTTTATTTGATAGAAAATTATATTTTCTGAATAGAATGACATATCACAAATCAATTTTTGATATTTCTTCTTAGAAAAATAACTTTAAATTTCGATCTACAGTATGTCCCAGATTATTATTATCGATTGGCATTCCTTAGCCGTCTTTGACGCCGTTTTTTTTTTCGATTTTCAGGGAAATAAAACTTAATTTATAAAATAGAATATATTAAAATAAAGTTTACATACACTTTTAGATATGGATTCCTTTTTTATACATGTCAAAATAATATAATGTCACGAATAATACTAAAAGAAATAATGACTTTTACTATATTATAAACCAATAAAATAAATGTAGTTCGCTAACTCTAAATGGTAATAACAAAATTTGATACTGAAAAAAAAACATTTATCAGTCTTTATACACAACATTATTGTTATAACAACTAATATACAATATTATTTTATTATACATTTATAAATATATTGTGACAGAAACAAAAACGACGTCACCATAAGCCTAGAAATAAAGCCAGTTCAATCTTTCCCATACCTATTGTCTCAAAAACTTTATATAATTATAACAAAGACTTTAGGGATTCGCATAGTAAAACTTGAACAAAAATTTTATTTGCACGGTTACTATGACGTCGTTTGTTTTTCAATCACAAAAAGTTAATTTATAATTAACAGAGAGTGTAAAATTGACTAAAAAATTTTATCTTATAATTTAATATCAATTTTTAACTAGAATCTTTCACAAAATTGATCATATTATTATACCCAAATTCTTCAATTCTCAAATAATTTTTAAATAAATACCTTACAAATTTAACAAAGTTAACTTTTAAAGATCTTGATTAACTAACTGAGAAAAATAACCTGATTCATTAGCTAATAAGTTATCTGGAGTGTCAAATTCAACTATTTTGCCCTCGTGCATCACTAACACCCGGTCTGAGTCCATGATGGTTTGGACTCTATGAGCAATGGTCAGTACAGTACTTTTCCTGAATGCTGACCGTAAAGTCAGTTGTACTTGTCTGTCAGTCTCCTGATCTACGTTGGCAGTTGCCTCGTCTATACACAGAATCTATCAAAATAATATTTTTTTACTGATAAGTTTATCCCTCACTCAGAGAAATAAGTGAATATAGAAAGCTAAAAATTTACTTACCTTTGCATTATGCAGTACAGCCCTGGCTAAACAGATCAGCTGTTTCTGCCCTACTGAAAAATTGACACCACCTTCATCCACTGAATTGTTTAAACCACCTAAATTCTTTATGGTAGTTTCCAAATTGACTTTGGATAGAGCACTCCATATTTCGTGTTCTGTGAATTCACCCAGTGGATCCAAATTTTCTTTGAGGGTACCGCTGAAGAGGAACGGGTCTTGGGGGATACAAAACAATCTGGATCTAAGAGAAAAAAAAAATGTTATTTGCCCAATAAGAATAATAGTTATTTATTATACAGGGTGTCCCAGAAATAAGTGCAAGTATTTTAATGGGTGGTAGATCTCGATAAAAGAAACATATTTTCCCTTTATTGTTTTTCAAATTAGTTAAAGTTATTTTACTTTGAAAATTTTCAAAAAAAAAAAATATTTTTTACTAAAATTTTGCGAACCACTGGATCTTTTCTGGAGTTTCTTTTTTATAAATCAGACTTTAAAAGCCTGTCTCCAAATCAGATATTTTGATGTGGTAGTTTCACTACTACATAACAGAGGGCGATAAATTTAAAAGAAAACAGTTTTCTACAAACGAAATTTAAAAGAATTTTATGCAGTGTTGCCATTGTGTAATTTATATTGTAATATTTCCTGATAAAGCCTAGCTTGAAATTTGCTACATCATTTAAACATATTAAGAGCTCTTTTTTCAAACGTTTAAGTATTTAACTTGCCATGTTAGTTAGAGTTAAATCTTACGAGCTGAATTAAAATCACTTCCTGACGTTTGATTCTAACTGAATCCTGAATTTTGATTGTAATTCGGCGACAATATAATAAGTATTGTTCTACTATTATGACACCACTTCCTGACGTTCGATTGTGTTCATACTGTATGATCGGGAAAAAACGGCGTATGTCATCGATCGTCTTTTCCCAGCCAACTGGACGCCGTTTTTTTCGGTATCATACGGTATTTGATATATACTTGCGTATTTTTCATGACATTGCAATATTATGGTACCATGAAGCATATCAAGTGATACCGTAATATAGTACCATATTACGATACATGGCGTTCGATTGGGCTTAAACTTGGTATATTACGTATCTTCAGTGACATTGTAATATTATGGTACCATGAAGCCTATCAAGAGGTACCATAATAGTACATAGAGGTACCATATACGATAGAGGTACCATATACGATACCATTTCCTGGCGTGCGATTGGACTTATACTTGGTATAGTAAGTATCTTCGATGACATTGTAATATGATGGTACTATGACGCATATAAAGTGGTACCTTAATATAGTACCATATTACGATACCACTCCCTGACGTTCGATTGGGCTCATATTTGATTATACTTGCGTATTTTTGATGACATTACAATATTATGGTACCATGAAGCATATCAAGGGGTACCATAATGTAGTACCATATTACGATACCATTTCCTGGCGTTCGATTGAGCTTAAACTTTGTATACTACGTATTTTCGGTAACATCGTAATATGATGGCACCATGGAGCAAATAAATTGGTACCTTCTATAGTACCATATTATGATACCACTTTCTGACGTTCATTTGGGCTCATATTTGATATATACTTGCATATTTTTGATGACATTGCAATATTATGGTACCATGAAGCTTATCAAGAGGTACCATAATAGTACCATATACGATACCATTTGCTGGCGTTCGATTGGGCTTAACTTGGTATAGTAAGTATCTTCGGTGACATTGTAATATGATGGTACTATAATGCATCTACTATGATGCATATATAAAGTGGTACCTTAATATAGTACCATATTACGACCACTTCCTGACGTTCGATTGGGCTTATATTTGATTATACTTGCGTATTTTTGATGACATTGCAATATTATGGAAGCATGAAGCATATCAAGGGGTACCATAATGTAGTACCATATTACGATACCATTTCCTGGCGTTCGATTGGGCCCAAATTTGATATACTTGCGTTTCTTTATAAAGATTTGTTTAATTAATAATTTTAATTTATTTTATGAATTTTAATTTATTGTACGATGTCGGTGACAGCAACTTTTATGCTTAAGTAATATATTATTAATTGTACCTGTGTCACTTTTTAAAATCTACCTAGGTCTATATAAATAACGTGGCAAACAGAAAAAAATTGTTATTATAGTATTTTTTAGTCAATTAACATTTTTTGTACTGCATTTTAATAAATCATTTCCATTATTATTAAACGTATATTTCATTACTAACGTTTCAGCATTAATAAATATCACTATCAATCGCCCTGTATATTATTAATTTTAAAGGTAGTTAAAGTTATTTTCTTAGTTAACATAATAAAGTAGTGTATATTAAAAATGTATTTTGAGAGTATATGTTTTCTAATAATATACATAAAATTAAAACTATTTTAAAAGCCAAACGAATAATTAATATAAGTGTATCTGACAAGAAACGAAGAATAGAAAGAAATTATTATACACCAAAAAAAGAATGGGATACCAATTAAAGTCTGTTTGAATCTGGCAACTGTGCATTTTTAGCCGAGCTTCAAGGCCGTCGACGTGCCGTCGATTTACGTCGATCCAAAACCGAAAGTTGAAAATTTCCAATTATATTCTGATTATGATATTGTCGCGCCATCTAGTATTCTATTTGTGCAATTTTAGCTCTTTCATTTCGAGTATTTTTCTGTTGCGTAGCTAGATATTCTGTGCTGTTACTAAACAAAACGACGATCATAATAACGACGAAATTATAAATTATTTATAATCTGCGAATAAATTATTTAAAAATAACTCTTGAAGTTGGCTCGAACCGCAGTAACCACACATAGCGACGTGTTTCTCTCCAGCCGTCCGTCGCGCTAGGGTCGCGATTTCGTCAGTCGCCAACAGTAATAACTGGCACTGGAACTGGTAACTACGTAGCGGTCGCGCGATCTCAACCGCGACGTGTTTCGCTCCAGCCGTCGCGTCGCGCTCCTAGAGTCGTGATTTCTTCGGTCGCGAACGAAAGTAATTGGAACTGGAAACTAGTTACCAACGCTCGACCTCGGACGCGACGTATTTCGTTCCAGCAGTCGCGCGACTGCTGGAGCGCTCCTAGGGCACCGTTTTCGTCTGTCACAATTTGGTGAGTCTGATAAAAATTTTAGTGTATGTAGGTATCGTGAATAATGATTTTAATTATGTTATTTTTTTATTGTTTAAGCTAAAAATTTTCTAAAGCAAACATATTTTAAGAACAAAAGACAGAAAAATGTAATTATCTTACGAAAATATTTTTTTACTTTAAATTTAACGTGGGTCAGTATAAAAAGTATTGAATAGCAATAAATGCATGTATATATTTTAAGTCAATCTATTCGTGCTTTATTTCATTTATGAATTTAACACGGGTAGAGAGATAACGGCAGGTTTGGGAGCAGTGTTGCTAGAACTTCTATTTCCCTCTATTCGCTATAATAAATTTAAAATACAATTTATATCATTACAGACATTTTATTTTTAAAATTTGCAATTTGTGAAAAAAGGTGGCAAAAAAGTCAATAAATCTCAGCAAAATGTTAACAGAGCTGGTACAATTGTAAGAACCTGACAACGCAGGTTGGAAATATATTTTTTTTTGGAACGGTCGCTATTGTAACGCGACTCATGTGGAACAGGTATTCCCGTCACTATTAGGGAGCATATTTTACCTACGCAAGAATGTTTAATTTTTTTAAGTTATTAAAATGCAACTAAAACATATATGTAATACAAAGTTTTATCGAATAAAGCTATTGATACAAACAAAAGCTTGACAAAAGTAAAATTCGAAGCTTGTATCGTAAGAATCCCCAGAGGTTTTTCATGATTTTATTTAAAAGATATCAATAAAAATATTTAGAAATTGCCAGAAATAATTTACTCGGAAAATATACACCACTGGAATTATTCTTAAATCACTGCAATATTTTTCAAATTTAAAGACAATCTCAATAAAACAATTTTTATTAACTAAAAAAAGCAACTGTGTATATTATTTTTCTCTGCTTTTTAAACACACTTTTCTTCTTTTTTTAAACAGAATTCTTTTAATTGCCTCAAAAAGCATAACAAAATAAAAACAAAACCTGCCTTACCTCAAAGCGGATAGAGACACTTTGGCCACGTTCACCGAGTCGATGCATATCTCTCCACCTGAAACGCCAACCAGCCTGAACAGGGCCGCAATAAGGGAGCTCTTGCCGGCCCCTGTACGGCCCACAACTCCGATTTTTTCGCACGGTCTGGTCTCGAAAGATATCCCCATCAAAGAGGGCGCCAAGTGCTCCCTGAAACAGGAAAAAACGAGGATTCAGTAGATAGAAAACAGAAAATCTTTTGAGAAATGTATTTTTTATCGTTTTAGGAGTTTTTCGTGGTATAGAGAAAAATAAACTTTTGAGTTTTGCAAATGTTGAAAATTTACGATAAATTTTTCAAAATTAAAAAAGATTAAAAGATAATTTCTTCCTTTAATTATCAAGGTAATCGAATAAAAGAGATCGCGGAGAGGGAAAATATATTTCAGAAAATTGGCAACACTGCAGAAACAAATCTATTTCTAAAAAATAATTCTTTCCCGAACTTATTTTTTTTCCATTGCAACTGTTAAAATTGTCTTATATCTGGGTGTTTCTCCAAAAAGATTATTTTTCTTGTCTCTGTATTTTAATTATTTACCTTAAAAAAGTATACTATTTTTTTGCACAGGAGTAACAGTAAATGTATTTTTAAAAAAATGCAGAGGCTAACTCCGACAAATTATGTTTCCGACAATGATACAGCCGACAAAAGTGCTCCCAGCAAAGAAAAAGAATTTTGTAAGACATTTTCAGATTCTGAAGGTGAATCGTTAGTTACCTTTATTGCCAAGAAAAATATTAAAAAATTTCGATACGAAGATGTGTATTCCGATGATGAAGCTGGTCCCAGTATTAAACTTTTAGATGCCTTTGAACCTTTGAATAAGAAGACTAAGGAAGGAGCATATCAAAAATCAATCAATCAATCTCAAATATGGCCGACTTAAATTCCGGTTTATCAGTGTCGTTCTAATTTTATTTAAAAAAATGTAAAACTATGATGTAGGGTAGACGTGGGGTAAACTCAATAATTTGTTGTTTTATTTTACGTTGTGAATAAATGTTGGTAGTTATTAAAATTGTTATAAAAATATATAATTCTAATAAAAATAGATAAGTTATAATAAGTATTTATTACCACAAACATCCGATACGCTACTGAAACAAGTAAATCAAATTAACGTATCTAAATTCTTTGACATCTGATCTTTGACAAGTAATAAATAAAAGAAAAATGCAAGAAAAATATATAATTTAGTTAATTTAAGTGAATTTCAGAAATGATCGGTTTACTACACGTATGTATATTATATAGTCACTCACTAGCGAAAAGTTGTTCCATTATTTCACTCAATTTTTGCCGAGATCTACAGCACGCTACACAACCAACTATTTTAGAGTTTTTTTCGATAAATCGCGATAGTGTCACTGTTAATTTAAGTGCTGCCATAATTTCCAACTAGATTTACTACCTTTATACAACTATCAGTAGTAGAATAAATAATAAATAACATAAAATAAACTCCGTAAAGACTGACAAAAATTACAGTTGAGGGTTGGAACCTTTGGTGTTAAACAGCAAAATAAAAACACTAAATCACCACAATACACCAAAACACTTTTACTTTTACACTGGACGCGCGTTTCGCTAACCTGAATGATTATAAACTATCAGTTTATAATCATCTGCTGATGATGCTAACTTGGTTAGCGAAACGCGCGTCCAGTGTAAAAGTAAAAGTGTTTTGGTGTATTGTGGTGATTTAGTGTTTTTATTTTGAAGACTGACAAATCCACAAAATTTCAAATCAAATTCAAATGTGTCAAATGAATCGTCAAACAGAACTGTCAAGGATCCCCACCCTAGAGTGCCCACCATGCATGAATACATGGATAGCATTATGCTCCTTCCTTAGTCTTCTTATTCAAAGATTATAATTTATACGCTTTTGAAATTTAGGTTAAATTATGCTACTATTACATAAGAATTTACTCTCGAAAGTTACAAGTTTATAATAAAAAAAAATAACTCACGATTTAAATTTAGTGAGAACTATGGGTTGAAGAATTGTACGATATGGCTACACGCAAGTATAAAACCTGACATATACATATAGAAAAATCGAATTTTTCGTTTAAAAAAATTGAAAAAATATAGAAAAACGCAAATATCGGTGTTTTCAATGAATCGATGTATTTTGAACATCTCTAGTGTTAAAATTCTCATAATGTCAAATATCTGTCAAATACAAATCAAAAAAAGAAAAGTAAAATGTAATTAAAATATTTTAAAATTTCGTAGACAATCTATATTTTTTCATTTTTTTTAATAAAAAATTCGATAGTATTTTCTCTATCTGTATGTCTTGTTTGGCTTCGGTGAACTATCCTGACACACGCGATTTTTCTTAGAAAATGAAATTTATGTTACCTTTAAATGAATTTCTTGGATTCTTTGACTAAAATCTGATGCGGAAAAACAGGTTTCAAGGAAGTAGTTTGGATATGGCGTTTGTCGCCTCAGCTTGAATATCTGTTGGTAATTTACTTATTTCGTTTTGAGCCATTTCTGGCTCCAATTCAATCAGCAATCGACACGAAAAAGAATTAAAAAATACTGACTCAAAACTGACAACTAAAGAGACAGCTTTATTTATTTGTCAAATTACATAGAGACCAACGCCAACCCAGCACAATATTTTTTCTACTCGTAATAAATTCCTTGAAATAGTAATAAGTAAATGACATCTAGTGCTTGACCTCAATCAAGTTAGTTAATTATCATCGATTGTCATTCCCCAGCCGACTTTAACGCCGTTTTTTTTATCGTACCTTATTTTATTATTATTTCTAGTTCCTTGTCCGATTTTTACACTTACCTGTACTTCACAACAACATTATTAAAACTAACAACACCCTGATTGGGCCATCCAAATGGAGGATCAGTCACAAAGTACGTGCTCTCCAATGGAATCTCTTGAATGTACTGATTTACCCTCTCCACTGCGATCATTTCCTGTTCGGTTTCTGTAAACGAATGGATAACGCCTCTCAGGAGACCGGTTACAGTCAAAGCGTAAGAAATGGCCAAACCGATGAGCCCTGACAAAGATAAATAAATTCTGTTTAAAAAAAAGTTAAATTTAAATGTGATTAATAAAGACCAAGATCAAACCACTATAAAATTGTTTATTAGTGACCGGTTTCGACTATTAAACCATCATGGGACGTTTATCAAAATCGCTGTTCGTTTGACTAATGCTACTTCAAATAGTTTTTTAAATACCCAAGTAGCATTTGGAAGTTATCTAACGTCAGGGTACCAACGTCGGTTCGACCGCCTGACGATCTTTATTTGCACCTAAATGGGGAATACAGATTCGGGTCGCCTCGACGTTGCGCGTCGGTATCTGACCTAATAGGGAATGTAATTCTACCAATTACCAACGTCATATTACGTTGGATTTTAGTCACTTAAAATTCGTCCCTAAGCACTTACGTTACGTTTGGTTTCATATTCGCTACCAAGAATACATAAAAACCTAACCAAACTACCAATTACAAATGGATTCATAATCACTCCTCGAATATAACTATAAGTGCCTACCTAATTTCATATTATAATAATTCTGAATCATTAATCCAGACATCAGTTTTGTCAACGGAAGTCACTTTCTTGATATATCTGATTAAAATACTCCGGAAAACAACGAGCGCCTTCAAAATTAGGTAGATTTATGAAATAAAAACTATAAAAAAATATTCTACTAGAAATCGAAATGTGAATATAAATTTTAAAAACAAAAAACGATTTTAAAATGGCTGACAATCGGATACTTGTTAAGAATGGCGGATTTTTGTGTCCAACTTAATATGAACTACCAATATACCAATTCCGACCGGGTCTACAACATTAGTCGTCTCACACAACCGAAGTCATCAAACCGGACGACCGGCAATCGTATTATGACGTATATAATTCCAACGTACGCCACGTAACCTCATGGTACAAAGAATACAAGGTATGATCGATAGCGGCTCCAATTTCGTTCAGTTCGCGCATACCACCTGTGACGTCACTAGGAAAACAATGAATAAATAAAAAATAAAGAAAGTTGACAGGAGATCTGTATTTTTTGGGGTTATGGTTAAGAATTGTTTATTTTTAAGACTTTTTAGTTCGTTTAATTTAATAATTACTAAAACCAGCAGTTCCAAAAATATATTTAAAAATAATAATTATCTATTAACATGGATTTGGACGATAATAGGTAAGAATACTAAATTTATTTCTATATTCGGTATAAAATTGTTTATTAGGTGTTATTGCGATGTTTATGGTAAATAATTTTCATGTTCATTGCCTCTGAATTCACATGAGGACAGAGATGAGGATATCTATGGAAAAGTAACCACAAGAGGAATTGTTACATCATTTAAAAAATGTTGGAAAGTTTATTGTTTCCCATCGAACAGTAGAAAATGCCAATGCAGATGAATGTATTGTAATTGTGATAGAATTAATTCCAAGGGTGAAGTTTATTATAATTAGTGACCTGTGCTTCTTTTTATATGTAGATGTTTCAGGTTTTGAAAATAAATTGGTTGAACGAAACCCAAAATTTAGAGGAAGATGTCCATCAAGGATTATATAGCTCCAATTTCCTTTAATGGTAGGCAATTATTCAATGCAAATTAACTTTTTAAGTGACTGAAATATTAAATAGTTTACAATATGGTATATCACTAAAAATATATTTTACTTTTAGGTACAATTAGGGCCCGATACATTTCAAAAAGTAGAATATTATTTTATATTAAATGAGGTATTGTACCAACAATCAATTTATATTAATACCGGAGATTAAAAATCACAGAATAAATAGTTCTTTTTTTCATACTGCAAAAATAAACTATAGAATACAACAGTATTTAAAAAATAAATAAAAAGTTATGTCCCGGCCGAGATTCGAACTCCGGTCTCTTCGCTTCCTAGCCCGACTCCTTACGCACTGCTCCACAGTAACTTGCTTAGCGATAATTCAATGACGGTATATAAACAAAAAAACAGGTTTATAACAATATCTTGACGATTTGAACTGGCGCGCGGAGCGTGCTGACCAATAGCGCCTGTTATCACCTGTGACGTAGCGACCAACCTGCGCAATATCATACCTTGTATTCTTTGTACCATGACGTAACCTCACTTTGCGTATCAGTGATTTATGATTTGTGGAACTATATTTTAGTTTTTGTTTTCTCCTTAAAAAAATGGGCAGCCACTTTTTTAAGATAGTATATATACAAAATTTAAAAGAATTGGAACCAGTACCTCACATATGGGAGGAGGATGGGGTCTGCTGGTTTCCTAAGCTAAAAAATTAAATTAAGATGCACCAGTGTACTGCAGCATCTCTTCTGGATAAAAAGCATTCGTGGTTAGAGGCAAGACATCACTACTACTATTATTATTTTGCAAAAGCCTCGACCTCTTTCTGTAAAATGTAGATGAATGTCTAAATGCCTTTTTAGTGTTTTTTTAGGCATAATAAAAAAATTAAGTTTGTTTACAAAAACTTTTTATTAGGTTATGTTCATGATGTTCATTAGGCCGCAAATGCTACTTAATGCGTTGTATTTACGGACGTAAATAGAGATACGTAAATTAGGTTATAAATATAAACATAAAATACAACAAAATATAATTGGACGTTACTTTAGAGATTATCAGTGAGACGTATCCTATTCGGACAACGGGTAGACGTCGGGCTAGTTCCAGTATATGTACGTCCTGCAAGCCAACGTGGGAACAACGTTGGGAAATTAATAAAAATGGTACGTTGTTATTTTGTACGTCGACAGATCGTTGGATTTACCGACTCGGATCCAACGACGTCGCTTTTAATAGGAAAGCGACGTCACCGGTCGTATCACCAGCACCCGACCTAAATTTGAACAAAGTCTGACGTCGCTTCAGGTCAGATTTAGTTCGAAGTCAGATAGATGCTACTTGGGTATTAGTTTGATCATGAATCACAACTTTGAGAAAATATACATACTAAAACATAAAAGGCTGAATATCAAAATTAATTTTCTTTTTAGGTAGAAAGGTACTTAGGAAACTTTATAACTATTCTAGTGTTTAATATTGTATTAGACATAAATTTCTATATTTTTAATGTTCTTAAGAGAGTTATTTTCAGAATGCATAACTGTATAGTATAATTTCTAGTTTCTAATTTTTAGTGCTTAAATATTCTGGCTTATACAATTTGAAATAGAATACAATTTCGGAAAAATTAGTCGCAAACAAAAAAAAGCATGTTAAATAAAAAATATTATAGCAATTATCCAAATAAATATTCCTTTTAGGTAAGAAGTTACTAAGAAATATTATAATTTTAGTGTCGATAGAGATAAATACATCGTTGTTCACCACATACGCCACGGAGTATTGTAGCTAAACGATTATATTTTTACAAATTGTAAGTTTTGGGTTCGTTGAAGGACTATCAGAGCTACAATTTAAAAATATTTTTACAAGATACAGAGTGTCCCAAATAAGTAAAAAATATTATAGTTGTATTTTTTTAAATGGAACACCCTGTATATTATTATATTTTTGGATTCTACGATTGAAATAAAGATAAATTTGATTAAGGTTTATCACACTTAAACCTTACCGTTTTTGAAATATTTTCAATTTTATGAAATTGCAGTAAAAATTTTAAGGCTTCATTTCTTCAAGGGTATCAAAGTTTTTAATACTAAATATTTACTGACGAATATTTATTCATCAGATATTGTGTTGCAATAATAACAATTTTACTACCTTATACAGAGTGTCCAGAAATTTATATTAAATAATTACTAGCTTTAAACGGCAATAACTTGTTTAATTTAAATGGAACACCCTATATTTTTTAAGGGAATCAGATGCACAATGTAATTGTCTATCAAATTGTATTATACCATTTTTTACTCGTCTCTTTAAGTTTTCGTATAAAATGCATTTTCTTATAATTTAGACCTCATTTATCACTATACCCATTGGCATTGACATTTTAGCTTATTTTTAAAGATGTAACAAATTTTTAAAGGGTACAGATACTAATATTGTCGATATAGTTCGCTTATTTAATTAAAAAATTCAAAAAAAAATGTTTAAATATTTTTTTTGTTAAAGACGGTATGGTAAAAGTCCCAATTTTATTTCATTTTTTGACGAATGCTTATTTATAAAAACAGAGACGTTCATTTTCATAACTTATTATTATATTGATTTCTGAGCCAAATCCACATTTATGTAGAATACTTTATTAATTAAAACAAATTTAAAAGTAATTAACTAATTTTTGGTTGGAAATAATGGTGGTATATTTAATTGATATACTCTTTTACAAAGATTTAAATAGTTTTTTTTTGTATGCCAATGGACTTGCAATATTTACCACTTGTACATTTTGTACATATATAGTGCTATAAAAAAATCTGAAATGTCAATATTCCATTCATCCAATTATTCTAAATAAATGTGGATTTGAATCAGAAATCAATGTAATAATAAGTTATAAAAATGAATGTCTTTGTTGTTACAACTAAACATTTGTCAAAAAATTAAATATCATTTTTAAGGTATTACTTTTTACCACACTGTCTAATACCCATACAAAATTCAGTTTTTTAGTATTTGGAGCAATTATTATTAATCAATGCAAACAGTCAGTTAATGTAGTTTGAATACTGGAATCATATTAATTGGTCCCCTTTAACAAATATTTAAACAGTTTTTTTATTTTTTAATAAAATAAACAAATTATATCGACAATATTAGTATCTGTACTCTTTAAAAATTTGGTACATCTTTAAAAATAATCTAAAATGTCAATATTCCATGGGTATATTGATAAATGAGGCCTAAATTATAAGAAAATGCATTTTCTGCGAAAACTTGAAGTGATGGGTAAACAATGGTATAATACAATTTCATAGACAATTACATTGTGCATCTGATTCACGTAAAATATATAGGGTGTTCCATTTAAATTAAACAAGTTGTTTCCGTTTAAAGCTAGTAATTACACAGCACAATTATTTAATATAAATTTTTGGACACTCTGTATAAGGTAGTAAAATTTTTATTTTTATAGCACAATCTCTGATCAATAAATAATCTTCAGTAAGTATTTAGTATTAAAAACTTTGATACCCTCGGAGAAATGAAGCCTTAAAATTTATACTGCAATTTCACAAAATTGAAAATATTTCAAAAACGGTAAGGTTTAAGTGTGGTAAACCTTAATCAAATTTACCTTTATTTCAATCGTAGAATCCAAAAATATAATAATATACAGGGTGTTCCATTTAAAAAAATACAACTATAATATTTTTTACTTATTTGGGACACTCTGTATCTTGTAAAAATATTTTTAAATTGTAGCTCTCATAGTCCTTCAACGAACCCAAAACTTACAATTTGTAAAAATCTCATCGTTTAGCTACAATACTCCGTGGCGTATGTGGTGAACAACCCTGTATATAAATTTACATAAGTTATAAATAAAGGAGTAAAAACTAATCGTAGTTTTTAAAATAGCTTTTTTCAGAATCGATAGTCTATGATAAACCGATTTTTATTTTTAATATTAAGATATGTAAATTATTTCGGCCTTTGAAATTTAAAATTCAACATAAACTCAGGAATATAAACCTACCTGGATCAGCTACAGCATACTGATGCTGTACCACAGCTATAAAGCTAACACCGGTAACAATAGCTACCCCAATGAACTGCAAGCGAAGACCTAGCCAACGCGTTGCAGCTTGACTAGCAAATTGAGCCTTAATGTTGGCATCCACGTGGACCATATTTTCAACTTTGAAACGCTGGTTGGACCTTAAGGCATTAATGGTTGTCAGGCCTTGAAAAAAAGAAAATATATTAAGAAAAATACATATTTTAATTCCACATTCATTCAAAGAATAACAGAAAAAAACAATATTTGAACTAAAATTCAAAGAACACACACACACACATATATATATATATATATATATATATATATATATATATATATATATATATATATATATATATATATATATATATATATATATATATATATATTGCGGCGGGTTGCTGTTGGCTACCTCCGCGGCTGTTCTGGACGAAGCCCACAATCCTGGGCGACTCTGGTTCTTGGCTGCAAATTGGGGCTTTAGGCTCCCGTTTGCTCCTTTTACTTTCCATCTTTTATTTTCGTTTCTTCATCAATTTTGTTTTTCCATCTCCTGGGTTGCACACGGTGCCTCGTTGCATCGTTTGCTTCCTGGTTTTTTTAGTTTTGGGATCCGTTTCTTCGCTTCCTGATTCCTTACCGTACTGATGAAGCCTGAAGGCAGTTACATCAGTGTGCACTAGTGTAGGTGTGGTTGTGTGAGTGTGTGTGTCTGCACTGGTGTACACTGGTGTATACGGTTACGAGTTGTTGAGGGCTGAGCCGCTTAATCTTTTTTCTCCTTTTTTTACATTTCCCTCACTATTTATTTCTTTTTCATACAGACTCTAGCTACAATAGTTAGACTTCGACTCTATATGTCTTCCCTTTGTCTACTTTAAAGGATTATCTTGGGGAGCAATATTTATTTATTGTAGGAACTACGAGATATCGAGTTAACTTTAGCCCTGACGGTGACAAACGCACCTTTAAACTAAAAATATAACCCTCTGTATACCACCCTCCAGTAACCCACCTTGAAATAGAGATGTACTAAATAATCGATATGTCAAACCTTATCTCAAAATATATAAAAAAATATAAGCTAGGTTACATGTTTCTGTTTAAAGTTAGGTACGAGTTTTTTTCAAACGTCACAAAAATATTAATTTTTGCGACGTGATTGGCAATATAAAATAAAAATTGGTCAAGTGCGAGTCGGACTCGCGTACGAAGGTTTCCGTACCATTCATTATCTATACAACATTAGACATTATATTATTATAAACTTTCTTTCCGATTTAGCTGAAATTTTGAATGCGCGTATAAGTAATTTAAAAAAAATGAAGAAACACATTACTAAAAATTGTATTAATCAATAATAAATATGTAAAAAGTAAAAATAAATATGTAAAAATATGTAAAAATTAAAAAAAAAACATTAAAAAAGTCGCCTTGACTAGGATTCGAACCTGCCTTACTATGACTCCAACGTAATAGCAGCGTAAAGTCCTAACGCTTTAACCACGCGGCCACCGAGGACTTGAAAGATTCTATGTAAAATTCTTACTTAAAAGATAATGTTTAGTGAAAGTACTTTTGTATTTATAAACATTTATTTAATTCTGTTTTCAGTATTTGTTCTTATAGCAGCAACATAGATAAAAAATTCAACTGTCTAACTATAACGGTTCATAAGATATACCCATTGCCTGGAAACTTATATGGTGAAATTTTGATAAAATAATTTAGTACTCACTAAAAACACGGTATGTCGCTAGTGGTAGGAAAAATAATTTTTAGAGGTTACTAGTTTATTTGGTTGCCTGTGATATGCATATACAGGGTGTTTCCTAATTAATCTAAAAAATAAAAAATCGTTAGAAAACGGCTTAAGGCGGGCTCTTAATAAGTATATTTATTTTTTTCTCGGCAACCGTTTAATGAACAAGAAAAACTCAAAAAATCAATTTTGTTGAAAAAGGATGGCCAGTCAAGAAAAAAATATATTTTCTTTAAAAAAGCAGTAGTGTACCATTTATTTTAAGCAAAATATCGATTTTTTTTTTTAATTTTTAACACACTGTAGATCAGAAAGGAAGTACTTTAGACCTAATGGTTATATAAAAATTGTTTTAAGAACACATGAGGAATTACACCACAATTTTTTAGACTAATTAGAAAACACCCTGTATATTGTCAAGTTGACAATGATTGTTGATAAATCAAAAAATACCGTTTCTGTGAAAAAAGCCCGATACCCGGTATGTTTTTTAATATTCTATCTATCTAAATTTTAAATATCATAGTCAGAAATAGTTTTATTATTTATTAACTGTAAAAATTGTATACTTATAAGTTTTATCAAATATTGTGATTTAGTTTCTACCATGTAGTCAAAATTTATATTTAATAAACTGTAAAATATATATATATTCTTATGTTTTATTAAAGTTGATATATTAGTATATCATAATATATCAGTGTAACTTTAAAACTAAATCCTTTGAAATCAAATATAAACATAAAAAATTATTTACAGCAGAAAAGGCGAAGGCGCTGGGTTAAACGTAGTCTCTACTAAGAACACGGAGGGGCGCTTTGACCCAAAATTTTACTATTAAGTTTCATATCTATCTTAATAGAAGATTATTTTCTTTTATCTATGGATATACCTTTGTGACGGACGGACGGACAGCGAAGTCTTAGTAATAGGGTTCCCGTTTTTACCCTTTTGGCACGGAACCCTAAAAAAACATATCGATAATTTTCAAATATTCCCATCCCTACCTTGCAGCGTCTCGTTGAAATGCCCGTAGACCGGACTGAGCGTGGAGCTGGATATTCGTTTCAATTCTCTGGACGTGAGCCTGTAGTAATTCTGCAGCCAGTGGTAGACGGGGATGAGGGGGACAAGGAGGAGACAAATCCAGGGCAGACCGTAGATTGTCACACCGATAGAACCTGGAATTTATTTGATTATAAACGATTAGGAATTTGTTAAGTTAGAATTAAAAATTTGCTTCTTTTATAATTTTAGACAAAATAGTACAAAACTACTTACCCAGCATGCCGAAAAACTGCGCTAGTAAAACATTTAAGATGAAGGGTAAGGAATCGTCGACGGTGTAAGTGTCACTGGAAAATCTGTTCAGGATCCGTCCTAGGGGAGTAATGTCGAAGAACGTCGTCCTGGCCTGTTAATAGAAAGCTGGCGCTAATCCTTGTTTATTTTCTCGTAAAAAATTACGGTGCTTGGTTCGTGGATCGAGGGGAGGCCGGGGTAAAGCACACCGTTTTTATAAGAATAAGCAAGCGTAGAGCAGTTCCAACATATTAATAATATCCTTTTAATACTAGGGCCCTAGTACTTAATAAATCAAAAACATTAAACAAAACTCTGTTCGTTTATGATAAATTATACAGGATGTTTTTAAATCCATCATCATTTCGTCTTTCTATCATATTCCAACACAAAACATCCCCCTTTAGAACTTCATCTGTCATGTTAAGAAAATAAAAACAAATGAAGTGTCTCTCGTGTTTGTTCGCACAATGCCCTCTATAAAAGATCAGCCTACGGGCGGACTTTTGTTTACTTCATCAGCTGTACATACTTAGATATTGGGTTAGATTCTGTATTCATATTTTGTCGGTTGATTTTTGGTATTATTTGTTATTGTAGTGCAAAAAACTAATTATTTTGGTGTTTAAGTAACATAAAGTACTACCAGATATATGGTTACTATGATGGTCAATCTGTTTCTCATAAAAAAACACGAAATATTACACGTTTTGTTAAGTGCTTTAACCAAAAAGTGCCCATAAATTTTTTATTTATCGTGATTTTTGTGTGTGTTTTTTAAGACTCAACAATTCATCAATAAAGCTTAAGTGGAGTGTGTTTTTGGTGCTATGCCTCATCTTTGTTGTGTTCCTGGTGGAAAGGATAGTTATACTAGGCAGCTTAAAGTATCCGGAAGAGCAAGAAAAGTGGGTACGAGTTATAAATCAAGACAATTCTATTGAAAATATCTTTAATAAATTTAAAAATAATATTCTCCCAGAATGGTATTAAAGAAAACTGGACAATTATGTTTATTTTATTCATATTGTGGAATCTCCACTCCAAGTGTTGTTGGTTCAGCTTCGATAGATTCAAACACGTAAGATAAACACGTAAGTAGGTATTATGATCTAGGGAAAAATAAAGAATATGTGTATTAAAGATCATGAAAAAGATTATTATTTTGAGTTCAAAATTAAAAAAGATTTTTGTAAAGACAAGAATGATAAACTTTAAAAGAAGAATGTGTTTTTGTTTGATAATATAATGTATGTAAAGCATAACATATACCTATTTGTTCAGTAATTTTTACTGAATAGTGTCGATTATTTATAATACCAAATTAATATCAAATATTTAAATGATGGCTGAATACAATATAAATAAAATAACAATAAAATTGGTATATTTGCAATACAAAATTAAGTTTTAAGAATAAAGGTGTTACTGAAAATACTAAGAAATTCATATTTCTTTGTTTTAATTGGTCGAATGTTATTTACATTTTATTTAAGAATTATACCGTATCATCGAAAAAAAATCGGCGTCTAGTTGGCTTGGAAATGAACATCGATGACATTCCCTAAATAATTGTACACATAAAGAAGTTAACTAGAATTTTACAATCTTGGAAAATTTGATATTCTTGAACCTTGTTTCTAAATATTCTAAATTTTTTGATTTTCTTGGGATTTAGGTTCGGGAAAAACGCTGATTAAGTTTTCATTTGGTTTTTCATTATTTTTATTTGGTTTAAAAAAAAACGTTTCGGCTAACATTATAGCCTTCATCAGTGTTGTGTCATATGCAAAAAAATAGTGTCGAATATAATCCAAAAAATTACATATAAAATATTCACACCACGCACCACATAATGTTTACTGCGTACTCCATAGTCTCCATAGTCAATGTAGATAGTTTTACTGTTAAGAATAATAATTCTAAAAAATATGTGGTCATCTTTTGATAAGTTTTATATTAGTTTATTAATTGCAGTAAACATTATGTGGTGTGAATATTTTATATGTAATTTTTTGGATTATATTCGACACTATTTTTTTCATATGACACAACACTGATGAAGGCTATAGTTAGCCAAAGCGTTTTTTTTAAACAAATAAAAATAATGAAAACCCAAATGAAAACTTAAATCAGCGCTTTTCCCGAACCTAAAAATCCCAAGAAAATCAAAAATTTTAGAATAATTTTACATATAAAATGCAAGCGATCTTCATTTCATAGCCATCGTTGACGCCTTTTTTTAGATGATATTGTATTATTTGTAAATATAATTTTTCGAACATTGATACTTGCAAAATATACATATAAATTTTGTGAATGCAAATAATAATACATCACTATTAGTAGATATTGAATGTTTTTTCTTAAATTAGATCGATTTTCAAACCCCAAAATTTAAAATATATTTACATTTTACCCAATATATTATGTAATACATTATTTGTATATTGTAAAACATTTGCTGCATTTGTATGGTTCATAGTTTATTTGCCAAAGTATTTATTACTATAAATAGGTATATATGTTGTAGTTATTAACTGTATATTATGTATATTTCATGTGAACTGTATAATTTTTAAAATACAAACCAAAAATCTGAGGAATAATTATGTTTTCCATGTATTCTACAACATATTTATTAATCCGTAGTATCTAACTAGCGTGACGTCATAAATCTCGCCCCGAGGCTGTTCTATTAGAGACGGCATTGATTCGCATACTAAAAATTCCAATTAATGCCTGTATATATTTTTAATATATTTTTTGTATTTCCATTTTTTTAATTGTAAAGTAATATATTACATTTAAATGGAATATATTACATAACAATTAAATATATCAATTACAGACTTGTTTTCTAACATTTTTTAAATAAAACGAGTTATAAAATTTCAATATATGTATATTTGTCGTAGGTATGAAAAAGTAAAATATAAAATGGGGGGACCAACGCTTACTTACATTGCAATAAAACTGCCGCTTTTAGATTTTCAATCTAAACGCAATATTTCTTTTTCGCAAATAAAAATATCCGACAACACTAGCTATAAAACAACGAAAAAAAAATATAAGAGCACTTCTTGTTTTGAACCTGCATATCAAAATTATGCTGTACCATTATGTTTTTGTTTTTGAAATAATATAAAATATTGTTACGGATTCCGTGGGTCCACTAATTTAAACTCACGATAAACTACTTAACGAGTTATTTTCTCACTTTATACTATATATATACAATACATAATTTATACAACTACTATTACTCTAACTTTTCTGGCACCTTCGCCAATTAATTCACAATTTAAAACGCGGTATTATAGTCTATAAAATGAATAACTTTGAATTTTGATCGTTATTTTTTACCAACATGGCAAATATAAAATCCCTCTATCAAAAAAGTTAATGATATTCTTTAAATTGAGTGCCTGAACGAATCAGATAGGTAACTCTTTTTACTTTCGTGAAATAGAAAAGGAAAATAATAAAACAAGTGACAGTTCTTCCTCTTCTTGCAAAAATCAACACGAAATGTCATAATTGGCAAAAGTAAAATGTCATCAGCTTTTGACATTTCTAAATATTAGACCAATGCCGTCTCTAATAGAACAGCCACGGAGCGAGATTTATGACGTCACGCTAGTTAGATACTACGGATTAATAAATATGTTGTAGAATACATGGAAAACATAATTATTCCTCGTATTTTTGGTTTGTGTTTTAAAAATGATATAGTTTACATGAAATATACATAATATAAGTTAATAAATACAATATAATATATACCTATTTATAGTAATAAATACGTTGGCAAATAAACTATGAACCATACAAATGCAGCAAATGTTTTACAATATACAAAGAATGAATAGGTGGTACATAAGATAATGGATAAAATGTAAAATATATTTTAAATTTTGGGGTTTGAAAATCGATCTAATTTAACAAAAAACATTCAATATTTACTAATAGTGATGTATTATTATTTGCATTCACAAAAATTATTTATATATAATGTTTACTGCAATTAATAAACTAATATAAACTTGTCAAAAGATGACCACATATTTTTTTAAATTATTATTCTTAACACAAAAACTATCTACATTGACTATGGAGTACGATTTCAGCCATATTGTAAAACATTTGCTGCATTTGTATGGATCATAGTTTATTTGCCAAAGTATTTATTACTATAAATAGGTATATATATTGTATTTATTAACTGTATATTATCTATATTTCATGTAAACTATACCATTTTTAAAATACAAACCAAAAATACGAGGAATAATTATATTTTCCATGTATTCTACAACATATTTATTAATCCGTAGTATCTAACTAGCGTGACGTCATAAATCTCGCTCCGTGGCTGTTCTATTAAAGACGGCATTGCGTCAGCATGGACGCAAATTGCTAACCTAATAAAATTAACACTAGAAAAGCCCGCGGGAACTGTCAAATTCAAAGTTATTCGTTTTACAGACTATATCAAACTTCAAACTGCTGAACTGCCGATTACGCGCCTTTATACCGGGTGCGTTTCAAAAGTGGCTCACCCCTATAACTTTTTTATTTTTTCAGTTAAAAAACGAGATTTGGTATGTTAGTATATGACATAAATTAGGATTGATTGACGTATTCAATTTTTTTCGGTCACTTCCTGTTTCACCGGAAATGACTACAACTTTTGATTTTTAAATGGTACCTTCGGTATTTTTTTGCTTTGCTCGATAGAAAATAACATTCCGAATAGAATGACATATCATATGTCAACTTTTGACATTTTCGCATATGGTTTATTTGACATTATAACTTGCGGTTCGTAACGAATATTTGACTCGAAATACCAAGTGTGTGGTATCAAATTATTCATAAAAAAATGCTTTTTCCAAATATGCTAATGAGCCACCCTCGTTCCATTTGAAAAAATTGAGATGATTAAAAATACGATTTGAGCATTTTAGCCATGGTACTCTAGATTGAATTTTAAAATACGATTTGAGCATTTTAGCCATGGTACTCTGGATTGAATTTTAAAATACGATTTTTTATTAAGCGAGAACGTCAAAAGTTGACATATGATATGTCATTCTATTCAGAATGTCATATTCTTTCGAATAAAGTAAAAAAATACAGAGGGTGTCATTTAAAAATCAGAATCAGAAGTTTAGAAAAAAAAATTAAAAATTAGAAATAGTCATTTACGGTGAAACAGGGAGTGACCAAAAACAATTGAATGCGTCAATCAATCCTAATTTATGTCATATTCTAACATACCAAATTTCGTTTTTTTATCTAAAAAAATAAAAAGGTTATAGGGGTGAGCTACTTTTGAGACGCACCCGGTATAAAATCGCGAATATCTGCGAAACCGTTAAAAATTTTGAAATACTCTAAATACAAAAAATGCTCGTTTTTTAATTCCCCATCTATTAAAAAAATAATATACAGGGTGTTCCGTTTATAAAAACAAAGTAAAATTATTGTTTTAGAAAGTTTGGCGTAGAATTTTAAACACCCTGTATGATTCAAAATTACGATATTTATAGCAAAATAGGTATAGTAAACAGAGTAGTACAACACCAATTTAAATCGCCAGCTCATTTCCCACCGGTCCTCTTTAACCCCGACTCCCCCTATTTTCAAGAGAAATCACCCGCAGAGGGCTGTACTCACCTTAACCACGGACTTTAATAAGAGCTTGTGGAACTTGGCCGCGGCTACGACCCCTCCGTACGCGAAAAGAAAGGCGCGGAACAGCGTGAACAGAGTGTTGGCCACGGCAAACCAGGCGTAAATTTTTAAGTAGAAGCCCGTCGTTTCCTGCAAACTAAAATAAGAAACAACGAGAGTTAGAAGATATATTGTAGTAGACGATTTGTTAATAATGTATGATGAAGTCTGTGTGGTGTGATAAAAAAGTAATATAAAGTTAAGAAGGCGCTGGGGATATATAGGTGGTTTGATTGAATGAAAACGGAATCAAATTAGGGCAAAAATCAGTTTGAGTATTTTCTATGAGTTTGGTTTAGATATGTGGATAATATCGGATAATATATACAGGGTGGTCGGAACCATATTCCGGAAACTTCGGCAGCATATTCTGCATATAAAAATAAGTAAAAAACTTCAGAGAGACACAGGGTGTAGAAATTTCATTTTTTTTTCGATTTTTTTCCAAATAATTTCTATAACGTCAATATTTGCGTTAATGCATGTCATTATTGACAAAAAATAAACATACTGGGTAGATAGTTATTTGACAGAAATTATTAATTTAGGAATTTAGTGTTTTTTTTAAATTAATCATAAATTTGTCTTCGAAAAATTTATGAAAAAGCAGTTTCTGTTGAAATTTTGGTACAAAAACATTTCAAATTTATTATTTCAGTCTAATAACTATTTAGTTAATATGTTTAATTTATGTCAATGATGAGATGTATTGATAATTTCGAGACCAAATATTTCGAGAACCATTACTGGTAACGATTTTTACCAAGAGATTATTTTTACCTAAAAAACATCGTAAATGTATATTTTTTTACTCAGTAGTTTTATACAGGTAAGGACAAAAAGTTATTATTCTTCAAAAATATGTAGGTGGCGCCCAAGGACTGTATATATTCTAATGGACTGTTCGATCGCGTCAAATCGCCGCTGTCGTAGTCGCCGTGGAATGCTACGTCACGCGCTGACCAGCGCTCCACAGTGCGGCGGATGGTTATTCTAGCGGGACAAAATCTCAAGAGCAATGTTTGGGACTTAAAATCTAAGAACGTAGCAAATGGTCTAATATATAGCAACTATATGGTTAAATTTATTTATTTATTAACAACTTAATTTATTAATAAATAAATACAAGATAATAAACTAAACTATTGCCAAATACATAAAATTATGATATCAAAAAACTCTTTAGCAGTTTTTTTTAAATTAAATTGTAATCTTGTGACACCCTCTATAATTTATTTTAAAAAAATATATTTTATTTTGAAAATAATAAATGAGATAGATATTTTAATTTTAATTTTAACACTCGGTAATTGTAAATTCATATATAGTAAGTATCTAAGACAATTTTTTAAACTCAGTTCAGTGCCTTTTGATGGAGTTGTTTTGTTTTTATACTATCCGATTGAAATGAATCTTTTTGGGCATTCACCTGTTAAGCTTGAACTCCCTGTGACTGTGACTACCTGTGTTGGTAACTATTGGTAACTCAAAAGATCTACATCATTCAATATATCGATATATGAAAAAAAAGTGAAAGTTTGATATCTGCAGGACAAAGGCACGAAGGATTTTAACAAATAATATACGTACAGTAGAAAAGTACATACCTTTGGCAATCTTCAACATAATTTGGCTTTCTAATAAAATGTATAAGCACTTGTAAATATTTTGTTTTCGTATGATCTCTGCCTTGCTGGGTAGAAAACGACCAAATTTGGTTGATAAAAAAGTATCGAAATACAAAGAATATTCATGCATTTTTGTATCAATTGGAATGTCTACTATTTATTCTTATCAGTACACATTTTTTGGCTTATTTCTAACCAAACGCTTTTGTCCCGCTAAATTTATCTTCCAACGCACTGTGCGCTCGTCCGTCAAATACAAAAATAACTGTCACTGTCTAAAATCTTTAGCGCCAACTTCAACTCGGTCAGTAGATGACGTAAAAAAACTGACAGTGCAGGAAGATAGGAATCGAACTATCCTTATCTCTATAGTATCCTTGGGTGGCGCCCTCTATAATGTAGGAGGCATATCGCTATCAAAACCAAATTTCTCATGTCAAAAAACTGCCAAACGCCAATTTTCCTCTAAATATTGACGTTACTTCAAGAATTATTTGGAAAAACCCGAAATAAAAATGAAATTTCTACACCTTGTATCTCCGAAAGTAAGCATTTTAGAACAAACATTTATACGAACTTTTTTACTTAATTTTATCTGCAAAAAGTTTCTGGAATACAGTTCGGACCACCCTGTATATTGCTAACATACATTCTAACACCATACATAAGTTTATTTCTAAATTAAATAGTCGTTTTCCTTCCAGAAATTTACCGATAGAATTGAGAACAATGATAGATTCATTTCTAGATGTATTAGTTATTAGAAATACTAATAATTGCCTGGATTGGAAAAATACCACTACACACAGATATATTCCTAATGAGTCTTATCATAGTGTTGAATGATGATGGCTAGTTTAAATTTCTTTGTCCATAGGGTACTTAGTTTGCCACTTCCCAACGAAAGATATGAAATAGAAAGAAATTACATTAGGAATGTAGCTGAGTGTAATTGATATTCTCCTTCATTAGTTGATAAAATAATTAGAAAACGTAGGTTTAAGTTTGCGATTACAGCAAATTCGACTTTTCCAGTGAAGAAAGATACGTCAAAATATTTTTCAATATCGTTTGATAGAGAGTTATCCCGTGGTTTAAAAAGAATTTTCAAAAATTTCAAATATAAACTTGTGTAAATTCTAATAATAAATTACATTACAACTATTATTAGGTAAATCCTTCGGATAAAATACCTCCACTAGAGTATAATATCTGCAAGTATCTTAACAGATAAACAATGAAGTTTTCTTCCAAAAAAATGTTGAACATTTTACATATTTCTTAACATTTTCGGGAAAATTTTAAAAAACTTTTAAGTTCTGCGTATTTATTCCAAAATTTCTTGACAGTGTATAAAAACTTAGGAATATTGTCACCTTCAACCTTACACACATTCTGCATATTTGTATGTTTATAACACAGTCCATTTTAATTTTCCACAAAAAAATGACTAAAATTAACTGTATTCACTTATTTGTCGTGTTTATTAGTAGCAATTCTAAAAAACACACACTACTTATTGAACGAAACTAAATTTATTTAACAAGACTCGCAACGGCAACTCTGGCAACACCGCACGATAGCTAGTAACCACTGCGCATTCCCCGATACGAACGCTTGCGTGAATCAGTCGTAAAGAGTCATGTGTCAGTATTGTTTCTAGGGTTTCTGTACGCTCTGTATTCTTCATTAATAAAAGTAGAAACATGTTTTAAATTTAAAAAGAATATCTATATTCGTTTTTATTCAATCACACCGCATAGTTTTGTAAACATGTTAGTATATACGTACTTAAGAACGTTCAGATCAAACCGTTCATTTTTCGTTGTAAAAACGTTATTTGTGATATTCGTCGCATTATTGTCATCGTGAATATCCGTCACCCAGTGAGCCAACCACCAATCTGTCATGTTCCTCGACACCTAAATAAAAAAAATATAAATAATGTAGTTCTACGAATATACAGTTTAATGACTCACTTGCATCAAAACCATCGCCATCAGAATGGACAAACACAAAAGATGACCGATCGCCTTCCAATACGAAGTATAAACGTTGAAACTCAACGTTCCTGTGTTATTAACTTCAACATTTAACACACTATCATTATCATTTTTCTCCGATTCAGCTACAGAATCAACGTCTTTAACACTGTCCAGCAAAGAACTAGATGAATGCGATATACTTTCATTAAGTTCCAGATCTAGAGCCAAACTATCATCTATATCTGATAGAATTTCAGATGGTTTTCCTTAAAAAAAAAACTTTTTAAATTAACTTTAAAATTAAAATACACTTAAAAAAAATGGCGAACCTTGTTTTTTAATGCTACCACCTTCCATATATATGATTCGATCAGCGTATGCTAAGAATTGTACGTGGTGAGTACAAAGTATCCTGGTTTTGTCTTTTAGTAGACCCAAAATACAGTGTTGGAAGATGTGTTTGGCTACTTTGGTGTCTACAGCGGATAGTATGTCGTCTAATAGATAGACAGACCTGGAAGAATAAAAGAATCCATTATCTATCAATAATGGGAATCTTTCTAATGTACAGGGTGGCGCCTCTCATACGCCGCGGAGGCTCCAAGGAGAACGACAGTTTGTATTGAAATGAAATTTTGTGACCATATGTAGGTTATTTCAGAGCACTTTTTAAAAATATAGAGAGTTCTACAGGGTGTCCCCAAAAAACTTATATACCAAAGTTATGTTTTTTGTAATGGAACACCCTATATATTAATTGATTTTCGGATTCTAGGAGAAAAATAAATGTGAGTTTTATAAGAGAAGTATATGACTAAAATGTAAGGTTTTTGACATATTTAACATTTCCTAGAAATAAAGAACAATTTTTAAATTATAATAAAAGCTACCTAAATTGGAATTTACCCGGTATAGCCTAATATGTAGTTACATTAACTATTGTACTTTAAATCAAATTAACACTTGATCCAAAAAGTTATACAGGGTGAGAGAAAATTAATATTGAACATTGGTCGCCTTTAAAAGCATGTTACTCTTTTATTTTAAATGGAACACCCAGTATATTATTCCGATATTCAGTGGAGAATTCGTGTCTCTTCAAAATACTATTAAGGTTGCCTACCCTCCAAACAAAGATTTTCCTAGATATTTTTATTTCCATGATTTGATCTGAGTAGATCTTTATTATTTGAGAAAATCTAGGTGGCTGCAATACCAATGGATTAGTCCAACTTTAACAACTAGTTATCATTTTGTGTCAGTTAAAACAAAAAAAAATTCTCAGAAATTTGACGAAAATGGAAACTTATCCTACATCAGAGTCAGAGAGAATTGATATGATTCTATTATTTGGCGAATGCAGTGTGCAATGTATCTTTTGTATTTTTATGTTTTCCGAGCACAAAAGAAACAAATTAATAAAAGAAAAAAGAATAACAATAAAAAAAAACAGTCAATCCTCCCCTACATTTTTCCTGTCTCTTCCAAAACCCAAGCAAAAAATCCACCCCACTCAGCTAATTTACCTAAAAACCTCCATACACACCGTCCCCTATACAAAATACTCACTTATCTTGATAGACGGCCCTGGCCAGAGCCACCCTTGCCTTCTGACCACCCGAAAGGGTGGCTCCGCCCTCCCCTACCCCAGTCAGGTCGCCCTTGGGCAGATTGGAGACATCTTCGGCCAGGCCGCAGGCAAAAAGTACGTCTTTGTAGCGTTTTTCGTCGAAGGGTTTGCCGAAGAGGACGTTGTCTCGCAAGGTAGTGCGTTGCAACCAGGGTTGTTGAGTAACCAAGCCGAAACCTAGGAACAAAATTTATTGTATTATATTAAAGACACACACCTGGTGCATTCCGACCGTACCGCTTCAACGGCAGAAATCAGAAATTATCAGTACATACATATTTCACGCAGCCGCGCGCCGTCATGTTGATCGCATTAAAATAATATTGAAATCGTGTTTTTTCTCTATAATCTTTAAGTATTTTAGTTTCTTGCTAGTGCAGATATTGAAACTATAAAACCCTCAGGTACGAGGTTTGTGTGATGTAACGCTGTTTCGGGTAGTAAAAAATAAGTGAAAAAGAGTTCGAACTATGCGTCGTGTTCTGGTTGTGACAATTTCAAATGTTAATAAAATTGCCGAAAAAATGTTGACGCGTAAAGGAGAGCGTAATTAGGACGTTGTTGGGTGCAATAACATTCAATAACTCCACTTTCCCGGATATTCAACTCTCCCGAAACAACATTTTATAGCTTCGTAGTTTCTCACACCGATTTGATCAAAACCAAAAATGGATTCAACCAGTTCGACGAAACAAGTGAGTAAACAAAGTGCTTGGTACATAATCAAAAAATTAAATAAACATATACTATGAGAGGATAAAATATAATTTGCAATATTAATGGTATACATTTTTAAATAACTAGTGATTAAATGTTTATGAACATCTAAAATTATAATTATGTACATTGAAAAAATTTCGTTATAGCCGAAATAGCCCTAATTATGCCCCACTAGCTAAATCGGTGATTAAAACTATGCTAGCTACCGTAGATGAACCCATCTAAGAAGTTTTTTTTTAACTGGGATAATAAATAAGATGTGAATTTTCGATATCGATATTTCAAAATATCGATACTTTTGAACGTCCCTATCTACTATCTCAATTAGTCCCGCTCTGCAATCGAAAAAAAAGCATACCTATACGACCTGGCATATTCTTTTTTACTCTATTCGGGAGAAAGTAAACAGCGGCCGTTGTGTACGTACCTGATTCAATTTGGCTAATTGCGACGTGCAAGTATATATGATCTAGGGTTTCTTCCAACAAATAGGGATGGTCGAAAACTAGAAAAATCGATATCGATATTTTTACACAAATTTTTCGATATCGATATTTCAAAATATCGATACTTTCAAACGTCTCTATCTACTATCTCAATTATTCCCGCTCTGCAATCGAAAAAAAAGCGTACCTATACGACCTGGCATATTCTTTTTTACTCTATTGGGGAGAAAGTAAACAGCGGCCGTTGTGTACCTACCTGATTCAATTTGGCTAATTGCGACGTGCCCCGCTTGCATCGACAGTTCGGCCATAACGGCGGACAATATCGACGATTTGCCGCATCCTACCGGTCCTATTATACCCACGAATTCGCCCTGCAACAATTAAATTAACTTTTGTGAGTCTGGAAATCGGACGCAAGGATCGAAAAATCAGTCTGGCGATCGAGAAATCTATATCTGAAACCTTAGACCATGTAATAACTAGACACGATTTTTCTTTCGATATTATGTCGCCAATATAAGTTTCATTTGTGACGTCACATCAGGGCAAAAATATGTCCACTATATTAAAACTAGATCATAAGGTTTTCTGTTTAGATATTGACACATTTCAATTTCGTTTTCCATTTTCATGGTTGGCACATTTGAATTTTATTTGAAATTTTGTGGCGAATTAGTGTTTTATTTTGCTGTTGTAACACCAAAGGTTCCAACCCCCCAGTGTAATATACACACAACCAAACTTATATGGAATCATCTATTATTTTTCATAATTTATGAGATGTATGAAAATTTTGTGTTTATGAATAAAACTCAGTCCTTACCAATGACTTTTAATGAAAAATAATCCATATAGTAATATAAAGAAAACAAGATTTAAATTTCTAATGTCCAAAAAGCATAAACAAAAAGAAAATTGATAATTTTAATATTCCTTGTTGCCACCTCTAGCCCTTATGCAAGCTTCTATCCGCGCTGACATGCTTCCTATTAAATTATCCACGTTGTCTTGGGGTATGTTTTCCCGTTCAGCTAATGCTGCATCAATAAGCTGTGCGAGATTTCCTGGATTGTTTCGACGAACTCTAACCCTTCTTTTGAGCTAGTCCCACAAGTGTTCGATAGGGTTTAGTATCTAGATCTGGTAAATAGGCAGGTCAGTCCAAAACTATGACACCTTCCGTTTCAAGACATTCTCTAGCCACTCTGCTGGTATGGGGAGGTGCACCATCGTGCATCAAGTTAAAATTATCAGTTATTATTAATTGCAGCTCTCCAAAGACTAACGATTGGTTCTAGCACCAAATCCACATATCTCCGACCCGTTAAAATTTGTTGAAGTTGTAACAATGGAGTTTTTGCTCCCAGTTTTCCCTCTCCAGAACATTACTGTTCCTCCTTTATATTTTGGTACAGATTTGGCAGCCTGAAGTCTCGCTCGTCTTCCTGGAGCTCTGAGAACCCGAATTCGATGGTTATCTGATCTTAGGCCAATTATTCTGGTCTCATCCGAAAAAGAACATTTTGCCAATTCTCAGTTGTCCAGTTTTGATGTTGAAGGCGTCAATTTAGTCGGTCAATTCCGAGATAACTGTGGGATCCGTAACTCCCTCCTACTGTAAAACCCTCGAGCACGAAGCCTTTTTCTTATGGTTTCAACTGAAACGTTCACACTTGTAACTGCCAGAAGTTGTCTTTGTAGCTCTGGATGAGAAACATTGCGATTTATTCTAGCAATTTAGCACACAAGGCGGTCTTGTTGTTCAGTTGTGACTCTTTGACGGCTTTATCTGTGTCTATCCTTGAGTGTTCCTAATTCCAAGTACCTTGCATATGTTTTCGATACAACACCCTGGGTAACGCCTACTATAGTCTGTGAAACGAATAACTTTGAATTTGACAGTTCCCGCGGGCTTTTCTAGTGTAAATTTTATTAGGTTAGCAACTTGCGGCCATGCTGATGCAATGCCGTCTCGAATAGAACAGCCTCGGAGCGAAATTTATGACGTCACGCTAGTTAGATACTACGGATTAATTATGTTGTAAAATACATGGAAAACATAATTATTCCTCGTATATGTAATTTTTTGGATTATATTCGACACTATTAAGGCTATAAACGTTAGCTATAACGTTTTTTTTAAACCAAAAAAAATAATGAAAAACCAAATGAAAACTTATCAGCGTTTTTCCCGAACCTAAATCCCAAGAAAATCAAAAATTTTAGAATAATTTTACATATAAAATGACAGCGATCTTTATTTCATAACCATCGCTGACGCCTTTTTTCTATGATATTGTATTATTTGCAAATATAATTTTTCGAACATTGATGCTTGCAAAATATACATATAAATCTTGTAAATGCAAATAATAAATATATCACTATTAGTAGATATTGAATGTTTTTTGATAAATTAGATCGATTTTCAAACCCCAAAATTTAAAATATATTTTACATTTTACCAATTATCTTATGTACCTATTCATTATTTGTATATTGTAAAACATTTGCTGCATTTTTATGGTTCATAGTTTATTTGCCAAAGTATTTATTACTATAAATAGGTATATATATATATATATATATATATATATATATATATATATATATATATATATATATATATATATATATATATATATATATATATATATATATATATATATATATATATTGTATTTATTAACTATATATTATGCATATTTCATGTAAACTATATCATTTTTAAAGTACAAACCAAAAATACGAGGAATAATTATGTTTTCCATGTACAACATATTTATTAATCCGTGGTATCTAACTAGCGTGACGTCATAAATCTCGCTCCGAGGCTGTTCTATTAGAGACGGCATTGGTCTGATATTTAGAAATGTCAAAGGCTGATGACATTTTACTTTTGTCAGTTATGACATTTCGCGTTGATTTTTGCAAGAAGAGGAAGAACTTCCACTTGTTTTATTATTTTCCTTTTCTATTTCACGAAAGTAAAAAGAGTTACCTATCTGATTCGTTCAGGCACTCATTTTAAAGAATATCAGTAACTTTTTGGATAGAGGGATTTTATATTTGCCATGTTGGTAAAAAATAACGGTCAAATATTTATTATTGTCAATAATTCTTCCCCTCTATATATCTGTTAATCCAACATAAGGCATTTTTTTATTTTTTTGGATCGAATGAAAATTGCCGGACAATCGTGATTTTATTACTGAACACAAAATTCAAAAGAAAATAAATCGCAGCAGTCGTTTATTCTTTATTATCATGTTTATTTACAACAAAAAGCCTTATATTAAAGTTGTATACCAATTTTTATACTTGCAAGAAATTTAGTCAGAAAAAAAGAGTGATTTCATAGAAGTGTGGTTGTGTGTGTGTTTATATAGTCTAAGGTTCAATAACTAAAATTACATTCCAATTTTCATTTGTCGTACTTTCAACAGATGTAAATAGGAAAAAGACTAGATAATGTAGTTATTTTTTTTTCCTTTTTTATTTACCCTACAGTAATAATTATTGAAAAAAAATACTTACATGAAATTTATATGAATTACAATTCGTTTATTGTACGACAAAATTATAATTTTAGAAAATAGAGTACACATAGAAAATCAAACATAATCTTATTACCTTGCGAATTTTGAGATTAAGGTTGCTGAGATTGAACTGATTCTGTAGGCTATTTTCTCCATTATTGAAGCTGACTTTCTTCTCGACATTTTTCGTACTTTTTCCAACACCTTTTCCTTTTTTTGATTTCTTCGGTTTTTCACCGTGAAGCGATATTTTTTCCTCAATGCTGAGTTCTTTACCGTACATAAAACTGGCGCTATTCAGCACTATGTCAGCACTGTCGTCACTTAGGTTTTTGTAATACGAATTCAGATCCAATTCTGGAAGCTTAAAAACGAAAATATAAAATTCAAATATTAATATTTAAAATACTTTTCTGTTCGTAACTATTATAACAGATTATACAGATTATAACCTTTGACTAGTTTGCGCACATAGCACGCCCACTTATGGCCTCTAAAATTGTGCACAGCCCCTGACCGGCACAGTTATTAGAGAGATATCGGAAAACCGAATAGCGTCATCCAGTATTTACGCGTACCTTATCATGGTTACGATATGCGCGAGTCAATTTTTAACGCAACACCCGCTAATAACGTTACTGCCTGACGTAATTTGCGGATCAATTACACCAAGCGCTCTTTCTAAATAACCTCTGATAACGTTTAAAAATTGCTTAAATGGGCATGTGCGGGTATTTGACAACCGGAGCCGGCCGGCCAGATCTTTTATTTTAGGTTATGTTTGAATTGTTTTGAATTATTGCTTTAGTTTTATTAGGTAATTTGATATTTAAGTAGCTGGTATTAGTTTTAATTAAATAAATATGGCCCAAAATATGGATTCCACCTCTTCCAATACTAAAGAACCTATAAAGAGTCTTAGGTTTACAGCAGATGACGACTTAGCCCTTCTAAGAGAATTTGTTGCTTGTTGCCCTAAACCCACTGGCAGACGTTGAACAATAAAGCACTGGAAATAAGCACTTTAGCCCTTTAGTTTTAAAATACCTAGTAAACAAAACAATTTCAAAGTTTTAAATTCAAAGTTAGGTTAAGTTTAAATAGCAGACACGACGCGATCAGAATTCTTTCCGATCCGATAACTATAAATGAAGAGAGTTAATACTTAAGGTTAATACCACCTCACGTAAAGGAAATAACACCTGGCTTTATTAACGTCATGCACGCTATTCGGTTTAGCGATATCTCTCTATTACGCTGTTTATTGTTATTTTACGCGAGTTTATTTTTACGCACAGGAAATTTTACTCGTTTACACATCGTCATAAAAAACAATTTTCGTACCACGAATTAGGGACAAGATTTTTATCTGTATACTTATAGGATACCTAATCTGTGCTATTATATAGGGCTACTACAATTTTACTACTACTCTACTTTGTTTGCGCGGTATCCAAACCTTTGTCTGGGGTAGGCAACGCCTTTTTATCTACATTATGCACACCCCTGACCAGATGTTAATAACACTTACCTGTAAAAATTTCTGGATTCTTTTCACGCTAACCCATGCTTCCATCATGCCGTTCAGGACCCACGGGAAAGCATTTAATGGAGCTATGAGCATGTTGAGCAAAGCAATGCACGTAAAAACTGTAGCGGCTGTCAGTTTGTTGCCCATGAGCACGTAGGTTACGAAGGTCAAGATGGAGATCAGAACTGGAGTGGTTGCCCAGAAATAAACACACAGGGCGTCCAAATATTTGCGGCTTCTCAGGTATTTCAACTCTTGCGATCTTAAACCTGAAAATAATGAATGAATAAAATTAGTAAAAAAATTTAGAGGTTAGGTTTTTTTCTCGAATTTTATACTACATCATTTAAAAATCATTTTGGACAGAGATAAATATAAAAGATCGGTTGACAGACAGAGAGACAAAATAAAATCACTAGTAACATATATTATTTCGTATATTTTTCATTTTATTGATTTTATGGAAAGCATTGTTCATTAAAATGTTGTATCCTATGTTATAGAGCTTGTTTCTCTCAACAATTTTCTGTCTCACAATGTACCGTTTGTGTCCGGGAAGGGTTCATAGTTTCATAGTGGTCGATTTTCAAAAGAAATCAGTACATGTATATTATTTCGTATATTTTTCATTTTATTGATTTTATGGAAAGCACTGTTCATTAAAATGTTGTATCCTATGTTATAGGGCTTCTTTCTCTCTACAATTTCCTGTCTCACAATGTACCGTTTGTGTCCGGGAAGGGTTCATAGTTTCATAGTTGTCGATTTTCGAAAGAAATCAGTACATGTATATTATTTGGTATATTTTTCATTTTATTGATTTTATGGAAAGCACTGTTCATTAAAATGTTATATCCTATGTTATAGAGCTTGTTTCTCTCAACAATTTTCTGTCTCACAATGTACCGTTTGTGTCCGGGAAGGTTTCATAGTTTCATAGTTGTCGATTTTCAAAAGAAATCAGTACATGTATATTATTTGGTATATATTTCATTTTATTGATTTTATGGAAAGCACTGTTCATTAAAATGTTGTATCCTATGTTATAGGACTTGTTTCTCTCTACAATTTCCTGTTTCACAATGTAACACACAACAACATATTTGTATCAACATTGTAAAATAAAAAATAGCTAAATGAATTCTCAAGTACTAAACTTTGAAATTTACGTTTATTTTTTAATTAAAATAGATTCGTAGGAAAAGTTAATCTCGTGAATTATCAATCCGATATATAATCCAAAAGGAAAATTGTAGCAATAAATAAACTATTAGTACAAGTTAGTATTGAAATATCGAGGTAATCTCGCTGGAAAAGCTAACAATCCGGATCAAAATATTATATATTCGCAAATAAGGATTAAATGTACCTGTAGTTGCGCTACGAAATCCGCAATTTTACGAGGTATGGGGTAATCTCTTTAACTGGTTCGTTTACAGGGCGAACTAACTTAAAATTAGAGGTGGGGATGTCGACAATACGTCGACTAAGAAGTAAATGTCGACAATGTCATAGGCGAGGGTTTAAGGTTATGTTTATCATTTTTATTTTGATGTTTTCCAAATAATTTCTGAAGTAACGTCAATATTTGGATTAAAATTGATGTCTGGGAGATTTTTGACATGAGAAATTTAATTTTGAAGTCAATATGACACCTACTGGTAGAGGGTGCCACTTACATATTTTTTAACCGGTTTGAAGAGTAATAACTTTTCGTCCGTACCTGTATAAAACTACTGAGTAAAAAAATTACATTTACAACATTTATTACGTAAAAAAGGCCTCTTGGTAACAATTCCTACGAGTAATGGTTCTCGAAATATTTGGAATCGAAATGATCAATACTTCTCAGCATTGAAATAAATTAAACATTTTGAGTAAATAGTTATTAGACTAAAATCATAAATTTGAAATGTTTTGTGCCAAAAGTTCAACAGAAACTGTTTTATCGTCACTTTTTCGAAGAAAAATTTATGGTTAATTTAAAAAAATAAAAAGTTCCCAAATTAATAATTTTAGTCAAATATACTCTGTTTTTTTTTCTCAGGTAAGATTTCGACAGACGATGACAGAAGAAAAGCAGATGACGTCCCATACCAATCTATTTATTTTACTAAAAAAAGTTTCTAATAATTTTTAAGTTATCTATGGATGGGTTTAAATATAAATCCGTCATGCGTCGTGTCTTGTTGTTTTTAACCAGTTTTATTGGTTTATTTAAAAAATGACAGATCATATTTCAATTTTATTGGTTTGACGGAACGATGAACGACAAACGGACGCTGATGCGTATGAACTCGCCTTTAGATTTTTGGCATTTTTGACGCTTGTCAAAGTCTTGCCAAATTATAGGTTATAATTTTGTGTCAACTTTTGTTAAATACCCTGCGTTTTGTAAAATGATGCATTTTGATTCGTATTATTACGTGTGTTTTGTGTCTTTTGAAGTCAAGTGGAGGAAAAATCGAGTGAAAATTAACTGTAGACCCAGAGCACAGTTTATGGTTAATATTCGCTGCCCAGGCAGAAAGTCTTATACACCAATGAAGTTGCCATCGATAAAGTTTGTATACCATTTCGTCGTAGATAAGTGCATCTCGTATATGGTAGAAGGATCAAACTACACACATACTAAAAACTGGAGCAGCTGTAAAATATCGACATCACACGATAGGTAAATAATGGATTTTAGTACTGCAGAAAAATAATGTCAAAAGGTACTGGTTTAAAAAAATTAAGATTAAAGTTAATTAATCAACCTTTAAGGTATAAAATTTGGTAGGTGTTATTATTAATAAAATAGTTTGTTTTATTTACCTATGTTGTTTTATTTATTCCTGTGGAATATTACAAATTTGTATTTGTACATAAGTTATATTGATAAATATAATCATAAATGCGGGTAGTTTCATAAAGCTTGAAAGTAAATAATAGTTCTATTTTATATTTTTTTGGTATGTAGTGTCTTGTTCTTGTTTGTTTTGTATTAACACATACCGTTTTTATTAAATAAAACAACTCGATTACATTTTTTCAGTTTTATACAGTTTTTCACAATATTTTGAAGTAATCACTTGTCATCTTGTCAATCAAATTTTAAATATTTCCTGCTATGCGTTCCAGTTGTACCAACTTATTTCTTTGTAAAATAAAATAAACTACTTTGAAATTAAAATGACAGACACATCTATCACTGTCAAGGATCTTCTCGTTGGACAGACTATAACTAGCAACTCGACATGATTATTCTTACCAATAATGGCATGTATTGATTATTTCCATTCGAAATATCTTGAGAACGGTTGCTCGTAGCGATTTTCACAAAGAGACATTTTTTACGTAAAAAATCATGGAAATGTATATTTTTTCACTCAGTAGTTTTATAGAGGTCCGGACGAAAAGTTATTACTTTTCGAAACAGTTAAAACACATGTATATAGGTGGCGCCCCCTACAAACTTGTAACGTTTTTAGTTCGTTACATGTCTTTGTATATGATATATGATGTCTGGCGTATCATCACCGGATTCCCTATCGTTCAGGCCGGATAATTTAATTAACGCACTTGGCGTAATTTTTACGTTCCCTAGTCGCCAACCCTGTTATCGTTTGACACAACCCTGTTATCGCTCCGAGGAGGCGCTGTCAACATCGCTTCTGTCAACTCTCTCCGTGCTTAACCTCACTTTGTTTTGCGGCTCTGTTGCATCCCGGCTTTTAGAAATGGTGATTATTTAAATCTTGCTGTATAATCTGAATCAGCTGCTATTTCAAAGCAACAGGTAAAGATGAAATATTATCCTTTTAGATTCGATATTATTACTGCATATTTTTAGGCTGGAGTTTTGGATGTCCCAACCTAACTTGTATTTGTATTTTGCTGGCACGTTGGTGTCCCTTTTCTTTTGTCCTCCAGAATGTTACATGGAAGAAAGGACATGTTCATTATTATTTAGTGAGCCCTCGGAAGTAATTCGAGGTAGGTTCATTTTGTTTATTAGACCTTGTTTGATTTTAAACAAGAGTGTCGTATTTTTAGGGTCCAAGGTACGGACTATTTCCAAGGTACAAAGTTATGGTCCAGGTTACGGACATTATCCAAGGTCCTAGTAGTGTTCCAAGGTACGGGTAGTGTACCCATATCGCCACAGTATGGATACAGCGTAAGCCCCATGCTGCTTCGCTCCCATTTCTAAGCCTAGTCAGTAGCTACGGCTGTAGTGATTCATGGTGTCCTCATTCTGGCCCCTTTTGTTGTTTTGGCCAACAGAATCGCCGACAGACAGTACAGAGATGCGTGCCCACCTCACGCTTTTACTGTTTGAAGCAAGATTATATAAAGAACAGCTAAGTTTAGATTTAAGTTTTACATTTAACATTTAACACATTTTCAATCTTAAACAATAACGTACATCTTAAGTAATATCGTGCAGACTATGTTTAGTGGTTAGATTGCTAAGAACATTCATGTCGATTTAATATTTAAAATATAATTTAGATCTTAGGTTTCATGGCATTACGTCTTGTAATGGTATTACTTTTATAGATATTATTATTGCACTATTTTAACAGTTGAATAACCAAACATAGATTCTAGAATCTACGGGTTGCAACATCTTCGATTTAACGTCACATAAAATATATCAAATTAATTAAAGTAATACTACATTTCATACATTCTCTTAAACTTTACATGTCTTGTATTTCATTATAGTTGTTTTCATAGATATTTAGTACAATTCTTAACACCACTTTCGTTGACATACAACCACTTTAATAATTATTAAAATTGTACAATGCTATTTACCATCACAGTCCATCTTGAATAAATATAGTCACTAGTTTTAAGTAATAAACAACTGTGTTTTCTTTCTCTGTACATGCCTGGCGCCCAATATCTATTTTTTTTTGTTTATTGTTATTAATTAGTTTTCTTTCCAGTGAAATACCTTATCCACGACTGCTCTCCGATGAAAAGCTGCCGTTCGCAGTGGTAGTTGTTTAAAAAACGCTACAAGCTGGAATCATATTGACATGAAAATCAAATTTTTCACGTGAAAAAACTCCCAGACACTCCAATTTTCATCGAAATATTAACGTTTACTTCAGAAATTATTTGGAAAAAATCGAAATAAAAATGAAAATTCTACACCCTGTATCTCCGAAACTAAGCATTTTAGGACATACATTTATACCAACTTTTTTACTTATTTTTATCAGCAGAATATGCTGCCGAAATTTCCGGAATGCAGTTCGGACCTTCGGTATACTTAGTATAATAATAATAATATAGGAAGAAACATAAATATTATGGAAGATATTTTTCAAGATTATTAACAAAACTTCGGTTAATAAAATACGTAAATACTAGTCAAGTTAAATCCTAAAATAAAAAAATTCACTTACGTGAAATCCTGCTCATGAAATGCTCCTCCCAAACGTACAGTTTTATGGCTCTGATACCTCTCAGCACTTCGGCTATGATTTTCACCCTAGCGTCTTTTTTCTCCATCATTTTGGCGCTCAACGTTCCGATCTTATTGGCAATCGCCTTGTTGATAGGGATGAGAATGATACTGAACAGAACTCCTGCCAGGAAGGCTGGACCTACTTGGACGTAGAGTAGGTAAAGTGTAATAGCCAGCTGAAATGAAGGAACAGTAATGTTTTACTCACTATAGTCTCTTCAAAATAGTCACTAATATCAATGATTATTTTGTATTCATACATAAGCAAATGGTCTTAAATTAAGAATAAAACGTTCTCTATAATATGTACTTCTCTTATTGCGGAGATTGTCGTATAACTATTAGAGATTAATACAGAGTTTTCCAATGAGTCTCCTAATATACAGGGTGGTACGAATTGTATTCGAGAAACTTCGGCAGCATATTCTGCAGATAAAAATAAGTAAAAAAATTCGTATAAATGTATGTGTAGAAGTTTCAATTTTATTTCGATTTTTTCCAAATAATTTCTGAAGTAACGGTAATATCAGAGTAAGTAGATCGCCGAGTAGCGACAGAAACCGTCGGCTCTTTTGATGCGGTGGGACCAAATTTCTTTCTCTCTCTTTTGACGTGTTTGACAGATAGACTACGTATTTAACTGCTCAACTTATGAAGTGGTCCTATAAACATGGTATACACTGCTCATAATTTGAAGTGGAATTAATTATAAAGTTTTATACATATTTTTTTTTGTTTTGTTTTATCCTTATTTCTAAATTTGAATGTAATCAATATCTTACAGCTAATAAATAATTAAAAAAACGATTCGTTGCCTGAGGTGTACTTGAAATAAAGTATATAGAGATATTTGATAAATGGCAACAGTGGCAACTTCGCTTCTTCATATGACAGATAACCTACTTATTTCGCGCAGCCGCAAAGAAAATTGAAAACGGGACTGTCGCTACTCGGCGGTTTGTTTACTCTGGTAATATTTGGATGAAAATTGGTGTCTGGTAGTTTTTTGATATGAGAAATTTGATTTTCATGTCAATATGACTTCTACTTATAGAGGGCGCCACCTACATATTTGTTAACTGGTTTGAAGTGTAATAACTTTTCGTCCATACCTGTATAAAACTACTGAGTAAAAAAATATACATTTACGACTTTTTTACATAAAAAAGGTCTCTTGGTAAAAATCGCTACGAGTAATAGTTCTCGAGATATTTGGAATCAAAATTATCAATACCTGTCATCATTGACATAAATTTCAAATCTTTTTGTGCCAAAACTTCAACAGAAACTGTTTAATCATCATTTTTTCGCAGAAAGATTTATGATTAATTTAAAAAAATAAAAATTTATTATTTCAGTAAAAAAAAACTATACTCAACGTGTGCTATTTTTTTGCTAATAATGACATGTACTGATTATTTTCATTCTAAATATCTTGAGAACGGTTGCTCGTAGCCATTTTTACCAAGAAACATTTTTTACGTAAAAAGTCATGGAAATGTATATTTTTTCAGTCAGTATTTTTATACAGGTAGGGACGAAAAGTTATTACTCTTCAAAACAGTTAAAACGCATGTAGGTAGCGCCCCCTACAAATAGAAGTCATTTTGACATCAAAATCAAATTTATCGTGTCACAAAACTCCCAGACACCAACTTTCATCCCAATATTAACGTTACTTCAGAAATTATTTGAAAAATACCGAAATAAAAATGAAACACCCTGTATCTCCGAAACTAAGCATTTTAGAACATACATGTATACAAACTTTTTTATTGCAGAATATGCTGCCAAAGTTTCCGGAATACAGTTCGGACCACCCTGTATATTAGAGATCTTATACAGGGTGTCCCAGAAATAAGTGCAAGTATTTTAAAGTGTGGTAGATGTCGATAAAAGAGACATATTTTCTCTTTATCGTTTTTCAAATATGTCCAAAATAACGGAGTTATTTTAGTTTGAAAATTTCCAAAAAAATGATTTTTTGCGAAGATTTTGAGAACCACTGGATCTTTTCTGGATTTTCTTTCTTGTAAATTTAATCTACTATAGTAAACGCCACGAATGTTTGGGAGTGATTCATCAGTCGCTACCATGTGAACTAATCTGTTCTAGGTCACATAAAACTTGTAGCATTTTTTATTTCCTTTAATAAAATTGAATTTAAAATTCTATTTTTATTTAAATTTCTTAGTATTGGCGCCATCTATTTGCTAGATGCCAAAGATACCAAACTCCATTTGTTACAGCTCACTTGTCTCGATATTTAATTTTTATTAGCGCATCTATTCGCTAGATGTTAAACTTCATTTATTACAGTTCACTTGTCTTGTTTATTAGCGCCATCTATTCGCTATATGCCAAACTTCCTTAATTGCATTTCACTTGTCCAAATCTCACTACGCTGTGGATTGCGATTTTCTGTTCTAATGATTTCGATCATATGATATCACTTTTTTCTTTTTTTTCTGGGAATTTGGATCTGAAGAAGACGCGTGTTTCGGCGTCCGACAAATTTTCCAGTGAAAAGCACTCTGAATCCACTTTTCGATTTCCATTGCATGGGTATCCGATTTGGGAATTTGAAAACCTTGTAAAGTATGCAATCCAGAGTAGAGATCGTATTTGTTTGGTTTCTTCTTGGAATGATCACGTTATTTCCGTTTTTTATTTCGTTTATTTGAGTATTTAATTACTGGTGTTGAATCGGCATATGGTTTGAATATATTTATGTAAAGCTGATTTTCTGACCAGTAACTACCACATGGTACTCAGTAACTACCACATGGTACTCAGTAACTACCACATGGTACTCAGTAATTACCACATGACCTTAAGACAGTGTTCCTGACATTACAATCGTTCTTTTGGCTGATATCGAAGACTTCTCCTGCCATAGTCATCTGCATCCACATCTGTTAGTCTGGAGAATACCTACCTACCTGTTTGCATCATAAGAAACTATATACAGATAAGTCTCTCTCTCTTAAGTTTGATACACAAGGTACGCTTTTATTTTATAATTTTTGAGACAACAGATTTAATAACCTGGTAAATTATCACTATTTATCCCACATATTGTAGTCAAAATTATTTTTTATTTAACGTTATAAGTTATAATTTGATTCGTACAGTACACTCTTACCTAGCTATGATATTTTATATGAAAATTATTAACACGTATTGATTTTAAAGGTTTTTGTACACGACATGTTTCGAAACATCATCGTATTGAGACACACATCAATTTCACCTGTTTTTTTATTAAGTAGCTTACTTAGTTCAAAGAATACAGTTACTAAATTCGAATCTAATTAAAATAACTTGCGGTTTTATTGGGATCATTGTGACTAATTGATGATACTTGTGTTCGTTTTCAATAAATGTTTAATGTAGGATAGTTATTTCTGACTTTTATTCCTGATAAACATAATAGACCCTTAATGCTGTTGATTACTTTATTTTAGCTATGTTGTAATATCATATTTTTCTTTTTGGTTTCTTACTTTACCACTCTCATAAACAAAGTAAGTGGCGCCCTTTTCACTGTCTTTGACCATACCTATTTGAATTCTTAACATCAATATTAAAATCTCTGCAGCCTATATATTATCATTTTTTAAATTTTTTTAACAACATTAGAAAGTCACTGTGAGTCAGAAGCCTTACCTACGAACCCAGCTTTCCTCTAACCCTGAGCAACGGATTCTTTTATCATTCTATTTGGGTAACGACAGAAAAGTCGTCACAAACTTAATTCCAGTGCCGTGGTGTTGCAAGTCATATAATAATCAATATATAATCTGTTGTAATTTGTTGTTTTAACTGTCAAAGTCTTGTCAAAACATATATTTGGTTATAAATATAAAATGGAATGCCCCATTGGTCGCACTGCAAGCACACCAATGACTGCACAAAAACGAAACAATCAAAGAAACGCGATATAGTATCGTCTTTGTCAATCACGCTAACATTTTAGAATAAGTAGGAGGAGCGCAGGCAGATGATTAAACCGGGCCTTTAAAAACCTACGTCTGCGGTAAAAATTTGCTTTTTTAATGTAAAAATGGTAGCGCGCGTGTCGATTCTAACTTCATCAAGCGATGAATCCCTCCCAATCATTCGTGGCGTTTACTATACCTATGTTGCCGTATTATCAAGAAATTATTTTAAAAAAACTAAAAAAAACTTCAAAAAATTCCGAATTTTCAATTTTTTTTTCGCGAAAAAAACCTCATAGGCGTTTTTCTGGGGTTGATCTATACTATAGTCTGTCCAACGAGAAGATCCTTGACAGTGATAGATGTGTCTGTCATTTTAATTTCAAAGTAGTTATTTTATTTTAGAAAGAAATAAGTTGGTACAACTGGAACGCATAGCAGGATATATTTAAAATTTGATTGACAAGATGACAAGTGATTACTTCAAAATATTGTGAAAAAAACTGTATAAAACTGAAAAAATGTAATTGAGTTATTTTATTTAATAAAAACGGTATGTGTTAATACATAACAAACAAGAACAAGACACTACATACCAAAAAAATATAAAAAAGAACTACATATTATTTACTTTCAAGCTTTATGAAACTACCCGCATTTATGATTATATTTATCAATATAACTTATGTACAAATACAAATTTGTAATATTCCACAGGAATAAATAAAACAACATAGGTAAATAAAACAAACTATTTTATTAATAATAACACCTACCAAATTTTATACCTTAAAAGTTGATTAATTAACTTATTAATTATTACTTATCTTAATTTTTTAAACCAGTACCTTTTGACATTATTTTTCTGCAGTACTAAAATCCATTATTTACCTATCGTGTGATGTCGATATTTTACAGCTACTCCAGTTTTTAGTATGTGTTTAGTTTGATCCTTCTACCATATACGAGATGCACTTATCTACGACGAAATGGTATACAAACTTTATCGATGGCAACTTCATTGGTGTATAAGACTTTCTGCCTGGGCAGCGAGTATTAACCATAAACTGTGCTCTGGGTCTACAGTTAATTTTCACTCGATTTTTCCTCCACTTGACTTCAAAAGACACAAAACACACGTAATAATACGAATCAAAATGCATCATCTTCCAAAACGCAGGGTATTTAACAAAAGTTGACACAAAATTATAACCTATAATTTGGCAAGACTTTGACAAGCGTCAAAAATGACAAAATCTAAAGGCGAGTTCATACGCATCGGCGTTCGTTTGTCGTTCATCGTTCCGTCAAACCAATAAAATTGAATTACGATCTGTCATTTTTTAAATAAACCAATAAAACTGGTTGAAAACAACAAGACACGACGTATGACGGATTTATATTTAAACCCATCCATAGATAACTTAAATATTATTAGAAACTTTTTTAGTAAAATAAATAGATTGGTATGGGACGTCATCTGTTTTTCTTCCGTCATCGTCTGTCGAAATCTTACCTGAGAAAAAAAACAGAGTATACCAGTTAAAATACTTGCACTTATTTCTGGGATACCCTCAAATCTCCCAGCTACATAAGTATAAAAAATGGCCACCATAAATCACTTTCTAAACGAAAGTATATCAAGATCCAATTCCTCAAGCTAGACAAAACAACACCAGCCTGTATTTAGGTCACGAATACTACATCAAGCACCAAAAAGAAAACAAACAAAGATAGGAACGTTCTCAAGTAATTCGAATAAATAACCAAGTTCCAGCAAGTTCAGGATATTAATAAGCCGAGAACGAACCGAACAGAAGTTAACAGAACTTCTATGCGACGATTTATTTGTTATGATTGAGCAAAAGTCGTCTGAAAATAGGCCACTGACTTCGGGAAAACTATCGGGAAAGCGCGATAAGGCTCCTCCATACGAATAAATTACATAAGAGTCCCGTTTTCGGTAGTTTTTATACTCTGTTTCTGTTCGGCTCTATTGACCGGAAGAGACTATTCGTCGGTATAAAGTTATATTTTCCAGTTTTATCTCTTTTACGGAAATTTCCCGGGAATTTTTCTTTCCGGTTTTGGTTGTTTTTCTCGCGTCCGATTGCATCGAAGTTAATTAAATGGATTTGGAATTGATATAGAAAATATCGGAGTTAATAGCCCATCTATTAACTCCGATATAACATCTTCTAATGTATATGTTACAGTAAAAGTCGGAAATCAGTGATTGTTTAAAAATTACTAGTAAAAGCTCACATTCACTGATTTGCTAAGACTACGCCAGTAAAAGTTTGAAACCACCTTTTACTAGTGAATGCTAACATTCCCTGGATGATGGCATTGAGTTTGAAAGATTCAGTTGGCGCTGTTGCCTCATGTTGTAAAATATATGGATAAATAAGGATAAGTTGAATAATAGGTATAGTCTGGTAAAACGAATAACTTTGAATTTGGCAGTTCCCGCGGGCTTTTCTAGTGTTAATTTGATTAGGTTAGCAACTTGCGGCCATGCTGACGCAATGCCGTCTCTAATAGAACAGCCTCAGAGCGAGATTTATGACGTCACGCTAGTTAGATACTACGGGTTAATAAATATGTTGTAGAATACATGGAAAACATAATTATTCCTCGTATTTTTTGGTTTGTATTTTAAAATGATATAGTTTACATGAAATATACCTAATATACAGTTAATAAATACAATATATATACCTATTTATAGTAATAAATACTTTGGCAGATAATCTATGAACCATACAAATGCAGCAAATGTTTTACAATATGGCTGAAATCGTACTCCATAGTCAATGTAGATAGTTTTGTGTTAAGAATAATAATTTTTAAAAAAATATGTGGTCATCTTTTACAAGTTTGTATTAGTTTATTAATTGCAGTAAACATTATAATATATAAATAAATTTTGTGAATGCAAATAATAATACATCACTATTAATAGATATTGAATGTTTTTTGTTAAATTAGATCGATTTTCAAACCCCAAAATTTAAAATATATTTTACATTTTACCCATTATCTTATGTACCACCTATTCGTTATTTGTATATTGTAAAACATTTGCTGCATTTGTATGGTTCATAGTTTATTTGGCAAAGTATTTATTACTATAAATAGGTATATATTATATTGTATTTATTAACTGTATATTATTTATATTTCATGTAAACTATATCATTTTTAAAATACAAACCAAAAATACCAGGAATAATTATGTTTTCCATGTATTCTACAACATATTTATTAATCCGTTGTATCTAACTAGCGTGACGTCATAAATCTCGCTCCGTGGCTCTTCTATTAGAGACGGCATTGGTCTAATATTTAGAAATGTCAAAAGCTGATGACATTTTACTTTTGTCAGTTATGACATTTTGTGTTGATTTTTGCAAGAAGAGGAAGAACTGTCACTTGTTTTATTATTTTCCTTTTCTATTTCACGAAAGTAAAAAGAGTTACCCATCTAGTTCGTTCAGGCACTCAATTTAAAGAATATCAGTAACTTTTTTGACAGGGGGATTTTATATTTGCCATGTTGGTAAAAAATAACGGTCAAAATTCAAAGTTATTCATTTTATAGACTATAATATAAGCACGGCATATAAATCAATCGGCAGGCTAACTCGCTTTGGCGGGAACGCTACGCGCATATCCTCGCGCACGCCGCCATTTACGTTTCCATCAGCAGAAAGTAACCAGTGTCGTAGTTTTTTCAGCGACAACACACAGTTACGGCAGAGTCGAGTCAGTAGCGTGCGGCTTAATTTATTTTGATTTTTTCTTGAGTGATATATTTTGTTTTTGTTGTTTTATTTTTGTTTATTATGTGATATATTTGGTTTTTCTAGTTTTATTTTCGTTTCTTATGTAATATGATTTGTTTTAGTAGTTTTATTTTTGTTGTTCAATAAAAGTTTCAATAAAATATTTTAGTTGTGAAAAAAACAGTAGTATACATATTAGGACATTCAGCTAAATAGGAAGACCTAATTAAAAAACTTAACAAACTTTAATATTAGTAAGACTTAATGTTAAATATTTAGTAAAATTTAATGTTGTATCTAGACATTAAAAATTAAATTTAAGAATCATTATATTATTAATTTAAATATAATTATAAAAGTAAATAAAATGAGTATATCGAAAATAAGTTAACAATACATTTTGAAGATATAAATAAGGCCCACAAAAGTTGTCTTCTGTTCATTTTGAATTTAAAATGTTTACCAATTCACTTTGTAACCGTATAAAATACAATGCGGTACCTACTTTGTTTCCTGCCATGAAAAAAAATAGAAGTTTCTCAAAAAAAATTGTGGATTTGTTAATTTGTGAAATTTGAATATTAATAAAATTTGCTACGCCCATTGATGGGCATAATTTGTACGTAGCCTCTTTATATTGTTCAATAAATATTTTATTGGTATTTCTTTAATTCTTGTTTGTAACTCCTGGCATGTTTTTGTTAGTTGCATGTTTTTTAATTTTAATTGTCTATTCTCTACAGTGAAATATTTAATTGATTTTTTCATTTTTACTTTTCGAGAAGTATGCGCGGTTAACGAATCATTTGTTTGGACAGAAGTAATAGAGAACAACGGCATACGGTCGAGTCGGCCTACAAACACGTAAACGTTTACGTACGCATGCGCATTTCTTATATTTTTTATTTTTTATACACGTAAAAGATTCTTTACGTCTACGTATACGTGCCAGCAGCGGCCGACTCGACCGTATGCCGTTGTTCTCTATTGTGTAAATAAAATTCAGTTTCAGTCAATTACAGTATTTTTTTAATACGACCCTGTCTAACAATAGTTTATTTTCTGAGAAATTTTTTGATACGTTTTAATCCGACCCTGAGTAGGAAATTTAAAACAATGGAATCTGAGCAGAGTTAGCCTGCCGTGTGATTTATATGCCGTGATATAAGGATAACATATAACATTAAATTCGGCTAAACGTTGGCAGCGTTGACAGACATCTGGCGTAAATTCGCTTTGTTTTTTGTGGTTATGTATAATTGTTTTGTTATCGTTGTAAAAAATGCTGTACGGTATTTTCCCTACGGAAGAAATTTTCTGTGAAAAATTATGGTTAACCAGGCACTCGCAAAAATGCAATAGTTCTTGTTTTTCATTTTTGCTTAATATAATCAAGTCATAGCAAAAGCGTGCAAGACAAAAAATATTAAGGAACCTAGTGACTATGAACTTATTAAACGTTTTGATATGCTTGAAGTAGCAGGTTTGAAAAAACGACTAACTTTGACCAACATAAAAACAACGATTTCCCTCTAACAAACCAATAATCCAGATAAACTGTATTTCCAACGAATAACGAACTGTTTCTATGGATATTAATTCAATACACAAAATCTATTTTCACGCTATTATCCTAATCCAGACTTACCTGGAACGGTATGTTCCACATCGAATGGAAACTGGGACAGGCGTTCACGATTCTGTCTGTGTCCGTGGACATGAAATTAACGATTTCGCCCAGCGAAAAGTGATTGTTTAACACATGGGGACTGACGCTCAGCGTTTTCCTGTAGATCGTCGTTATTAGAGCTCCTTTTATTCGAAATCCGATCATGGACATGAGGAAACTGAAGTGGGAATCGGCCATTGCAGCTGAAACGGAAATTTAAAATGGATATTATAACAGTAAAATTGTAGAAGGATACTACATCTAACAATCTACAGTCAAGTTTAAAGTGTTATTTTTTTACTTTAAGCCCTATTTTCATGATTTTTTTAACAAACTGTATATAAATCTATCAACTTTAATTCATACACTTAGTTTTTAGGGTTCCGTATCCAAAGGGTAAAAACGGGAACCCTATTACTAAGACTCCGCTGTCCGTCCGTCTGTCACAAAGGTCTATCTTATGAATCGTTATAGCGAGACAGTTGAAATTTTACAGATAATGTATCTATGTTGCCGCTATAAGAACAAATATTAAAAACAGAATTAAATAAATGTTTATAAATAAAAAAGTACTTACACTAAACATTATCTTTTAACTAAGAATTTTACATAGAATCGTTCAAGTCATCGGTGGCCGCGTGGTTAAAGAGTTAGAACTTTACGCTGCTATGACGTTGGAGCCGTAGTAAGGCAGGTTCGAATCCTAGTCAAGGCGACTTTTTTTAATCGTTTTTTTTTTAATTTTTACATATTTATTTTCACTTTTTACATATTTATTATTGATTAATACAATTTTTAGTAATGTGTGTATTCATTTTTTTTAAATTACTTATACGCGAAACTAAACGTTCTCTAAAAACAGAATTAAATAAACGTTGTTAACACTTATACGCGCATTCAAAATTTCAGCTAAATCGGAAAAAAAGTTTATAATAATATGTCTAATGTTGTATAGATAATGAATGGTACGGAACCCTTCGTGCGCGAGTCCGATTCGCACTTGACTAATTTTTTTATCAACTTTAATATTTGTCTTATTATACAGGGTTAATTGAAGAGTTGTTTTTTACCCTAACTTTAAAACACCCTGTGCAATAATTTCGTGTGTAACTTTTCCTAAAACATTATTTTTCGATCAAAATCGCTTTCTTTTTTGACTCATGTCAACACATGCCTTGGTTAATTTTGAAGAGCGAAACGAACTTGCCAACAACAATTTGCAATTTTTTCAACTATCATTACTTTATAATCATTGCCTGGAAACTTATATGGTGAAATTTTGATAAAATAATTTAGTACATACTAATAAAGTCGCAGTTCAGCCTTAACAGGTAGTATACTAGTCGCAAGATTGCCTAATTTAGTCATCCTAGAGTCTAGCTTGTGCCGCCTCTATATTCTAAATAAACGAGGGAGTGGATAAAGTATCGGTAATATGTCGATGTATATTTAAATTTAGTTTTATATGTGCCTTTCTTAGGTCCCATTTTAATTAAGTTTTTTTATAAAAACATAAACAGCACTGAACTGTCTGACTGAACAGAACAATGATGTGAAAATTTAAGATTTAAGGTTATGGTTCAATACAGTTGCAAAAAGGTAGTGGCTCGACGTCCTACCAACGTATGAATAAGGAAATCTAAACAACGTTGGAATTAGTAAAACAGACGACGTTTGCGCAACGTTGGAATAGGTCCTGAAAGTGACGTCGGAAAACTCTTTATTGCCCAACATTGTAACTACGTTGTCCGAATCACCTAAAGATCGCTTAAGCAAAAAAGGTTACAAGACAACGTTTATTCGACGTCGCAAAAGCTTTTACTTTGTTGTAGTACTAGTCCAACGTCGGCACAACGTTACAACAACGTTTACATTTATTTTAATACCGAAGGTACGGAGCTAACTATTTTTGTAACTAATCCAACGTTGTGTTTAGTAAACATGTGGTCGCAAGTCGTGAAAATGCTACTTGGGCATGAGACAGCGGGATTAAATTGTTTTACAAAGAGGTAAATCTACCCCAGAATGGAGTAGCTGTAGCAACACGTGTCACGACTCACGGCCTTGAATTTTTACTCCAAACGCGAGTAAAGAAGTTTCACTAAAATTATAGAAAAATAACTAATAATCCTACTTACCTATGAACGTAGACAGTAACAATCCTCCAGCATAGAGGTACCCGTATGCAATGTCCTCATTCTTGTCTTCTATAAAGCTTATTAGTTTATTTAAAATCATGGGACTAGCGAAGTTAGCGCAATCCCCAACGAACTTTAGTATTCCTATAGAGTAAAATTCCACCCAGAATACTTTATGGAGGGCTTTAACTAGGGAATAATCCAATTTTTTGACTTGGACCTCTGGTTGAAGTCTAATAGTATCCGATGTTGCTAAAAATAAAGAAAAAATTGACTGTTACATTATTATTGAAATCACAGCTGAATCAGTACCAGCTGGTCACCGTTGCTCATTTTTAGTACCCAAATCATAATAAGTGGGCAGGCTGTGTATGAATGAGTTGTGATAAATTCCTAGATCATATATACTTACGTGGATAAATGTGTAACAAATTACAACGCCATAAGTTTAGCACTGTTTAGCATTAAAAAATATGTCTACAACATCACGACATGCCATTTTCAAACCTTCTTTATTGCACTTATGAAACGTTCAATAGGTTTGTCTTTCTCGAGGACCTTACTTTGCGCATGCGCATTAAAATAATCACAATTTTGTACGGTTTAAGCTTGATTTTCATGCATCCGTTTGTCCGACGATACGATATTAATTTTATTGGGTGAATTGAAAGACTTTGATTGGTTAGAAACGGTTAACCAATCGAAGTCTTTAAAATCAACCAATAAAATTAATATCGTACCATCGTATCGTCGGATAACGGATGCATGAAAATCAAGCTTTAAGCCGGAGTCTCATGCATCCGAAATCCGATGACACGACGATCCGACGGTGCTCCTAATGGTCGAAATATTTTGACACCAATTTTTATCCGATAATTTTAACTAATCGTCCGACGTCGTATAAAGTTAAATTTGTTTAACTTTTGTACGATATCGTGTGTTTTTTAACCTCACTTTTTTTGAAAACATTTGTTTTTAAAAACAAGTTTAGGGGGAAGTGGGCAATTTCGGAATATTTGGCGAGGAAGTTATTTTTATAAGTGTTTCTCCAATAAAACATGACATGAATCTCTATTCAGTACAGCAGAGAAATGTCAAAAGTGTCAAATTTCGGAACGAACTTTCGGATGTATGTGACAGGCCTTTTTTATTTCATAGGATAACTTCAAATTTCGGATGTCGTACCATCGGATTTCGGATGCATGAGACTCCAGCTTTAGAAAGTACAAATTAAACATTGTTATGGAAACCAACTTATCATTGTCATCATATTGTCATAATCATATGTCATAATCTTATGTTCATTGTGTAACGACGCTTGTTTTTTGCGTTTTTTATTTTAAAAATTGTATTAATTACTCTTTTATCGACCGCTTTTATATAGGCAAGAATGCAATGTTCGGTGAGAAGTTAATTTTAAGTTTGTGAAACTATATTTCTATTTTTTTTTTCGTTGGACTTTCTAAATACTCGTAAAAATGACTAGAAAGTGTTTAGTGTGTGACAGTTCTAATATAAAGGTCCCCGAATTATCATTTCATAGGCAAATAAAGTATTCAGTTGTTCTTTTATTTATATTAAGCCACATGCATACTTTCTGGTTAGACTACCTAAGAATATTGATAATCGTACGGAGTGGCTAAATGTATTTTTTATATAATTTAATTTTTATGACAGTAAACATTCAATTTATTGTTCAAATATAAGCATTTTACAAATTAAATTTTTAAAATTAATGTTCAAATTTGGCGCGCGGGCGATAAGTCCTCGACAAGGATAGATAGAGTAGAAGCACCGCGTGTGCAACAAAAAAAGAAGATAAATGATGGATAAATGGGAGTCGTTGATATGTTTGCGACAGTTTCCATAGTGATTTACTTATCCACGTCAGTATTATGATCTAGGCATGATCATAGATAAAAGAAAATAATCTTCTATTAAGATAGATATGAAACTTAATAGTAAAATTTTGGGCCAAAGCGCCCCTCCGTGTTCTTAGTAGAGACTACGTTTAACCCAGCGCCTTCGCCTTTTCTGCTGTAAATATTTTTTATGTTTATATTTGATTTTAAAGGATTTAGTTTTAAAGTTACACTGATATATTAGTATATCAGAGTAACTTTAATAAAACATAAGAATATATATATATTTTACAGTTTATTAAATATAAATTTTGACTACAAGGTAGAAAGTAAATCACAATATTTGATAAAAGTTATAAGTATACCATTTTTACAGTTAATAAATAATAAAACTATTTCTGACTATGATATTTAAAATTTAGATAGATAGAATAGTAAAAAACATACCGGTATTTGCAGACGCACGCCCAAATTCAATAAAAACCAATTTTTTTTCTGTGAAATTCGGGCTTTTTTCACAGAAAAAGTATTTTTTGATTTATCAACAATCATTGTCAAGTTGACAATATACAGGGTGTTTTCTAATTAGTCTAAAAAATTGTGGTGTGATTCCTCATGTGTTCTATAAACAATTTTTATATAACCATTGGGTCTAAAGTACTTCCTTTCTGATCTACAGGGTGTTAAAAATTAAAAAAATCGATATTTTGCTTAAAATAAATGGTGCACTACTGCTTTTTTAAAGAAAATATATTTTTTTCTTGACTGGCCATCCTTTTTCAACGAAATTGATCTTTTGAGTTTTTCTTGTTCATCAAACGGTTGCCGAGAAAAAAATAAATATACTTATTAAGAGCCCGCCTTAAGCCGTTTTCTAACGATTTTTTATTTTTTAGATTAATTAGGAAACACCCTGTATATGCATATCACAGGCAACCAAATAAACTAGTAACCTCTAAAAATTATTTTTCCTACCACTAGCGACATACCGTGTTTTTAGTGAGTACTAAATTATTTTATCAAAATTTTACCATATAAGTTTCCAGGCAATGGGCATGATCTAGGCTTACAACAATAATAAAATGTCTATTACTATGCTATTACTTGGCGTATTTTAAACCACCCACACTATTTTAGACTAGAAATTTTGAAAAATATCCTATAACGGAGTGAAAAAAAAACCTTCAAAAGAATATCTCCCGACCACAAAGAACGTTTTTTTTTCTATAGCCTGCCGCATGCTGTGGCATTGTCTTTAGAGCAGCATTGTTCCAGTTTGAAGGGTATTCTTTTTCTTTGCATATCTCGGCCGTATTTTCATGTTTAGCTTTAGCGAATGCTACGAAAATGAAAAGCCAAAGTCGAGAAAATGCAAAAGAAATAGTAAATACAGCTACAGAAAACAATTTTTTAGATTTTTTCTTCTAGGTTTCTATAAGGCGTATGGTAACAATGGTAATAAAATAATCAATACTTTTTTATTTTTACAAAAATACTATAAAAGATGAACAAGGAGAAATTTTTTATCTAATAATATAATAACAAAAAAATTAACTTCATGTAACAGTGTATGGAAATCACCCTAATATACAGGGTGGTCCAAATTGTAATCAAGAAACATATTTCGGCAACGTATTCTACAAATAGAAACAAGTAAAAAAGTTCATATAAATTTATATCCAAAAATGCTTCGTTTTGGAGATACAGGGTGTAGAATTTTCATTTTTATTTCGATTTTTTCTGAATAATCTCCAAACTAACGTCAATATTTGGATGAAAATTAGGGTCTGAATGTTTTTTGACATGATAAATCCGATTTCAACATTTTCATAGAAATTAAAATAGCGATACAACTCTATAGGCAAATGTTACAGTTAGTTCGAGGCATTATTAAAGAAAGCAATAATACGCTTAGTCCCAGAGATATAACAGCTTGGTTATTTTGCCGTACAAGGAAAAAACCAGACATGTCCTTACGCATGGGCGACAAGCATGCATCTTGCAATTATTATTACATGTAGGTACTAAATATATGTATTCTAATAAAACCCTACTTAAATATTAATTTTCCTCCTACAACAAAAAAATAATAGTTTAGATTTAGATTTTAAACAACCTTTAATTGGACATCCCTGGTTTTTCCCCTGTTTATTTTGCATTTTGACATTTTTATTTCGGTATTCCAGAATATGGCGATAATTCACAAAATTAATAATCCAGAATTGGTAGTAATATAATTTTTTTCTAATTATTCAACCGAAAATAAATATATTTCTTTAAAAATTAACGAATGGGGATAAGATTCTAACACTAAATTGTATTTTTCTCGGCTCTAATTAAAATAAAGAAAGCTCGTTTTTCCCGTGTAGTCTTCATAATTTCAAGCAGATTTGAAGAGTAATAACTTTTCGGCCGTACCTGTATTACTCTACTTAGTGCAAAAATATACATTTCAATACAAAAAAATGTAGGTGGGCTCCCTCTACTAGTAGTAGTCATATTGACATCGAAATCGTATTTTCCGTGTCAAAAAACAACCATATACTATTTTTTATACAATTATGACGTTTGTTCAGAAATTATTTTGAAAAATTGGAAATAAAAATGAAACTTCTACACCCTGTATCTCCGAAACTAATAATTTTAGAACATATATTTATACGGACTTTTTTACTTATTTTTATCCGCAGAATATACTGCTGAAGTTTCCCGAATATAATTTGGACCACCCTGTATACAAGTAGTACTAAAATAATTGTAATACTCATACTACACACTACTACATGAGCAAATATTCGCCCATTTTTGCCCATGGAAATAAGGTACATAGTAATATACTACAACTTACTCGCTTCATCCTCTTGTTGCTCATTGTTTTGTCCTCCAGCACTGTATATTTGTAAAAAATTCCTATGCAATTCCCCACTGACTGCTGAACAGCTCAAGCAATGAAGAAGGTCAAACAAATCTTCAGACGTCTTTAGTTGACCTTAATTTAAAGAAAAAAAGAATGTTAAGAAAACTAAAAACTAATTCTGAATGTACGCAGAGAGAGCAAAAATGTTTTTTTTGTCTGGAGCAACATCGTTTTTGTCTGTTATAAAACATTATTATTTGTTGTTTTATAAAAACACTAGCGTGTACTCGCGACTTCGTTCGCATCGAATTAATCATTTGTAATGGTGATGATAAAGCAAAGCAAGCATTTCCATTAACATATAAACTGGATAAAATATTCTCGCATTTATGTCAGCATGAGAAAAAACAATATGGCGATATTATTATATGTATAACTTGGTAGAGTAAACGCCACGAATGTTTGGGAGTGATTCATCGCTTGATGAAGTTAGAATCGACACGCGCGCTATTATTTTTACATTAAAAACGTAAATTTTTACCGCAGACGTAGGTTTTTAAAGGCCCGGTCTAATCATCTACCTGCGCTCCTCCTACTTACTCTAAAATATTAGCGGGATTGACAAAGACAATACTATATCGCGTTTCTTTGATTGATTCGTTTTTGTGCGTCAGTCCATTGGTGTGCTTGCATTGCGACCAATTGGGCATTCCATTTTATATTTATAACCAAATATATGTTTTGACAAGACTTTGACAGTTAAAACAACAAATTACAACAGATGATATATTGATTATTATATGACTTGAAAGACCACGGCACTGGAATTAAGTTTTATGTGACCTTGAACAGATTAGTTCACATGGTAGCGACCGATGAATCACTCTCAAACATTCGTGACCTTTACTATAATAGATATTTGAGGGGTAGTTTCATCTCGTTGGAATTTGACTTTCGAAAAATCCGTTTGCCAAAAATAAGCTTTTTACGTCAAGCAGTTTAAGCAGAATCGTGGTTAATCAATTACCCCACTTTTTGGAACACCCTGTCTAATTTAAAAAAAAAATGGAAATATGTAAAAAAACAAAATAAATTATGCGTGTCCTAGCGTTTTCCCGAAAGACAAACCGTTTTTTAAATAAGAAATATTGTAATATTTGAGGGGCGTTTTCATCCCCTTGGAATTTGAGATTCGAGAAACCGCTCCTTATCGAACCTTTACACCCCACAGTCAATCCGTTTGCCAAAAATCAGCTTTAAACGTCAAGCAGTTTAAGCAGAATCGTGATTACTTAATGATCATATTTTATGAAACACCCTGTATAAATTTATAAAAAATCTTAAAATATGTAAAACAACAAAATAAAATATACGTATTTAAGAGTTTTTCCGAAAAACTCACCAGTTTGTAAATGAAAAAATATTTTAATATTTGAGGGATAGTTTCACCCCCTTAGAATTCGAGTTTCGAAAAATCCCTGCTTATCGAACCTCTACACCCTAAAGTCAATCTGTTTTCCAAAAATCAGCTTTTTACCCCAAACACTTTAAGCAGGATCGTGATTAATCAATGACCAGATTTTTCGAAACAACCTGTATACATTTTAAAAAATCTTAAAATATGTAAAAAAACAAAATAAAATATACGTGTTTAAGCGTTTTTTCAGAAACTTGGCCGTTTTTTAAATAAAAAATATTGTAATATTGAGGGGTGGTTTCACCCTCTTGGAACTGGAATTTCGAAAAATCCCTTCTTATCGAACCTCTACACCCCAGAATCAACCTGTATGCCAAAATTGAGCTTCTTACGTTGAGTGGTTTGAGCAGGATCGTGATTAATCAGTATGTCAATCACTTAAGGATTTTAGATATTAGTATAGATCATGTTTTGATTGTAAAGAAAATATTATGTTTTATTATCCTAAAACTGTTAGTACCAACTGTACTAAAACTGTTTTGCTCTTTCTTTGTGCATCCAGGCAAATAATTCCTTCCTTAATAACCTTTGACTCCTTTTTGCATCAGAGGTTCCACCCAAGAAAACAATAACTTAGAAAGTACCGAGGCATCTTCCATGGCAACTCCAAGATATGTTGGATCTCCGTCCTCTATAAACCTTACATAGGCGTTGTGTAAAAGTGGTTGCTGTTCTCCAATCTAAAAAAATACAATTCATATGATTTTTTTTGTTATAAGCTTGGTACATTTTAGTTGATTTCAACAAATTGCGACCGCAGCGCTTTAACGGCGGAAGTCGGAAATTATCAATATGTATTTCACGCCGCCCGCCGCGCCGTATGTTGATCACATTAAAATAATATTGAAATCGTGGTTTTGTCATAATATTTAAGTGTTTTAGTTTTTTGCTAGTGCAGTTATTGAAACTATAAAATACTCAGGTACGAGGTTTGTGTGATTTAACGCTGTTTCGGGTAGTAAAAAATAAGTGAAAAAGAATTCGAACTAGGCGTCGTGTTGTGTTGTGGCAATTTCAAATGTTAATAAAATTGGTGAAAAAATGTTGACGCGTAAAGGAGAGCGTAATTAGGACGTTGTTGGGTGCAATAACATTCAATAACTCAACTTTTCCGGATATTCAACTCTTCCAAAACAACATTTTATAGCTTCATAGTTTCTCACACCGATTTGATCAAAAGCAAAAATGGATTCAAGCAGTTGGACGAAACAAGTGAGTGAACAAAGTGCTCGTTACATTATCAAAAAATTAAATAGACATATATTATGAAAGGATAAAATATAACTTACAATATTAATGGTATACTTTTTTAATCGACTAGCATAGACTTAAAATAAAATATAGATTACACTATTTACATCTCATCGCGGTCAAACAATATTTTTTGTACACATGTTTACTTCTGGGTACAGTCGACCGAGCCTTCCTCATCCAGCCTATGTTGTCACGTCTTTAATATTATCAATTTTTTTTTTGTTATACACATATATTGAGATATTAATACTACATTTTAATAAAGTAAGTTTTAATATTCCATAGATGTATTAAATAGTGCTTATACTACTAAATTATAAGTACTAGTTGTTTACGCTATTCTCCGGTGGTGGCAGCACCAAGCCTATATTCTTTCATATTAAACCTACCTCACTGTATCTGTCAACGAAATTTAACTCTGTGGCATCACTATCTCCAGGTATCAAAGTGAATCCATAAAAAACTTGAACAATCAGGTAGATTATGCTCATCCCATAAGCCAAATAGGCACTATACTCTGTCCTGAGCGTGTATTTCAATGCTAGAAAGTGACTTCTCAGCGATACAACGGTCAAAACAAAGATCAAACACCACAGAACACAGATGATCATGGGTCCTCTCGGGTTTTTACCCAATCTTCTTCTAAGGTTCAGGATGTAGAGGATATGGACGAACCAGGAGATGCCCTGGACTGCACTGAGGAAGTAGGCGATTTGTGGGATTTTTTCTGCAGTGTGATAAGCGTAAACGTATATTTGTACTACCGGTAGGAAAGCTAGGAGAAAGGTTAGGAAACAACGCATATTGATGGCGATAAGCTGAGTACTGCCTCTCGAAACCAGTCCGCCTGAGTAGCCGAAGTAGTAGCTGGAAGATATCGCTAGAAGACCTAAAAATAAAGAAAAATATATTTAATAAATAAATGCCTTTATTGTCAAAAAATTTTAGAATTGTAGACAAAGGTAAAGTAAACAAACAAAGTAAACAAACAAGGTACACAAACAAACAAACAAAAGATAATACAAAACATTATACAAATAATATTGTCAGTCTTATTGTTTAAAATAAAGATTTATAAATGTTTACATTGTCAAAGAACAAAAAAATAAAAATAATATTCAAAAATATTTAGATAGTTTATAGTAAAATATCAATGACCTCTAAATAAATTTATTTCGGTGTCATTGGTAAATATAGCAATAGCAAACATTAGACCAGTGTTTACAAGATCAAATTCGATTATCAAAATATAATTCATTTACGGCGTAGAAAGCCTTGTCTAGTAAATAAGAGTTCAATGCTTTGCGAAATGAAGAAAATGATTTTATGGATTTGATTTCAAATGGCAGGTGATTGTGTATTTTTTTCGAGTTGTATAATATTGAACTTTTAACTAACTCTGAGCGTGGGGTAGGTAGATAAAGATCTTGCTCCGCGTTCCTGAGTGGATAAGTGTGAGATGGACTTTCTTGAGAGGCTGATACATGCTTACGTATTAGGCAAACGGATTCAAATATAAATAAGGAAGGAAGAGTTAATATTTTTAATTTTTTAAAAAAGTCCTGGCAATGAGTTCTCTGTTGTTTAGTCCCAGTGAATATCGAACAGCTCTCTTCTGGAGCTTGAAAACGCGGTCAAATTGAGTCGCAAAACACGTACCCCAGAATGGAAGGGCATACCTGAGGTGCGACTCAAAAAGTGCATAATAAACAGTTCTAGCCACTGACAAGTTAAGCTCCTTAGAAACAGATCTTAGTGCAAAACAGGCAGAGCTCAACTTTTTCGACAAAGCCTCGATATGCATGTCCCATTTCAGAGAATTGTCTACAACAAGCCCTAAGAATTTTACAGATTTTACGACGTCAATGGTGGTGTTGTTAAGTACAAAAGGCTGCAGCGAGTCTTTATACGACAAAGCTTTAGTTTTAGAAATGTTGAGACTCAGGATGTTCGAATCGCACCAAGATTTAATGGTGATTAAATCATTTGATATAATCCTATGAAGTGCCGTGACGTCCTTGTTGCTCCAAGTGAAGCTAGTGTAGTCCGCAAAAAGACATATTTTGCCACTGATGTTTATGTTAGCAATGTCGTTAATAAAAAGAAGAAACAAAATAGGGCCTAGTACTGAGCCTTCTGGTACTCCACATTCTATTGGCTTGCTAGAAGATATTTAAGAACTTTTTTAAGAAGATTTTTACACTTGCTATTTTATACAAGGTGTTTCAAAAAACATATGCCATCTTTCGTGGGGAGATTCCTCAGGTAAAAATAAGATTTATTTTTAATATCAACATAGGTCCAATTCTGCTTTGTTTCGTAGCTACAGTGTGTTAAGGTCTTAATATTTTTTCGATTTAATACAGTTTTGTTCCAACTACCTTTAGCGTTTCGAATTAAATTTTGAGGGTAAAAGTTACTATAAATTTGACATATTTTAAAGCTAAAAAAATGTCGAAATATTTACCAGGGACGTGCATATGGGTTATCACTAAAATATTTTTCTAAAAAAAAGCATGTACGCCACTGATTTTTTTTTCTCTTGTTAGCGAAATAATGTAAGCAGTTTAATGCCAATTAAAAGTTGTCTCTTGATATTTTGTCAAATTCGGCCTCTTTGATGAGATAAACGCAATTTTATTAATTTGTCTTGATCTAAGTCAATAGCAACCTTTAAAAACTTTTAACATCATTAACTTGCGAAAGTGTTAAACTAGTACTCATTAATTCCTCATCAAGAAATATGAAAAAAAGTTCCTATAAACATGGGTATGGAAATGTATAGTTTTAGAGTTACAGGATGTTAAAACTTTTTAAAATTACGAATTTTTGAAATTATCTTAAATACCATTATTTTTTTATGTCAAATTGCTGTATTTTGGACTAATACCAATAATAACTACTATTTAATAATAAATTAGGTAAAACAGATAATTTATTATTTTTAATTTTGTTATAATTTTGTGAAAACACTTTTTTTATCAGTGGCGCACATGTTATTTTTTAAATTCCATTGATAGCCCATATGCACGTCCCTGATGAATTTATCGACACTTTTTTAGCATTAAAATATGTAGCACTTATAGAAACTTTTACCCTCAAAATTTCATTCGAATCGCTAAAAGTATTTGGAAGTAACCCAAGCAGCATTTGGACGTCGGGACAACGTTGTGTCACGCGACCAAACGTCGGGGCGCAACGTCGGCACAACCTCGTGCCAACCCTAGTCTGCACTAGTTTGGAGAATAATTTTTGGGTCGAAACGACGTTGGATACCGACGTTGGCTAGAAGCCTAATTTAGTACAAATTGCAACGTTGTTTAAAATCCTAATTCACAGAAATACAAAACTAATATGGCGTCTAAGTCGCGTTTTATCCTAAATTGGGATAATTATAGTAAAAATATTATTTTTATGATTTAGTTAGAGACATATGTCAGATGGCAGTGAAGGAAAACAAAACAAAAGTATTTAAGTGTGGAGGATGTTTGAAGATCATAATTATTGAAACACTTTAACCGACTCTGTAACTCATTACCCAAGACAAAAAAGTTAAACGCAAACAACTTTATTGATAAATGTATTGTTTCTACTTTGAAAAATTCTAATGAGCCTTAAAATTAAAGAAGTTTTAAAAATTTTCTTGAATTTTTTTAGTAAAATGAGAATAATTTATTCGCAGTCGAAAAAATTGTTTCCGCGTGTTGTTTAGGGTCAAATATTTCAAGTTAATGTATTCAAAAAGCAGGAATTGCTATTTTAGGAACGAAACATTTTCTTATTTAACAACATGGCGGCTTTCACTTTGTTGTTTTGGAGATTAAGATGGAGTAGTTCGAGTAGTCGCATACTGGACTAATAAAGTCGCAGTTCGGCCTTAACAGGTAGTATACTAGTCGCAAGATTGCCTAATTTAGTCATTCTAGAGTCTAGCTTGTGCCGCCCTCTATAATATAAATAAACAAGGGAGTGGATAAACTATCGGTAATATATGTCGATGTATATTTAAATTTAGTTTTATATGTACCTTTCTTATGTCCCATTTTAATTAAGTTTTTTTTTATAAAAACAAAAACAGCACTGAACTGTCTGACTGAACAGAACAATGAAGTGAAAATTTAAAATTTAAGGTTATGGTTCAATACAGTTGCAAAGGTAGTGACTCGACGTCCTACCAACGTAAGAATAAGGAAATCTAAACAACGTTGTAATTAGCAAAACAGACGACGTTTGCATAACGTTGGAATAGGTCCTGAAACTGACGTCGGAAAACTCTATATTGTCCAACGTTGTAACTACGTTGTCCGAATCACCTAAAGATCACTTAAGCAAAAAAGGTTACAAGACAACGTTTATTCGACGTCGCAGAAGCTTCCTACTTTGCTGTAGTACTAGTCCAACGTCGGCACAACGTTATAAAAACGTTTAAATTTATTTTAATACCCAAGGTAGGGAGCTAACTATTTTTTGTAACAATCCAATGTTGTGATTAGTAAACATGTGGTCGCAAGTCGTGAAAATGCTAGTTGGGAAATTATAATAAATCGAAAAATTATTAAGACTTTAACACCCTGTAGCTACAAAACAAAGCAGATTCGAACCTATATTTATATGAAAAATAAATCTTATTTTTACGTGAGGAATCTCTCCACGGGAATTATAAAGTGTTAATATCCAATAGGGCTATTATTGTCCCTTAGGCCATAGGCCCTCAGTACAGAAACTTTGCCTTCGCTAATCAAAACTCTTATAATTCCCTCGATCCATAAATAACTATAATTTTATTAAATTATTTCTCTCTCCAAATGTAATTTTTGTCACAAAATTGTAATTTATATTGTATGACCCTGTATAATAAAGAGATAAAAGTATATTTTTAATTTAGCTTCCTGTTAACAAAACTCTAGTATCGTATGATTGGCGGAAAATACAGAAATTGGCGGGAAATATAGGACTAGGCGGGAAACACAGGAAATGGCGGGAATACAGGAATTAATTGGCAATAAACAAACGAAATGGCGGGAAATACAGAGAATACCAATCTACCATTATTTATCTATGATACTGCTTAAAATATATCTTACATAGAACAGGTATATCCAAAACCAACTGCTGAAAACATATTCCCAAATCGTTCCTGGTCATATTCCATATTTCGAATCCTTCGTCTCCGCACAAGTTGGTAAAGTTCCAATGACCGTGGACACCTGGCGGCGACAATTTGAGGCTCTGCCCGTCCATTACAGAAACCTACGAAAACATACAGAAACCTATAACTCCGTTGTGAGAAAATCAATAATTCTCAAGGGCGATTTTTTTACAGATTTCTAATTCTGAAATTAGGATTAAAGAAAGATGACTAATTTCTGATATTTTTAAAGGACAAAGTTAGACAAAGACTTATTTTAAATCCCTTTTCCACCAAGATTTTACATAAACTAACCAACTAAACATTATAAAAATATCACACTAATAACAATAACATTATTATCTTATTGGGTAGTATCTACATGCAAAAAATAACAAAATAATACTTACAGTATGTGGAAACTAGGTCATTATACGATAAAACAATTATTGCTAATTAAACAAAATTTGGTATAGTTGCAGAACTGTTTTCGCAAAATTATAAACAACTATTTTACATTGTTAGGTTAACTTTTGATGACAGCTGATGTCACAGCTGATGTGTCAAACAGAGGAAAATAAAATATATTATATGTAAGTGCCGTTTTTCTCGCTAGATGGCGTTAAATTAGTAATTTCTTGTATTTATTATTTTATGATGTCGATATGATGTCGATTGCGTCTCTAATCATAGACAAACAGAAAAATTAAAAGACTGCCAGAAGACATACGACGCGCAGGCAAATGTACCTGTAGCGCATCGACCCAAGTGCCGAAATACGTCCATCTAGCTATCTGTGTTTCGACACTAGTCCGTTAGTCTTAGCATATTCAGAAAGAACACGCTAACCTCCAGCGTTGCCAATTTGTGGGGAATTCCCCAAATTTTGGGGAATCCGGAGCCGATTGGGAGTTTTGTGGGGATTTTAGCAATAGGGGGCGAAAATAAGGGGAGTTTCAACATTTTATTGCTGATTGAAAATGGCGTAAAATTTTTAGCTTTAAAAACGGAGCGAGACGATATATCTTTCCCAACTTAAAAATTATAATCTGCTTTTTACTTGTGCTTCCCTTTGCAAATGCTTCAGTTGAAAGAAAATTTAGTGACCTCAAATTATTTAATGACTACTAGGGAAGGGATTAAAAAACAAGGAGGTAATTTACAGTTTAATCTCTCTAACATATATATAATAAATATTGTATTTTTATTAAAATTATTTTTTTTTTGTTAAAATAATCATATGGGGAATTTTTGGTGAATCGGGACATTTTTCTCCCCAAATTGGCGAATTTTATTTAGATTTTTGGGTAGTTTAGAAAATTGACATTGGCAACGCCTCTAACCTCATTCTTTTGTTTGTTGTTTGTTCAAAAAGCGGCACGCGGCGTAGTACAAGGCTTGATCATTTTTTAAGAAATTTTTGATTGTTAATTTTATTTTTCTGCAAACTAAACAGTTGTTTTTTATTAAAAAATAGCAGACAAAGGTAAGAAAGGTAATGTCCATGCCTAAGTTTTTATTTCACTGGCTATTCTTTCTAGAAATTATACCATCCAGCCCTCCTATTTAATTATTAAATGAAAGTGTGAAAGAGATATCAAGGGCTATTCTGTTAAAATATCATCCGACCAGTCTAGGCCCTGTTGTGAACCAGAAGGTCTGCTAAGTTGGATGTTGGATATAGAATGGAAGGAATATCATGGCCGAGAACAAGGCATAATTGTATGTCCCTTGATGTAGGGGGGTAGGTTTGTTTCTAATAGGCAGTAAAACCAAAAATTCTACTGTGAATCTTCATATTCTAGGCCTGTAAAGGTAAATAATTCCTGGAGCCATCTCGAGGTAAAGTACTCAAGTGGGAGCGAATCAATTGATAGCACGATGAAAAGAAATAATAGCCATCATAAAACTGTAAATATGTATATAACTAGTACAATGTAGCTATTTAACTGTAAGTACAATGTAGCTAGATATTTAGTAGAATAGGGGTATTATAAATTAATACAAAATACAATAATTGGTCATTCTTTCCATTCCCATTCAATTCTTCCCATTTAATCGTTTTCCCGTAAAAAAAGGAAAATTAAAATTAAGAGTGCCCTTAACCAAAAATAGTGAAATAAATGGAGATAGTCAAATTTTATATTAGCGTGTAAGACTTTGAATAAAAAGGTGTAAAAGGATTATAAAAAGGTGTAAAAGGATTATAATTTATATCCTTTAGTATCATGATAATATAAAATTTGAGTAGGTATCTCCATTTATATCACTGTTTTTGGTTAAGGGCACTCTTAGTTTTAATTGCCTTAAAAATAATAAGTATAATAATAATTTAAATCTCCCGCTCTTTCATAGTTCGTACCTGTAGCCAAGTAGAGGGCGCTAAAAGCGCAATCTCCCAACATTTTACCACGCGATTCACCACTCTCTAAACTATTAACTTTCTCTATGTCTCTAATGCATGAATACATGGATAGTATTATATTATTATACTCCTTCCTTAATATTTTTATTCAAAGGGTAGACTCAATAATGTATTGGTTTTATTTTACTTCCAGCCTTCTTTGAGCCAATAAATATTATTAATTATTGAATCTCAATTCAATAATATACCGAATGATCAAAAAAAAAGTCGTAGTAGTAGGTAATATTGGTTAAATTATATTTATTTGTAGTATAGACTTCTCTATATTGAAACCTTAGATTGAAACACGAATCAGAATAAATAGTAAGTATAAACAAGGATAGTTATCTATATTAAAAAGTCATTATAGTGAATAATCATAATACATTTGTGGACTGTCATACTTCGTATTTCTCATGCTTCCCACGGTGCTTATAATTTTCCAAATAACATGATTTTAGTCTACGTAGATTGCGAAAATTAGAGAGATAAAAGTCATTTTTGTTTGAAGGGGCTTTATAAAAGATAAATATTTAAACTAAATACTATCGCCAAAACAGAAATCTAACTGCATGCAAATTGGGAAAAAAGGGTATGAATAAGTATATGAAAAACTGAAGAAATATTAGATATTCTTATATTCTTTATATGTTTGTTTTTATTAATAATTTATAATTGCAAACTCCTAAGTATAACAGATTAAAAATACAGGGTGTATGTTAAATAAGTGCATTTCAGTGGCATTTTTACAGATATTTTCAACTGAACTGAAATAGTTTAGCCTTAACATTTACTACAGATTCTCTCTGTAAATTTAATGTACTACCTATGTTTCCATATTATCAAGATAACAGCGTTTTTAACTGAAAATAAAAAAAAAAACATAAATAAGTAACCTCATACACGAGCTCTTGGGTCCGAAAATATACCACTCCTAATATGTGGACATATTTAAGACTCACACCCTGTATGTATAGTACCTAGAATATTTTTTAAACACAACTTTAAAGTGAAAACACACCTGTATAGTATAACCAAATAATATTTTAATACCCTTCAACCTTGTTTAACTAAATTAAAAAATGATTATAAAATCTATTTTTGGTATTCCTATCAGGTTTACAAGAATTTTGTAGACACGTATAATACAATAAATACTAACCTGGTCATAGTGTTTTATTCTTAATTATCTATTATGTCCACTGTGTATAGCAATTAACAAACTGGTTTTTAAGTAGATAATTGATTAAAATTAAACTTCCCGCAACATCCAAAAACAAATAAAAAACAACGCCAGGCCACGAACCATTAAGCACTCCACACACTTCAGTTATTTTAGTCGGTTTTAACCGTGCAGCAAAAACGCGCGGAGAGAAAGACCACACACCGTCTTGTTTTGCCCAGTTTATATTATCGATAGATTCAAGAAAGAACTTGCTTTGCAGTAGATTAATTGCTGTAAAAAAGAAAACCCTAAAAGGAAATAGAATTCAAGTTCGAAAAATTGGCATTTTTTGTTGGCAAACAATGTTCGCAAATTAGTTTATTAAAGGAGCTTCCTCGATAATTACCTTTTTTATTTTTTTCCATAGCAACTGTTAAAATTGCCTTATATCTATCAAAAATAGTCGATAAAATACTACTTTAACGGTTTTAAACGTTCTACGTCTTCCGATGCCATCTCTCCATGCCTGTCTGTCTCTCCATGCACCGTCTCCGAGAGATCTTTCCTCCATAAACGTGTCAATCCCTTCCTGCCAACTTCTTCTCGGTCTACCCGGTTTTCTTCTTCCTGCAGGTTTCCAGTTTATAATTTGCTTTGGTATTCTTATTTCTGCTATTCTTTGGACATGCCCGTACCATATGAGTTGACTGTTCTTTATGTCGTCCACTATCGTATGTTTAACTTCCATAATCTCTCTTATGCGTTCGTTAGTTATTCGCTCGAGTCTTGATTTGCCTGCTGATCTTCTCCAAAAATCCATCTCTGTAGTTTCCAGCATTCGTTTTGTTGTTTCCTTAATTGGCCACACTTCACAGCTGTACGTGGTTATTCTCTTTATGATGGTATTTTATATTAGAGTTTTGTTCTTGTTGTTTATGTTTCTGTCCCACAGTATCCCATTCAATACCGTGATAGCATTCCTTCCAAGTTGGTTTCGTTCTTTAATTGCTGTATCCAACAGTCCATCATTTGTGATTTGCATACCCAAATATTTGTATTTTGTGCAGCACTTAATTTTCTTCCCTTCTTCTAGTATTAGATCTTGTTGTTCTACTCCGATACACATATATTCTGTTTTGTTAGTATTGATCTCGAGTCCCCATTTCTGATATTCTTCTATAAGCTTACGTGTCATATAATTTATGTCATCGTAATCTTGTGCTATGATCACCTGATCGTCCGCGAAGCAAAGTGTGTAGAGCCATGTTATCCCCTATGGGTATTCCCATATTTCGACATTTTTGCTTCCAACCTTTGAGAACTTGTTCCAGATATATCTTGAACAGTGTTGGTGAAATACAGCACCCTTGTCTCAGACCTTTGGTTCCATTAAATCCTGTTGTTAACTTTTTGCCGACTTTTATTCTAGTTTTTGTTTGCTTATATAATGATTTTACTGCTTTTATTAGCTCTACATTTATATTGTTTTTTTTCCATAGCTTCCCAAAGTCTCACAAGGGGAACGCTGTCGTATGCCTTCTGCAGGTCCACGAACACAATATGTAGCTCTTGGTTTATATTGCTCTTTTTACTTATTACTTGAATGACTGTAAATAAGTGGTCCACCGTCGATCTTCCGGCTCTAAATCCTGCTTGTTCTTCGGCTTCTATTTCTTGGTATTCGTTTTCGATCCTATTTCTCAAAATTTTTCCATATATTCGACTCACGGTGGCTGTTACTGATATTCCCCTGTAGTTTTCGCACTTAGATTAAATTATGCTTTATTATAATATTTTTTAATTGCTTCGATTTTTGAAATTTTTTGTATTCCTTTTCAGTTATTCAGGATTTAAATGGAAGTAGTTTGGATATGGTGTTTGTCGCCTCAGCCTGAATATCTGTCGGTAATTTACTTATTTCGTTTTGAGCTATTTCTGGCTCAAATACAATCAGCAATAGACACGAAAGAGAATTAAAAAATATTGACTCAAAACTGACAACTAAAGAGACAGCTTTATTTATTTGTCAAATTACATAGAAACCAACGCCAACGCAGCACAATATTTTTTCTACTCGTAATAAATTCCTTGAAATAAGAACTTCTGAATAGTTTTTGAAACGTAACTCGCTATAGAAAAAATATTGTTTTATACACGACGATAAAATTGCATTATCGTCTCCCGAAATCTTTTCGGCCAACGATAAAATACTATTTTATCGTCTTGTATAAAAAATAACTATTATTTTTTCTGAAAACATCCCCTTAAAGAGTCCTGCCCGTTCGGTTAAAACCGTGAAAATTAACCGAAGTGTATGGCGGCCTTTAGAAAATTTTCAAACCATGCATACGTAGAATCCTTGAAAATTCGCTCGGCTTATTGATATTATATCGTTATTTTTATAGCAGTTTATATTTCCCACGACATACAGTAGTACTAGGTACTGCTGTGGTACTGCTTCAAAACAAATCGTACATCACTCATTTTATTGTTAAACAACTACAAAACAACATGGACGCGTTCAGCGCAGAAGAACAAGTTAAATTAAAAGAAATAATTCAAAAACAAAGAATACCGAATTATAGTGTCGAAGTGAAAAAAGTGATGGAAGATGGAGACGGATACCTTGGGGTTTTAACTGGTTTAAATATTTTAGATACAGAGGGTAACAAAAAACTGAGTTTCGCAATAAAAACTGCACCAAAAAGTAAGAAACTACGTGAAATGTTCCCTACTAGAAACACGTTTTTGAGGGAGATATACGTGTATGAGACTTTATTTCCTGGTAAGTGTGTTTTAATTTATTTTATGTTTTGTTTTTGGTGGTAAAAAATATTGAAATGCTCTTGGCCTTGGAGATACTCTTTTTAATTATATATGTTAGTAATTGATAATAAAAATATAATAGTACATAAAATAGATTTAATAAATTAGATTTTTTTTTATTTTTTAATATTGCGAAATATTTTTAAAAATTAATTATTGAGTAAGTAGGAATATAAAATTATACCTTTTGAGACGTATGACCGGAAACTTTAAGTTAGATATCGTGAGTTAGGTACCGGTAGTGCGTTATTATTTTTGTTCATACCGGGTGCATCTCAAAAGTGGCTCACCCCTATAAATTTTTACTTTTTCAGTTAAAAAAAACGAGATTTGGTATGTTAATATATGACATAAATTAGGATTGATTGACGTATTCAATTGTTTTTGGTCATTTCCTGTTTCACCGGAAATGACTACAACTTAAACGGTGAAACAGGAAGTGACATAAAACAATTGAATACGTCAGTTAATCCTAATTTATGTCATGTACTAACATACCATGGTACAAAGTAAACAAGGTATGATCGATAGCGGCTCCAATTTCGTTAAGTTTGCGCATACCACCTGTGACGTCATACGCCATACAAAAAAATATCCATGTTGTTCAATTGCCACTAATAAAAAAAGACCTAAAATAGGGAAGAATTAGGACATAACCCCAAAAGTTATGTTTTGCTAAGTGTTTTGACATCGAGCTTGACATTTGAAAAATTATTTTTACATTTTGACACAATCAAATTTCACAGATGACACGATCTGTTTGACAATTTGAAATTGGCGCGCAGACTTTGCCGACCAATGGTGCCGTTTATCACCTGTGACGTAGTGACCAACCTGCGCAATATCATACCTTGTATTCTTTGTATCAGGCTAACATACCAAATCTCGTTTTTTTTTTATCTGAAAAAATAAAAAGTTATAGCGGTGAGCCACTTTTGAGACGCACCCGGTATAGTTGATCAATTCATTAGAATCACCGTTATACAGGGTGAGTATTAAATAAGCGTATATATTTTCAGTGCTGGTAGATCTCGATAAAATGTTTCTAGACGAAAATCTACCGAAATCTATCACAATTCTTCTATACAGGGTGGCGCACCTCAATCGCTCGGATGATTATACGAAAACGAAAAGATGTAGAAACAATTTTTTATGGATATATGTACAGAAGCAATGTGCATAATTTAAAATTATTTTCAAATATACAGGGTGTGTCAGAACTAAGATCCATACCAAAGTTATATTTTTTCTTATGGAACACCCGGTATTTTATTTCATTTTTGGACTCTTGGGCATAGAATAAGGATTTACTCTAACGATTTAATATGTTTAAATGCTTTGGTTTATGAAATATTTAAAGATATTTAAATATGCATGCTATAATAGAAATAAAGTTTGTCAACACCCTGTACATTACTTTTCAGGGTTAATTCTTGTGCTGACTTTGAAGCCAGAGAAATAAACTTTACTTCCTTAAATTTATACAGAGGCATCAAAAGTTGCTAGCCTATTTTATATATTTATTTTACATAAAAAATTCATTATTTCAAATACAACACTATGTACCTATCTTTTAAAATAAGTCAATAAATAATAAGTAATAGTAGGAGTTATATTGACATCAAAATCAAATTTATCATGTCAAAAAACTCCCAGACACCAATTTTCCTCCAAATATTGATATCACTTCAGAAATTATTTGGAAAAAATCGTAATAAAAAATAAAAATACAACTTCTACACCCTGTATCTCCGAAACTAATAAGCATTTTAAGGCATACATTTATACGAACTTTTTTACTTATTTTTATCTGCAGTATATGCTGCCGAAGTTTCCGAAATACAGTTCGGACCATCCTGTATATAGGAGGTCTTATATCAGCCAAATGGAATAAATTCAATAATTTAGAAACATGTTTTAGTTGGATTTTATACACTGTATACATATGTATATATTTCATAATATTGTCTGTGATGTTGTATTATGTATTATCATTTATATCGGATGTATGATTGCTAAAAACTTATTAGATTTTATCTGTTTAAGACAAATAATCTTTCAAAGAAAACTTAGATACTGATATGGCAATAATTTCTTATAGCAATGATGAATTTCATTTTTTTTATAATGAATTACTCTTATTACTAGCACTTTAATGTTTCTCACGATTACAAAATAACTTATTATACATAAAAATTATATGAAATACGAGTGTATGTTGTTTATTTTGATGTTCTACGTTATATATATTCCAAAGTTAAGATCATGTATACAGGGATCACATCATACATCATACAAAAGAAAACATAGCATCGTGGAGAGATTCCTCACATAAATAAGATAAATTTTTTATATCAACAATAAGGTCTGATACTGCTTTTTTTCGTAGCTACAGGAGCTTAAAGTCTTATTTTTTTTCGATGTATTATAATTTTTTGGGGATAAAAGTTACTAACAGATTCACCAGGGACGTGCATGCAGGGTTATCAGTGGAATATTTTTCTAAAAAAAAGTGTGCCGATTGAAGGGCTATTTGGGTCCCTTTGATGAGATAAATGCAATTTTCTTAATCACAATAAAAAAATTATTTATTTAATTTGTTTTATTATTTAACTTTATTAAAATAAACTGATGTTCAGTGCTATCTACAGCAAATTTAAGAAAAAAAAGAGATAATTATAGAAGGTCTACTTTTTTAAAGATTTAACATCCTGTAAATTTAAAACTATGCATTTCCGCACCCATGATTATAAGACCTCTTTTTCATATACAGGGTGTTTCAAAACAAATGCGAAAAACTTCAGGGGGTGATTCCTTGTTCAAAATAAAGGGTAGTTTGCTTCATAAACGTTGGGTCAAAAGTCAACCATTAGGGAGATATCGCGGTACAAAGATGGCGGAAAAATAATGTTTTTATTTTTTATCTTGAAAACGAAAAGAGATAGACTAATAAAATTTTATGGAAGTATTACTGTTATGAAAACACTCTTTCTGGTAATTTTTTCACTTTTTTAAAATGAGTGGAAGGGGTTGAAATAAACTACCCCTATCATTCTTGTTAACGAAATTTAAAGAAAAATCTTATCAAACACATGCAAAAAAATTAATTTGGATAGTTTAGTTTGTTTAGAAACTTTTTTATCTCTTCTATTTTTTGATAAAACTCACCGATTTGAAATTAAAAAATAAAATGTAAAGCATTACATGTCAGGACAAATAACATTTTCTTATAAAGAATCTAGTGGGCTGCTGTAATTTTTTAGGAAAAAATCTAGTCGGCCGCTGTTACTTTTTAAGATGTTCCTAATATTATTTTATTTGACATTACTCTACTGCAATACGTTATTATCTAGATGATTATTATTATCGTTATTATCACTAGATTCTTAATCTAAAAATGTTTTTTCCTGACATGTAATGCTTTACATTTTATTTTTAATTTCCAATCGGTGAGTTTTATCAAAAAAACACAAGAGGTAAAAAGTTTCTAAACAAACTAAACTATCCAAATTAAAGCATTTGCATGTGTTTGATAAGATTTTTCTTTAAATTTCGTTAACAAGAATGATAGGGGTAGTTTATTTCAACCCCTTCCACTCATTTTAAAAAAGTAAAAAAATTACCTGAAAGTGTGTTTTCATAACAGTAATGCTTCCATAAAATTTCATTAGTCTATCTCTTTTAGTTTTCAAGATAAAAAATAAAAACATTATTTTTCCGCCATTTTTGTACCGCGATATTTCCCTAATGGTTGACTTTTGACCCAACGTTTATAAACCAAACTACCCTTTATTTTGAACAAGGAATCACCCCCTAAAGTTTTTCGCATTTGTTTTGAAACACCCTGTATATGTTTTGATAAAAAATCAATGAGTACTTATTTATCACTTTTGCCAGTTAATGACATGATTTTTTAAATGTTGCAAGAAAAATATGTCGACATCTTTTTAGCATTAAAATATGTAACACTTACAGTAACTGTCAACCTCAAAATTTCAGTCGAATCAGTAAAAGCACCTGGAAATTTTTCTTTACTAAATCGAAAAAAAAACGCGAAATTAACAGCCTGTAGCTACGAAAAAAAGGCAGAATAGGACCTAATGTTGATATAAAAAATAAATCTTATATTTATGTGAGGAAATACCCTGTATAATTTTTTTTCTGTAGAATTTCAAAATTTCCAAGAGCAGTACCACATATCCAAACCTTTCAATTCTACCCCAAAGTACTATGGCTCAAGTAGTGAAGATTTGAATGAAATGATAGTCCTGGAAAACTTAAAGGAGAGCAAGTATAAACTACACACTAGAAGAGAGCCTATGGATTCGCATCACCTCAGCTTAGTTATGGCTGAATATGCCAGACTGCATGCAGTCTCTTTGGCTATGCGTAAACTAGATCCAGAAAAATTTAAAGAACTTTCTGATAAGGTTAAGTGAGTATAATAATAGTTGTTTTTTATACAAGACTATAAAATGGTATTTTATCGTCGTTCGGGGGACGATAATGCAATTTTATCGTCGTGTATAAAACAATATTTTTTTCCATAGCTAGTTACGTTTTAAAAAATATTCAGAAATTATTATTTCAAGGAATTTATTACGAGTAGAAAAAATATTGTGCTGGGTTGGCGTTTTCTATGTAATTTGACAAATAAATAAAGATGTCTCTTTAGTTGTCAGTTTTGAGTCAATATTTTTTAATTCTCTTTCGTGTCGATTGCTGGCTGATTGAATTGGAGCCAGAAATGGCTCAAAATGAAATAAGTAAATTACCAACAGATATTCAGGCTGAGGCGACAAACGCCATATCCTAACTACTTCCATTTAAATCCCGAATAACTTATGAAAAGGAATACAAAAATGTTTAAAAATGGAAGCAATTAAAAAACGTGCGAGAAGAAATAAAGTTTTTAACCTATCCTCGCTGTTAAAGTATCATTTAATATACCTTTGCGATTAAAGTACTATCACAGATTAGGTATCCTATAACTATACAGATAAAAATCTTGTCCCTAATTCGTGGTACGAAAATTGTTTTTTTATGACGATGTGCAAATGAGTCAAATTTCCTGTGCGCAAAAATAAACTCGCGTAAAATAACAATAAACAGCGTAATAGAGATATATCGCTAAACCGAATAGCGTGCATGGACATTAATAAGGCCAGGTGTTATTCTCTTTACGTGAGGTGGTATTAATCTTAGGTATTAACTCTCTTCATTTATAGTTATGGGATCGGAAAGAATTCTGATCGTGTCGCGTCCGCTATTTAAACTTAACCTAACTTTGAATTTGAAACTTTGAAATTGTTTTGTTTACTAGGTATTTTAAAACTAAAGGGCTAAAGTGCTTATTTCCAGTGCTTTATTGTTCAACGTCTGCCAGTGGGTTTAGGGCAACAAGCAACAAATTCTCTTAGAAGGGCTAAGTCGTCATCTGCTGTAAACCTAAGACCTAAGACTCTTTATAGGTTCCTTAGTATTGGAAGAGGTGGAATCCATATTTTAGGCCATATTTATTTAATTAAAACTAATCCCAGCTACTTAAATATCAAATTACCTAATAAAACTAAAGCAATAATTTAAAACAATTCAAACATAACTTAAAATAAAAGATCTCGCCGGCCGGCTCCGGTTGTCAAATACCCGCACATGCCCATTTAAGCAATTTTTAAACGTTATCAGAGGTTATTTAGAAAGAGCGCTTAGTGTAATTGATCCGCAAATTACGTCAGGCGGTAACGTTCTTAGCGGGTGTTGCGTTAAAAATTGAATCGCGCATATCGTAACCATGATAAGGTACGCGCAAGAACAGTTAACCTAATAGGACTGCTCATTCAGCCAAAAGTATCCGCCAGGTGCATGCGAAAACTACTCGCTTTGTGACTTCATTGTAGTCCTTGTCATGGTTATTAGTCCTTATCCGGCAACCAATAATACACACACGTGCATTATTGGTTGCCGAATGCAAAACGTTCATTATTTAGTTTATTTATTTAAACACCTTATATGTATAGAGTATAGGAAATTAACTGTATAAATCGTATTGAATACTCGGATAATGCATTTTTAAGAACAGCAGTTCCCAGCATCATCTTTTGCAAGCATTCTTTTTAGAGTACTTCCATATTTTGCTTTAAAATAATTAATAAACAATATCGTAGGCACTTAGTAAGCACTTTGTCACAATCCACAACACAAAATGAACGTATTTATACACTCTATAGCTCTAAAAACTTTAAAGACACCTTTTTCACATTTAAAATTGACAAAATAATTAACTCAAAATTTCTCAGCTGTTATTTTGATAAGTTTACCATAGGCAACTAGAATACACACTATCATGACAAGGACTACAATGACATCACAACTGTCAGCTGAAGCGCGGGAAGAGGCGAACGTACGTCTTATGAGGATGATCAATCCTATTAGTTTACCGTTCATGAGGTACGCATAAATATTGGATGACGCTATTCGGTTTTCCGATATCTCTCTTATAACTGTGCCGGTCAGGCGCTGTGTACAATTTTAGAGGCCATAAGTGGGCGTGCTATGTGCGCAAACTAGTCACCTAACTAGTGTCCGATTCCGAAAATTGGAACCACAAAGAAAAAACAAAGATTATAATCTGTATAATCTGTGGTACTATTTTATCTACTATTTTTGATAGATATAAGGCAATTTAACAGTTGCTATGGAAAAAAATATATTTTAAAAAGTTGTGTGAGAACTATTATTAAGTTAAAACCTATTTTTTAGATTAAACGTGTTGATGGAGCATGAAATGAAAAAAGACAGACCGATAGACCAAGTTTTTAGTGATAAGAAAGCTAATGTGATGTTTGAGCCAGTGTTTGAAGTACTAAAGGGCCGAGAAAAAGAACTTGAAGCTGTAGAAAAGTTCAGTAAGGACGGTATGAAACTCTTTTTTGAAAGTTATACCGAGGACTCAGGTTTGAAAGTTATTTCTCATTCGGACTGTTGGAGTGCAAATATGTTATTTAAATATGAGGTAATATTTTGTCTCTGCGTATTCTTATTTATCCTTAGAAATTATTTGGAAAAGAAGAAATTAGAAATTAGAAATTGTACTTCAGAAATTATTTGGAAAAAAATCGAAATAAAAATGAAATTTCTACACCCTGTATCTCCGAAACTAAGCATTTTAGGACACATTTATAGGAACTTTTTTACTTATTTTTATCTGCAGAATATGCTGCTAAAGTTTCCGGAATACAGTTCGGACCATCCTGTATACCGTGTGGCGCATCAATACTCGGGACATAGGAAATCCTAAGTAAACTTTAAACATTTCAGATAGTAGAGACCCCTCAGATAATTTTATGCAATAGTTGTATTAGACTTTTTTAAAAAGGCATTAAAGTCGTACTTTCTTCTAGAATTTCGTTTCATTTGGAATCCGCATTTAAATGTTATTTGCAAATCACAACCTTCAAATAACTAAAGTTTTAGAATACGGCCCAGATAAAACAACAATTAAAATTCCAACAAAATGTCATTTTGTCATTGTTAAATTCGATGTCATATTTTAATTACAAGAATATGAAGGTACCTACAAATATATAGTAATTTTGTATAAAATATGATTTTTACTACTTCCGAAAAAGTTACGGTTGTTTGATGACAAAATTATATATTTTATTTGAAACTTTTTTTGAAATTATTGTATTATTTGTTATTTCTATTCCAGGATGAATCGTATCCAACTATTCCAACCAAGGTCTGTCTAATAGACTGGCAACTAGCATCCCTGGCTCCCCCCATTTTTGACATAAGTTACTTCTTCTACATTTGTGCGGGCAAAAAAGACTTAAATAACTATATGCGCTTCTTAAACGTATATCACACAGTATTAGGGGACAGTTTGAAGGATTTTGGACTGGACATTGAAGAAATATACCCGTACGACCGTTTTGAAAGTGACTGGAGGAAACTTTCAAAAATGGGTAAGTTAAACAAATAAAAAAAAATTGTACCTAATATATTATCTTTGTAAACAGGCCACAAAATTAATAAAGAAAACCTGCTTCGTCTATGTCTAAATATACATAAATAGTACTGAGTCTGTGGTTAATTCTTTGGGCAGTTACTTAAGTAGTTTTAATCAAAAAATCTCTAATTGTCTTGTACTATTAACTATACTCGAATTCCAACTATAATTGTGCGTTTAGACTTGAGCACGCACGCACTGATCCTCCGCGAACGCTCAAGTGTAAACGGCTGTGCGCGCACGCTCGCTCTGAATCCGTCTGTGCGCGAGTAGCCGCGAACGTCTGCCATCTGGTGTCGGTTTTTGGTCCGTGCTCAAAGGGATTTTATGTGTGCGCGAACGCTCAGTTTGCACCGGCAATTTGTTTTGTCTGCGTTCGTGCGTGCGTGTGTGATTTTTTTTCGTTTTCTTTATTAAAATTATAAAGTGGATCAATGAATCTTCGTTATTATTAATTGAAGAATATGAAAAGTTGCCTATATTATGGGATGTTAAACATTCTTTGTATTATTAAAAAATAAAAAAAAACGCATGGCAAGACCTTGTAAATAAAATTAATATTGAATATGTCGATATTAATGAAATTGCTATTCTAAAATTTGTATCTTTTGTTCGTAATTTTTGGTGTTATTAAATTTTGTTAATATTCAAAGTCGGGCCTGGTCATTCTTGTAAAGTTTTTGAACTGATCATAGCCCTCCTCAGACACTAAGTTGTTGCAGTAAATTATATCGATTTCTAAAAATTTGGGTTTGGCACCAGCGACGATGTTTTCGATTTTTCTCCTTTAATAATTAAGCTGTGCATAAGAATCACTGCAGCCTCGACTATTTCTTGGTCGTCCATTATTTTCGCCAACACAACTCTGCTGTGCGCGCACAAATGGATCACTTCATTCGCCGAAAAATAAGTTTTTAATTTGAACGGAGCCGAGAGCGCGAACGAATACCGTGCGCGCACGCTCAGCTCGTGCTCAAGTCTAAACGCACCATAAGCTTGACCGAAACAGCGTTGCCTTTTAGATATTCTCTTTTAATCAAAAGATATTAACAAACAAAAATAAATTAATTATAAATATATAAACAGTTATTATTTACATCAACAAAACTCACCGTCTTAACATCGTTTAAGGGACATAAAGGTCCATTACTACGCTTTCCCGTTCAAAATATTCTAATAAAGTTGCGATGAGTTTTTTACGGCTATTCTTGTACACTTCGCGCTAAAAAAGGTTCTAAAAAGAACAATATTCGACTGCAAGGTCTGCTAGTAAACATTTCCAAGCTTAAAATATCACAACCATAGACTTAAAATAAAATATAGACTACACTATTTACATCTCAACGCGGTCAAACAAGCTTTTTTGTACACATGTTTACTTCTGGGTACAGTCGACCGAGCCTTCCTCATCCAGCCTATGTTGTCACGTCTTTAATATTATCAATATTTTTTTTCTTGTTATACACATATATTGAGATATTAATACTACAGTTTAATAAAGTAGGTTTTAATATTCCATAGATGTATTAAATAGTCCTTATACTACTAAATTATAAGTCGGATACTGTTTAATAAGGATAAGTTCTTTACAATATGACAACACCGATTAGAAGCGAGGGAGCCTATTCATTCAATTATTACCTTGTAGTACGTGTCGCACGTGTGCGGTAAAGCTTTGTTGCCGCTATCTCCCCGGCTGTATTAACGCATCTTCTTAGCTTGTACTGCTTAAGTGTTTATTTTATTGACTTTTTCTGTTGAAGAACTATAAAATATGGTTTGCCAGTGCCAAATTTGCAAGAAATTTGACTTAAATAATCCATTTAAGTCTTGAAACGACTTTTGACCGGTAGGCAACTCTCAATTTACCCATTGGAAGTCAGTGGCGTTGTTGTAGAAAGGCGCTTATTTAGATAATATTTTAGTAAAATGTAAAATCTGAATTTTTTCTCTTACATTATTTACTTACTTACATTGTAACAAAATCATAATTATAACCCTGTTCATAATTAATAATGTTTTTATTAAAAATATATTCCGGTTTATTCTAAAATTATCTTCAGAATCTAAAATAACATACAAGAATTTTAAAATGATATTACATTATGAAACAATATATTTTAATATACCGGGTCGTCTCAAAAGTGGCTCACCCCTATAATTTTTTATTTTTTCAGATAAAAAAAAACAGATTTGTATGTTAGTAGGTATATGACATAAATTAGGATTTATTGACGTATTCAATTATTTTTGGTCTCTTCCTGTTTCACCGAAATGATTACATCTTTTGATTTTTATAGGCACCCTCGGTATATTGCTGCTTTATTCGATAAAAAATGACACTCTGAATAGAATGACATGTCATATGTCAACTTTTAAATTTCAATCCAGGGTACCATGGCGTTGTTAAAAACACTAAGTTTTAATCAAGGAGCCTTGGAAAAATAGTTTTGATCGTCTAATAGGTTTCGTGTCTTGTCTAGGCCGGTTAAAAGATGTACAAATCGTATTTTTAATCATACATATGTCAATTTTTTCAAATGGAACAAGGGTGACTCATTAGCATATTTGGAAAAAGCATTTTTTTATGAATATATTGATACCACACACTTGGTATTTCGAGTCAAATTGTAGTTATGAACCGCGTGTTACAATTAGAATTAAACCATATGCGAAAATGTCAAAAGTTGACATATGATATGTCATTCTATTCAGAGTGTCATTTTCTATCGAATAAAGTAGAAATATACCGAGGGTGCCGTTTAAAAATTAAAAGTTATAGTCATTTCCGGTGAAACAGGAAGTGACCAAAAACAATTGAATGCGTCAATCAATCTTAATTTATGTCATATACTAACATACTAAATCTTGTTTTATTTGAAATATAAAAAATTATGGGGATGAGCCACTTTTGGGACGCACCCGGTATAATAAAGACAGTACCGAGTTAAATAAATATAGTTTTCATTTTATCCACTTGCTATCACCTTCCTTGCTTTAATGGAACAGATTTATGTTTTCTCCAATTTACATAATAAGACATCACTTAACCAGATAAAAAGTTACAACAATCATATTTTTTTTTCTCGCTGTCGCCGATTCTATTATATCTGTGGAATAGATCCTGTTTTGATTAATATTAGGGGTTGTAAATGTTTGACTAAAATTAATAATTTATTATTAATTTCAAAAATTACGTAATTTCGATTATAAAATTTCTTCTATAACGTGTATTTTATTATTTTTATCCTTTTTGGACTCTAAGACGTTTTTTTCTAAACTTTTATTTAAAAAACCTGTCCTAAATCTTAATAAAATATAAAAAAGTTTAAATACGATATATTTTTAATTTAATTATAGCTTCATTAAAATAAAAAATTTACCCGGCTATGATACGGAGAGTTCAGGTGTACTTGAGAAACGAAAGACAGTGTTGCGTTTCTCGTCAGAGTCGTCAGGAAACGACCGTTACGACAGAGACAGCCTATCTATCGCTCGTGTCGCACTCGTTATAACCTAAAACAATAACAAGACATTGTCTGACCGCATGTTCCAGCTATTTACGAATGAGATGCTCAGTCTATATTTTATTTTAAGTCTATGATCACAACACTATTTATTTAAACCAAAAACTCGTAATAAAAAACTAAAGTGTCAAAACGAATGACAATGTCAGGAAATAAATAATTAAATGCGGCAACTTGATATTTTTACCGCAGAACTACCACCTGAATCCCCAGCGCGAAATTTAAATTCTAGATAGTCACCTCGGCTCTGAATGGTTGGCGACAATGAATTTAAAAATCGCGCCCTCGATAATTAATTATGAAAATGTCTGTTTTCTAGGTTACTTCATGACCATAGTTATGCTAATGCAATGCCTCAGCGAGACCAAGACCCACAATTTTGAAGAGATGGCCGACAAGGGACAAGATATTTACGATATGAATCAAAGAAAACAAGAAATTTCCGATGTCTACAGGCAAAGGATGGGAGATCTAGTAGAATTCCTAGTCAAAAACCAACTTTTATGAAGATCTATTTGTCTTAATTATAACATTTTAGATTAAGTGTAGAGGGTGGTCGAAATTGGTCTGTTTTAGCAGAGAAAACCTATTTCCTGACTAGATAGAGTAAAACCGACATAGATGTCATGGGTTCGATTTCTGAGACACGTTTAATGGCGTAAACCGTCTGTCTATATTTTCACTGCCCACTGAGATACGGGGTATTTTTGAATTTTTTACCATTTCGAAAATTGCCCATAACTTTTTTATTTCGCGGAATAAAAAAATTCTGTAAAAACGTTCTTAAGGCACTTTTTTAAGCACAATCCAGTGGCGTAGTCTGTTTTTTCTATACATGCTCTTTTTATCAGAAATAATAAAAAATATAATTGTTTAAATGGAAATCATAGTTGGCTATGAACTTAAAAAAATGCTGGCGTTTAACCCTTTCCAACGATATAATGTTATGGATATCTATTCAGATTAATTTCGACCACCCTGTACATGTACAGGGTCGAATTGAGATTATTTAAAGTAAAGAAAGAACTAAACTAGAGTTTTTTTATTTTAGATCTCTTAATTTATTGGTAATATATTACGTAAATCGTGTTAAACAAAATTAAATAAATCATTAAACACTCAACAGTAACTCTCCAACTGATTGGCGTATTCTTTTGATTTCTGCAAGAAATACTTAACCGAAATACTGTCATTCATCACATAATCTTCGATACAGGCTATAGCATCGATATCCTCATAGTCAAACCTCCCTACATTCTTCAACACGTCGATTCTTTTTTCTCTCAGAAATTGAAGCACATTCTTCAACATCGTACAAGAAAAAACATTATCTTCCAAGTAGATTGATTTTAGACTAGGAATATTTAAATGAACATCCAGTCCGTATATCTCATTTCCACTAATACTAAGCTAGTGAGGTATTTCATTGGTAATAAAATAGCTGGATCAAAGTTCACTACAGAATTGTTCACCAAGTTCAAGAAGTTTATGTTTTTTAATCCAGAAAAAGTCCCTAAATTGAATCTTTTAAACTTGTTATTGGATAAGTCAAGTCTACGTAAAACTGACAAGTTTTTAAAGATGCTTAAAGAAAAATGACACAAGTTGTTATATGATAAATCCAGTATTTCCAGGTTTTCTAGGCCTTTAAATGAGTCTTTGTACAACTTATTTAGTTTGTTAAAAGAAAAGTCTAAAGTTAGGAATGTGGTTGCTCCACGAAATACTTCAGGCAATAGTTCAGTAACTGCATTATAGGATAGATTGATGAAATTACTGTATCCTCCTTCCAGAAATCCAGAATTGAGTGATTCAATCAGGTTCTGCTGCAAGTGGAGTTCGTAACGTTGGTTTAGTCCTTGGAAATTACGACTGGAGATGTTCCTGATTTGGTTGTTATCCAGGTGTAGATATTCCAGAGTCTCTAGCTTCTTGAATGCTTTAGATTGTATGGATAGGATGCGAGATCTAGTAGAATTCCTCGTCAAAAATCAACTCTTATAAAGATCTATTTCTTTTAATTATAATATTTTAGATTAAGTGTACATGTACAGGGTGTCCCATTTTAGTTGAAATCATACGGTATCTCCGTTATTAGTGAAGATAGAAAGGTGCGGTTTGCACAAACCTATCTCACTTTTTTGTCAAACGGAAGATGCCGTAAACAAAATTTTCATAGCCCTCTTCCTTTCCGAGCTACAGGGTCTTTTTGAAAGTTTTGCAATTTGGGACACCCCCTGTATCTCTGTTATTGTTAAAGCTATCGAGAAGGTAAAAACCGTTTATTCTAGAACTGTTTACGTAGAATACAGTGGCGTAGTCTGGTTTTCTACCAAAAACATATTTTTGAAAATATAAACTAAAGTTATGTTTTTTTTTAATGGAACACCGTGTATATTTATAAATCATATGATCTCTCTTGCCATAAGCTTCTCAAAAATATATATCACTCTATATTTATTTTCACTATTTACTGCAATATTTAAAAGTTTTTATTAAAAGATCATATTTATTAGTAGGCCATGATTGATAATAAAAGAAACTAAAGAATTATTAAAAGTATACTGCTATCTGTCTCTTGTTTTATTTTGGGAGCCGCTAATAAATTCTTTATATATTAGGGAAACTTAACTCCCTACCGCTATTTGTAAATCTTGGTATACGTGTATACGTACGGAAATTTTAGATATTCCTTTAACTAATTTACGTGAAATATACTTTCAGCAAGATGGGGAACATTCCCCCTGATAAGTATGAAAATATTAGAATACTGTTAAATTATTATTTTTCAAATCAATGAATTGGAACCAATGAACACATATTGATAGCCTCCTCGATTCCCGGATTTCGCCGTTCTCGATTTCTGATTTTGGTGATTTTTGAAATACGAAATATATCGTAGGTACTACAACAATGTCGAACACCTAAAAAATGCTTTAATAATTCAAGCTTTTAGATATTTGCAAACCCATTCCGTTATAAAAAAAAGAAAAATATATTCACAGTTTCAGTGGTAACAGTTATTTCAAAAGTAAAATATATCAATCCCAAATTAATTTTAATATGTGTATGACTATTTTAGTAAATACCATTTTGATTTTTTGTTATTTATCACGGCCTACTAATAAGAAAATGATATATTTTAAATATTGCAGTAAATAGTAAAAATAAATATAGAGTGATATATATTTTTGAGAAGCTCATAGATTTATAAATATACAGGATGTTCGATTTGAAAAAACATAACTTTAGTTCATATTTTCAAAAATATGTTTTTGGTAGAAAAACAGACTACGCCACTGTATTCCACGTAAAAAGTTCTACAATAAGCAGTTTTCGCCTTCTCGATACCTTTAAAGGTGCGTATTCATTATCCGCACGAACGAACGAACGAACGAACGAACGAACGAATGTTCGCTAGTGGTATGGATGGGGACCGCACGATAGGACCGCACGAGAAGACCGGAGGCATCTGTTGGCGAACGCCTTTGATGTACCGACTCGAAACGGATGGTCGAGCGAACGAACGAACGAACGGCCGCATGCGTTCGGTCCCCGTCCAAATATACCGCACTTTCATTCGTTCGTTCGTTCGTTCGTTCGTTCGGATAATGAATACGCACCTTAACAATAACAGAGATATAGGGGGTGTCCCAAATTGCAAAATTTTCGAAAAGACCCTGTAGCTCAGAAACTAAGAGGGCTATGAAAATTTTGTTTGCAGCATCTTCCGTTTGACGAAAAAGTTGGACAGGTTTGTGCAAACCGCACCCTTCTATCTTCACTAATAACGGAGATACCCTATGATTTCAACCAAAATGGGACACACTGTACAGTACGTCTGTCCGTTCTGTAGCTACGAGGTATCCGTGCGAGGGGAAACGATATTCTCTCGATGTTTTTCGTAAAAAAATAGACGACGCGTTCCATCAATAAAAATTCAACAAATTTGCAAGTAGCCAATGAAATGAGTGGGCTGAGCGATTTGCGGTGACGCACTCGTCAAATCGACGTGTAAAATATATTGCTGTTTATTTAAATGTTTTTTGTCCGCATTCCTTTCATAGACACAGATCCAGCAGATGTACAGAGTGGGTCAAATTCGACGCTTTTAAATGGAAACTCCCTTTTCTATAGGAGATAGACAAAAACTAATATCGGTGTCTGGAGCTCAATTTTTGTCAAAAACATGATGGTGAAAACCGCATATCGATATCTGTTACCGTTTCAGAGTTACCGGGTGTTATACAAAAATATGCATTTTTAACAAATCGCTGTAACTTTTTTGCTATGGCAAATTTTGTATTTTTATGAAAATATTTCCAAAGCACCTTTTTACGTAGAATTTAATGGTTTAAGTATAATTTTTTAAAAATTAATAAGTTAAGAATTATCAACAGAAAATTTGATTTTTTATATGGGACACCCTATATATTTTTAATTTATTGAAAAGAATTTAAAATTACCTTTCCAAAAATATAACACACTTGCTATTTTGCTCGATTCCTCCTTGAGATATGGAGTATATAAAAATTCGCCCGCTTTAAATAAGTAGGCTTTGAACGGCACCGGCTGTAGTGCAAAAAAATTATAGCTGTGAGAATCAATTAAAACAAAAATAATATTTCCTATGAGAGATGCAAAATTTTATAACAATTTAAAATATATTTAACCAAATCAACAAAATTTAACTATATCTAATAACAATAAAAATAAATAGCAAACCAAGACATGCGATTTTGCTGCAGGTGTTCGACATATCGACCGTCTTCTGTTATGGACAGACGGGGTAGTTTTTGAACATTTCTCGCGGAATTCATAAACCCAGTGGGGGTGAAAGAAACCCTCTCATAACTGCTAAGTATTTCTAATTCTTGTCTAGATTATACGGCAGAATAAGGAACCTTTATTCTTCCGCAAATATATTCATAGGATTAGATCCATGGGCATTAAGTCAGGCGGCCTCGACGGCCAACGGCTGGGATCTTGGTTAGCTATTCAATAATTCTTGAAATTGGCTGCAAAAATTTGCTGATAACTTCAGCGTTCAGAGGCGGTGCGTCGTCTTGCTGGAAAAATATGTTTTCCAGTGCCATTAAGGGCATATCATCAATAAGGGGTCCAAAGCCTACTAGTTAAAAGTGGCGAACTTTTAAAAATTCTGTATTTCAAAGGGGATTATAACAAAATATCAAGTGTGCTATATTTTTGGAAAGGTAATTTTAAATTCTTTTCAGTTAATTAAAAATATAGAGGGTGTCCCAAATAAAAAATCAATATTTCTGTTGATAACTCTTATATTATTAATTTTAATAAAATTATACTTAAACCATTAAATTCTACGTAAAAAGGTGCTTTGGAAATGTTTTCATAGAAATACAAAATTTTCCATAGTAAAAAAGTTACAGCGATTTGTTAAAAATGCACATTTTTGAAAATCACCCCGTAACTCCGAAACGGTAACAGATATTGACGTGCGGTTTTCACCATCATGTTTTTAATGAAAATTGAGCTCCAGACACCGATATTAGTTTTCGTCTATCTCCTATAGAAAAGGGTGTTTCCATTTAAAAGCGTCGAATTTGACCCACCCTGTACAGTTCGTCTGCTGGATCTGTGTCTATGAAAGGAAACGTCACCGCAAATCGCTCCGCCCACTCATTTTATTGGCTACTTGCAAATTCGTCGAATTTTTATTGATGGGACGCGTCGTCTAATTTTTTACGAAAAACATCGAGAGAATATCATTTCCCCTCTCACGGATACCCCGTAGTAACAGAACGGACAGACGTACTGTACTGTACAGGGTCAGATTGAGATTACTTGAAGCAAAGAAACAACTATAACTAGAGTTTTTTTATATCTCTTAATTTATTGGTATTATGTGTAAATCATGATAAACGAAATTAAATAAATAATTAAACACTTAACAGTAGCTCTCCAACTGGTTGGCGTATTCTTTTGATTTCTGCAAGAAATACTCAACCGAAATACTGTCATTCATCACATAATCTTCGATACAAGCTATAGCATCTATATTCTCATAATCAAACCTCTCGACATTCTTCAACACGTCGATTCTTTTTTCTCTCAGAAATTGAAGCACATTCTTCAACATCGTACAAGAAAAAACATTATCTTCCAAGTAGATTGATTTTAGACTAGGAATATTTAAATGAACGTCCATTACATCCAGCCCGTATATCCCATTTCCGCTAATATCTAAGCTAGTCAGATATCTCATTGGTAATAAAATAGCTGGATCGAAGTTTACTACAGAATTGTTCGCCAAGTTCAAGAAGTTTACGTTTCTTAATCCAGAAAAAGCCCCTAAATTGAATCTTTTAAACTTGTTATTCGATAAGTCAAGTCTACGTAACACTGACAGGTTTTTAAAGATACTTAAAGGAAAATGACACAAGTTGTTATATGATAAATCCAAAACTTCCAGGTTTTCTAAGCCTTGAAATGAGTCTTTGTATAATTTATTTAGTTTGTTATAAGAAAAGTCTAGAGTTAGGAGCGTGGTTGCTCCACGAAATACTTCAGCCAGTAATTCAGTAACTGCATTATGGGATAGATTGATAAAATTACTGGAACCTCCTTCCAGGAATCCAGGATTGAGTGATTCAATCAGGTTCTGCTGCAAGTGGAGTTCGTAAAGTTGGTTCAATCCTTGAAAAGCACGACTGGAGATGTTCCTGATTTGGTTGTTATCCAGGTGTAGGTATTCCAGAGACTCTAGCTTCTTGAATCCTTTAGATTGCATGGATAGTATGGCAGATCCAGTAGAATTCCTAGTCAAAAATCAACTTTTATAAAGATCAATTTGTTTTAATTATAATATTTTAGATTAAGTGTACATATACAGGGTCAGATTGAGATTACTTAAAATAAAGAAAGAACTAAACTAGAGTTTTTTATTTTATATCTCTTAATTTATTGGTAATATATTACGTAAATCGTAATAAACAAAATTAAATAAATCATTAAACACTCAACAGTAACTCTCCAACTGATTGGCGTATTCTTTTGATTTCTGCAAGAAATACTCAACCGAAATACTGTCATTCATCACATAATCTTCGATACAAGCTATAGCATCTATATTCTCATAATCAAACCTCTCGACATTCTGCAACACGTCGATTCTTTTTTCTCTCAGAAATTGAAGCACATTCTTCAACATCGTACAAGAAAAAACATTATCTTCCAAGTAGATTGATTTTAGACTAGGTATATTTAAATGAACATCCATTACATCCAGCCCGTATATCCCATTTCCGCTAATATCTAAGCTAGTCAGGTATCTCATTGGTAATAAAATAGCTGGATCGAAGTTCACTACAGAATTATTCGCCAAGTTCAAGAAGTTTATGTTTTTTAATCCAGAAAAAGTCCCTAAATTGAATCTTTTAAACTTGTTATTCGATAAGTCAAGTCTACGTAACACTGACAGGTTTTTAAAGATGCTTAAAGGAAAATGACACAAGTTGTTATATGATAAATCCAAAACTTCCAGGTTTTCTAGGCCTTGAAATGAGTCTTTGTACAATTTATTTAATTTGTTGTAAGAAAAGTCTAGAGTTAGGAGCGTGGTTGCTCCACGAAATACTTCAGGCAGTAATTCAGTAACTGCATTATGGGAGAGATTGATAAAATTACTGGAACCTCCTTCCAGAAATCCAGGATTGAGTGATTCAATCAGGTTCTGCTGCAAGTGGAGTTCGTAAAGTTGGTTCAATCCTTGAAAAGCACGATTGGAGATATTCTTAATGTTGTTGTTATCCAGGTGTAGATATTCCAGAGACTGTAACTTTTTGAATGCTTCAGATTTAATGGATTTCAATCCACTAAAAGACACATCGAAGCTTTTCAAGCTGTTTTCGAAAGGAAATGTGGCCGAAGTGAAGGTTTCTAGTTTGCAATCTTCGCATTTCAGGCCGAATTTCTCGTAGATGATCGATGGGAATTTTTCTGTTACGTCTTCGCACTGGAAGAAGTTCTCCATGTTGTAACACTTCTGAGCACCGCAAAATGGAGTGCCTATGATAATAACCAGGAAAAGGATGGCGAATGCCTCGTCTGTCATGATTGGTCTGAAAGAATACGAGACGTAATGTTAATAATTATTTAGTCATAATTGGCGTAGAAAAAAAATATCCTCGACTAATTTTGAAATTAAAAAAAATTCTAGTATGCAGGGTGTTCCTTAATGGCATGCTAATATACAGTATGTCCCCGGATTGTCTTTACAAGAAGAAAAACTTTTTTATTATTGACATTTTGAGAAAATTACATTCTTTTTAAAAATGTTTGCTCGTTGTTGTCCTAAAGTCTGTCCCGTCTGTCGGGATAACATTGGAACAGATAAAATTTACACGTGAATAGCAGTAATTAAACATTTTGTACTAAAGGACACAGCTATATAAGGGTGTCCCAGAAATAAGTGCAAGTTTTTTAAGGGGTGGTAGATCTCGATAAACGAAACATATTTTCTCTTTATCGTTTTTCAAATAAGTCCAAAATAACGGAGTTATTTTACTTTGAAAATTTCCAAAAAAACATGATTTTTTGCTAAAATTTTGAGAACTACTGGATCTTTTCTGGATTTTCTTTCTTGTAAATTTAATATAATACCTATGTTTCTATATTATCAAGAAATTATGTTTTTAACTAAAAACTAAAAAAATTTCCAAAATTTTTTTCGAAAAATTTTGAATTTTCAAAAAATGTTTTTCGCGAAAAAACCTCATAGGCTTGTTTCTGGGGTTGAACTATGCTCCCAGTTAAAATGCTTGCACTTATTTCTGGGATACCCTGTATAAATGAAACTAAAAAAGCTTGAGAAAATATATTTTCGTAATATTAGGGCTTAGGGCAGTAGATGTATATTTCTTTTAAAAAACTGAATAAGAAGACAAGACTTTTTTACTAGTTTCACAGATTCTAATGATTAAATATCCATCAGAAAAATAAAACAATATTTTTAGTAGATAGGTACAACGAAAATTAACGACTTATTTCTAAAATATTTAAAAAAAAATGTATTATTCTTGAATAAAAGGTCAATGTATATGCACCCTAATTTTGGGGATGCAATAACTCCATCAAAAATAGCCTTGTGTCCTCTTTTAATCTCTTGTAATTCCGTGATTATGGGTAAATGCCGATATTTACGAGACCTATTTGTTTTCTAAAAAACATCCTATTACTGAGATTAGGTGTACTTTACAGTACTTACTACAACAAAGATACACCAAAATAAATAAAACTATTAAACAACAATGCCAAGAAGCTAAAGAGAACTAGGTAACTGCAGAATGCCAAGAGGCGGAACGCATGCATGCTCTGCACGACTCTGTAAAATTTCATAGAAAACTCAAACAAATTACTGAAACACAATGGGAAATTGATTTTAGACCCGGTAGATCTATGCAGCACATGGAAAAGCTATGCACAATTATTATTTGAAGACCAAAGAGAAGACAGACAACCTCTCAATTGTGAAGACTGGTCGGGCCCGGAAATTCTTGAATCTGAAGTTCAGCATGCTATGCAAGCTATGAAAAATCGAAAAAGCCCCGGTCATGACAACGTGCATGCAGAAGTTCTTAAAATATTTGACTCAAAGCATCTCACATATCTATTCATCAATCGAATATACGATACGGGTAAAATTCCAAACGACTGGCTAAAATCAACAATTCCCAAAAAGGCATCTCCAAAAGACTGTAGTGACTACAGACTTATAAGTCTAATGAGTCATGCTCTGAAACTTTTTCTTCGAGTCATGCATGCTCGTATATACTCGAAATGTGAAGAAAAAAGCGTAGAGACACAGTTCGGCTTCATCAAGGGGCTGGGTACCAGAGAGGCTTTGTTTTCAATCAAGCTACTAATCCAGAAATGTTATGATCAACGCCAAGATGTCTTTGTGTGTCTCATAGATTATCAGAAGGCTTTCGACAACGTTAAACACGATATTCTCCTAAACAGACTGCTCGAGATAGGAATAGACGCCAAATACATTAGAATCATACAGGAACTATATTGGAACCAAACCGCGGAGATAAGAGTTAACAAAAATTTATCCACAGACACCTTCAATGTGTGTCGAGGAGTCCGCCAGGGCTGTATACTGTCACCAATACTTTTTAATATATACGTCGAAAAAATATTTCAAATGGCCTTGGAAGGAGAAAGTGGAGGAATTAAGATTAACGGAGTTCCAATTAACAATATAAGATATGCAGATGATACGGCAATACTAGCACCAACTTTAGAGGATCTCCAGCAAATAATAAATAAGATAGGGGACCGATTTCGGTCTTAAAATCAACGCTGCCAAGACCAAACTTATGGTAATAGGACGCCAGCCTGCAATCAACACCGCATTGATCGTGGATGGAAATATTATAGAGCGAGTTCCACGATTTAAATATCTGGGTGCCATGATCAATGAACGATGGGACTGCGATGAGGAAGTTAAACTTAGAACGAATTATGCAAAGTCAACATTTTTTAAACTTAAAAACTTCCTATTAGCACGCAGTCTCCCGCTAACACTTAGACTACGGGTAGTAAAATGCTACATATGGCCCATCTTACTATACGGCGCAGAAACCTGGTCTCTCAAGGCTAGAACCCTGAACCGCTTCGAGGCTTTCGAAATGTGGACTCTCCGGAGACTCTTACATGTGCCATGGACCGCACATGCCACCAACGAAGAAGTTTTAAGAACTGCAGGCTATGATAGCATGTAGTAGAAATAACTTTATTTTGAAAATAACGGACATTACATTACACGATTTGAAAATATAAGGATGAAACAAAATTAAGCTGGAGTCACAAAGATACCGCAGTTTTAACTTATTGATCATTTTTAAAATTTACATGGGCTTACTTATGTTTAACTCGAGCATACAATACATGTTATACATATAAAAATACTTACTTTTCTACTTATTTTCTCTCAAACAAAAACAAATATTTCTAAAACCCACAAAACAGCAATTTTCACACAGTGTTCGTAAACTGAATTAAACCGTTTGAATCTATGGTTTTAATTAATAAGGTTTCGGGGTCAAAAAATTAACTCCAGAACATTGTTATTGTTCAAATCGCACGATTGTTGGAATCTATTAAGAAAATTCCCTTTATCTGGAATTTCGAGAGAAAAAAAAATGATTTAACAGGCCTTGTAAATAATACATTAGAATGAACTTAAAAATGGATTTTGATACTGCTTTGGATAAATAAAAATAAGGAATAAGATTGGCTTTTAATTTATGTGTATTTGAATTTAATAAATTTTGTTATGTATTATCAGATATTATACCGTGTGTTTTGATAGAGGATTTTTTTAAATATACGCAGCATAAATACTGAATATTTCTAGAAAGCGGCTCACCCCTATAACTTTTTTATTTTTAGAGACAAAAAACGAGTTAGTAAATATAACCTAAATTAGGATTGTTTGACGCATTCAGTTGTTTTCGGTCACTTCCTGTTTCACCGGAAATGACTAGAACTTTTGATTTTAAATGGCACCCGATATGCCATTCTATTCAGAGTGCTATCTTCTATCGAATAAAGTAAAAAAATACCGAGAATGACATTTGAAAATCAAAAGTTGTAGTCATTTCCGGTGAAACAGGAAGTGACCGAAAACAATTAAATACATCAATCAATGGCGGATTTATGTCATATACTAACATACCAAATCTCGTTTTTTTTATCTGAAAAAATCTGAACCCCATTTTAAGCAACACTGCAATATAACAGTTAGCAACACATTCAGAATAAAATGATATATACCTACTTATAAAAACTTTTAATTTTATGTATTTTAAAAATATTCAACAACAACAACAAACAACGCTTTATTGTACAAAAAGCCAAAACAGCTTCATCGACAAAGCACTCACAAACAACAAAATCACAAAAAAAAATTCAAACAACAAAAAATACACAATACAAATAATACAATTCAAAAAAATTTAAGCCTTTAAAATTACAAAAAGAATATACATGGACAATTTTAGAACAGTGCGCAGTAAATAGATATAATTTTAGAGTTACAAAATATTAAATACTTGACCTTTGACCAGTGTGTGAGATGATCAAAATTTTAAAATTCAAAATTGTTCATAATTAAACATCAACAAAAAAGTCGTTTACCGCATATAGGGCCCTCTCCAGTAGGTATGATTTTAGAGCTTTGCGAAATGCGGGAAAGAATGAAAGCGACTTGATATTCAAAGGCAGATGATTGTACATTTTTTTGGCATTGTACAGTATTGAACCTTTAACTAGTTCTGAGCTCGGGGTTGGCAGATAAAGATCGTACTCTGCATTCCTAAGTGGATAGTTATCAAATGGCCTTTCAGGAATAGCAGATATGTGCTTGCGGATTAAGCAAACGGATTCAAAAATGAATAAAGAAGGAAGAGTCAGTATTTTCAAATTTTTAAAGAAATTCTGGCAGTGAGTTCTACTGTTCAGTCCCAATAAATATCGAACTGCTCTCTTTTGAAGTCTGAAAACACGATCAAATTTTGTTGCGCAGCAAGTACCCCAGAATGGAAGGGCATAACAAAGATGTGACTCAAAAAGGGCTTAATAGGCTATTCTAGAGGTTGAGAAATTAAGTTCCTTAGAAACTGATCTTAGCGCAAAACAGGCAGCGCTTAGTTTCTTTGAGAGAGCTTCGATGTGAAAGTCCCATTTTAACGAGTTGTCTACAAGTTCTAAGAACTTCACAGAGTCCACGACGTCAATAGTGGTGTTATTAAGTACAAAAGGTTGTATAGTACTTTTATATAACAAAACTTTAGTTTTTGATAGGTTGGGGCATAGGAGATTAGAATCGTACCAAGACTTAATGGTGCGTAAGTCGCTGGATATAGTATCATATAGTGCCGCAACATCTGGGCCGCTCCAAATGATACTATATAGTAGGTATCGTCCGCAAAGAGGCAAATTTTACCGCTAATGTCTAGATTTGCAATGTCGTTGATAAACACCAGAAACAAAATAGGGTCAAGTACTGAACCCTGAGGGACACCACATTCTATAGGCTTACAAGAAGACATAGACGTATCAATCCTCACAAGCTGCCTTCTGTTGCCAAGATATGACTTAAGCCATTCGAGCGGCACTCCCCTGAAACCATAGTATTGCAATTTGTTAATTAAGATATTATGATTTACACAATCGAAAGCCTTAGAGAAATCACAGAAAATTGTAGCTGTAGAGTGATGGTTATTCAGGCTAGAGTATACATTATTAAAAAGGTCGAACATAGCATCATTTGTGCAACTGTTACTTATAGAAATCCAAATTGATGGGTAGTAAGTATTTTATATTTAAGGAGAAAAGATAGAAACCTTTTTTTAACCAATCTTTCAATGATCTTAGATAATGTGGGCAGGAGTGCAATTGGGCGATATTTCGAAGCTTCATCTTTATCACCTCCTTTATACAGAGGAATAATTATTCTTATATACATATACACTGTGCCACATATAGCATAAAAATTATTCTCATAGCTTTAAGGATACACAAAAAATAAAATAATTTATTAAAAGATATCGTTTAAATCACAACTATGTTGTTACAATTGCTTTTTTACACTCGTTTCGTACCCAAACCGTACCATCTGGACACGATAACGAATGGACCAGTCTATTAATCTGTGGTCCACCTGGAACGCCCCACTGGATAATCTTCTTATACGGATTCTGGCTCTTTATAAATTCTTCGTACGAAACCATTTTTATAGTTGAAGAATTGGAACACATTGATGTCATTAAATGGAGCAAAATCAAAACAGCTACTGAGTTCATTGGCGTCATGGTGTGTTAATTCTAAAAGAAAAAAAAGTTTGTTATTCTTAATTTATCAAAATAGGGTCCTGGATTTTACCTAGGAGTAACTAACTAGTTGGGAAGTTTAAATATTTATATAGTGTCTATATAAGGTATATAATAGTTATATAGTTATCTAACATATAATCCACTTATATATCCAATTATCTAACCCACAATAGTTATATAGTATCTAACATATAATATTATACACACACCGGAAAAATCTAGGGATATCATTTTATTAAAGTTAAAAATAAATATTTTGAATAAACAACCACATATTTGTAGGCCGATTCTTTCTACTTCGATTGAAACGAAGTAGTCACACTAGTTATTTCTAAATTTGGGATATTTGCAGAAGTGTTTGTGCATTTTTTGTCAAATGTATAAAAAGCACCTAGCATCAATTGTTCGAATTTAACCTGTACTGGCTATGTTTTTGTGATAACTAGCCAGAATTCATTCAAATAAGTCTGTTTAGTATTAAACAACATTATGGAGCGTTAACAGAGACGAAATGCTAAGGGCCATGGGTATGCTTGAAGCTGGAATGCGCCAAATCGACGTAGCTAGAGCATTAAATACAACGCAAAGTGTAATATCGTGATTAAGTGCATGCTACCGTGAAAGTGGTGATGTTGCTGAAAGGCACACAAGGCGACATCGCATTACTACCCCTCAGCAAGATCATTTTTTACAATTAAATGCTCGACGCCGACCGACTCTTACAGCACCAGAGCTTAGTTTAATTCTCCAGGAAACACATAATGTAACCGTTAGTCCTGACACTGTTCGCAATAGATTAAGAGAGGTCAACTTAAGAAGCAGACGCCCCTGGAGTGCTCAACCCTTAACGAGAGGAAATCGAGAGGTACGATATTTGTGGGCTCAAGATCATGTTCAGTGGTCGAATGAACAATGGGCCAATGTTCTCTTCGCGGATGAGTCACGCTTTGGAATTCATCCGGATTCGAGAAGGCTTTGGGTATGGAGAGAACCGGGAAATCTTATTCGGTTGGATCATGTTCAGGAAGTGCACCTTTATCAAGGTGGAACAGTTATGGTCTGGGGAGGAGTCCAGTTAGGCCGAAAAACCGATCTCGTTTCTCTTGAAAGGTTTCTAATAGGAATCACATATCGTGATTTAATTCTTGAGCCTGTCGTGTTACCATATGCCAATGATTTTGGGAGAAACTTCATTCTCATGAATGACAATGCACGGCCTCATACAGCCAGAGTGGTAAGTGAGTTTATCAATGCTCATCAATTAAACATCTTACACTGACCGGCACAATCTCCTGACCTCAACCCCATCGAGCACGTATGAGACGCGGTCCAAAGAAGAAATTTGAGACTGGGTATGCCTCGTGAAACTTGTAGGGATCTGGTCCGGGCCGTGAATGCAGCGTGGCAGGCTGTACCTCAAGAAGAGATCGACAACCTGATCATGAGCATGGATAGACGATGTAGGGCTGTAATGAACAGTAGAGGAGGCTATACCATTTATTAAGTGAAAATGGTTTTATCTTTTTTTTAATTCACAGTTTAGAATAAAAAAAAAAAAGTGTGTATTTTTTTGAGTTCAATAAAAATCAAGGTAAATTTGAAAAATTCGGTAAATTTCGCATTTTTATTTCCAATACGTCCTGTATATGTCCTAAACTGTTTGTTTATTTTAATTTTATTATATCAGAAATGCAAATAATAAAATTACTGACGATGGCTGGATAAAATTCTAATATCCCTAGACTTTTCCGGTGTGTGTATATGCAAAATATCAATATACAAGGTGTTCCAGTCTGAGCGTGCATTTGAAATTTCTAGAGAACTACAACATCTAGATCGGAGACTTTTTGCACATTATTGTTTCAAAACGAGTTCTATCGATTAAAAATATTTTCAATATGGCACTTCCGGAAATACCGGAAGATGACAGCAACTTTCTTATTTTAAATGGGCACCCCCATTTTTTATTACATAGTTAAATTCTCTGTAAAATTTTATGAATTTTGATATTAAACACTCTATACCTAATATAAACTGTTTTCGAAAAAAAAAATATTTAAAATTTTTGGAGGAAAAAACTGCCTGTCAAAAAAATCAGTATAGCCTAAATGACAGATTTAGTGATTACCACAGCCACTGTGGCATAAAGTGAAGACATGTGGGTATCTATTTCAAAATTTAAATTGTACAAGAATCTAACCTACAAACAAACCAAGAAGAAACTTATCATTTTCCTTTTTTTTGTTCTAGAAATTAAATTTTCGACCAAAAATATCATGAAAAACTAGTTTACGAAATACATTCTAAAAGTATTTTGCGCTATCAACAAACTAAATAAACAATAATAATATTACCTACCTTATTAAGAAACAATCTATCCAAAATTATCAGTCACAGTAAACACTTGTCGAAGAGATAATACACAAACAAATCAATAGTTATTAACAAAGTAAACAAAATATCTATTAGACTCAAGACAGAAAAAATTAAAATTGCTAATGTATACCATTTTATATGCTAATTTCGAATAATATAATAAGTATTTCTGATGAAGAACATGACGAAACTATTACTTGTTTTGTTTAAATTCACTCGAGCCTGATTAAAAGTTGTATTGATAAGGTTGATAATGACAATAAAAATCGATATAATTGTTGACAAATAAAATGTAGTTATCGAATTTTTAGATTAAAATTTTAATTTAATGTTTTGAAAACGCAACAAAATACCGCATGATCGAGAAAAAAAAGCGTCAAAGACGGCTGGAGAATGAGTATTGATGATAATTTTAGCAAAAGTTGTCAAAAATTAACTCTATAAAATGTATTTTTTTAAGCTTTTTATGAAGCTTATGGTCAAATATAATTTGTATATTTTCCGCCAACTACGAGTAGATTATTACAGCATAATAAATTGTGTGCGCCAAAAAAACATTTTTTGCAAGTCAGCTTCGGAAAAATGTTTGATATGCCCTCTAACGGACAAAGGTAGCACTTTTGTATAGAGATAAATTGTGTCCAATGAACGTATTTTAATTCCAAAAATATGTAGTAGTTCCATGTCCACGGAATATTGAGCACCCTGTATGAAAACGTCATTGATTATGATCTCAAAAATTATTGAAATTACACAGCAAAAATAGCACTCAAAATCTGATTTCCGTTTCTTAGAATATGAACAAACAATTATTGTTATTAAGATAAATTAAGTTACATAAAAATATATTATATATTCTTTTAAAAAAATGTATATGTCAATAGTCAACATTCAAACCTATACCTATATTATGTATTTGATTAGATATACCTACTGAAGTGGATTATTTACTACAGCTTAAATCAGTGTTTCTTAAATTCTGATTTCAGGTGTTTGTGGTTACAGTTCCTAAAATGATTTCTTTGGGTAAGTTCTTTATTCATTTATCATTATTGCTCTTTGATCTTTTGATATATTTAGCTTTGCTCTTTGCTTGGTCTTACAACGACTGTATCCAACATATTAATAAAACTACCATAACACTATCTGCAAACTTGTGATAAAAGGAGATAAAATTTAAAGAAAATAAAGTAAAAAATTATAAAGCAAGATCGGCAGCTTAGATTTTGTAATTTTTAAATAAATAAATTAATAAATAGTACAGGGTGAGTCAACGATAAAGTCCATTATCTCATTTATTTCGATGTCAAATATAAACTTTATAAAAAAGGATAAGATGCACATTTTAAAATTATTATTTATTAGAGTATACAGAGTGCTTTTAAACAGTGTGGCGGATATAACATATGTTTTTTTAAATGCAACACCCTATTTTTTATTTAATTTTAAGGTTTTGCCGTAAAATTCTATAACTTTTTATATACAGGGTTGTTCACCACATACGACACGGAGTATTGTAGCTAAACGATTAGATTTTTACAAATTGTAAGTTTTGGGTTCGTTGAAGGACTATTAGAGCTACAATTTAAAAATATTTTTACAAGATACAGAGTGTCCCAAATAAATAAAAAATATCAAAGTTGTATTTTTTTAAATGAAACACCCTGTATATTATTACATTTTTAGTTTCTACGATTAAAATAAAGGTAAATTTGATAAAGGTTTATTACACTTAAACCTTACCGTTTTTGAAATATTTTCAATTTTGTGAAATTGAAGTCAAAATTTTAAGACTTCATTTCTCCAAGGGTGTCAAAGTTTTTAATACTAAATATTTACTGAAGTTTATTTATTGATCAGTTATTGTGTTGCAATAATAAAAATTATACTACCTTATACAGAGTGTCTAAAATTTTATTTTAAATAATTACTAGCTTTAAACGGCAATAACTTGTTTAATTTAAATGGAACACCCTGTATATTTTATGAGAGTCAGATGCACAATTTAATTGTCTATCAAATTGTATTATACCTTTTTTTACCTATAGCTTCAAGTTTCCGTAGAAAATGCATTTTCTTGTAATTTTAATTCATTTATCAATATACCCATGGAATACTGGCATTTTAGATTATTTTTTATAATATTGTTGATATAGTTTGTTGATATAGTTTGTTTATTTCATTAAAAAATAAAAAAAACTGTTTAAATATTTCTTAAAGAGGACCAATTAATATGATTCCAGTATTCAAACTACATTAATTGACTGTTTGCCTTGATTAATAATAATTGCTCCAAAAACTAAAAAACTGAATTTTTTATGTGTATTAAACAGTGTGGTAAAAAGTAACACCTTAGAAATGATATTTCGTTTTTTGACAAATGCTTATTTGTAACAACAGAGACATTCATTTTTATAACTTATTATTATATTGATTTCTGATTCAAATCCACATTTATTTAGAATAATTTATTCACGAACATAATTAAGTATGTAATTAATTAGTATTTGGGCGGAAATAATGGTAGTATATTTAATTAATGGTATACTTTTTTATGAAGATTTTGAATGAAAAATTTACTTTTTGCATACAAATGGGCTAGTAATATTATCATTTTGTTTAAAACCATAATATTACTAGCCCGTAGATTTTGTACATTTGTTGCTTTAAAAACAATCTAAAATGTCAATATTCCATGGGTATATTGATAAATGAGGTCTAAATTATAAGAACATGCATTTTCTACGAAAACTTGAAGGGATAGGTAGAAAGTGGTATAATGCAATTTGATAGACAATTAAATTATGCATCTGATTCTCCTAAAATATACAGGGCGTTCCATTTAAATTAAACAAGTTATTGCCGTTTAAAGCTAGTAATTATTTAAAATAAAATTTTAGACACTCTGTATAAGGTAGTATAATTTTTATTATTGCAACACAATAACTGATCAATAAATAAACTTCAGTAAATATTTAGTATTAAAAACTTTGATACCCTTGGAGAAATGAAGCCTTAAAATTTTCACTGTAATTTCACAAAATTGAAAATATTTCAAAAACGGTAAGGTTTAAGTGTGATATACCTTAATAAAATTTACCTTTGTTTCAATCGTAGAATCTAAAAATAGAATAATATACAGGGTGTCCATTTAAAAAAATACGACCAAATATATGTGGTCCATTTAAAAAAATACAACTATACGATTTTTTATTTGTTTGGGACACTCTGTATCTTGTAAAAATATTTTTAAATTGTAGCTCTAATAGTCCTTCAACGAACCCAAAACTTACAATTTGTAAAAATCTAATCGTTTAGCTACAATACTCCGTGTCGTATGTGGTGAACAACCCTGTATAATGTTATACGTTTAAAATTAATAGTTTTTGAAATAATTGAATTTGTTTAAACAAATGTTAGATTTTAGTGTAGTAAAAAATTGTCTGCATAATATTAATTAGACTAATACCAGCTTACCGGTTGCGTCTCAAAAATAGCTCACCCCTATAACTTTTTTATTTTTTGAGATACAAAAACGAGAGTATATGACACAAATTATGATTGATTGACGTATTCAATTGTTTTTGGTCACTTCCTGTTTCACCGGAAATGACTACAACTTTTGATTTTTAAATGGCACCCTCGGTATTTTTTTACTTTATTCGATAGAAAATGACACTGTCTTTGGCACTGTAAATAGGATGACATATTATATGTCAACTTTTGACATTGATATGGTTTATTTGAAATTCTAATATGCTGATTATAACAACAATTTGACTCGAAATGCCAAGTGTGTGGTACCAAATTATTGCATAATATTAATTATACTAATACAGTATATAGCAATATAAATTACAAACAAAAAAGCATTCCATAGTCCATAGTAATCATTATTCAAAAAAAAATCTGTCAAAAAAATAAAAATTTATTTTCAAGCGATATCTTACTATCTTCTTTTCTAGCATCACGGATTGCTATTTTCTCAGTAATTCTTGCCAACACCCATGCAGCATTACTGAAAGACTCCTCAGGAAGAGTTCATTTAGAATACGATGTAGTAGATGATGGACTGGACATTATTTTAAAAAGAGGTAAAGTAAATCTTACTCAATAAACACAAAATTAAATTTATTTTTTTACATTTTCTTTAGATAACGAAATTAAAGTAACAGGAAAACTACTGAAAGGAAAAAACTTAAAACATCTGACATGCTTAGGACAAGAATCCTGTTCCTTGAATGACGTAGAACATTTTTCAATTAAAGCTTTGGAAAACGGATTTAACATTTCCTGGGTATCGAAAGATCCCTTAAGGGTTGCTGAGAACTGTTTTCAGTTGAATTCCAGTAAGTTTTGAACAATTTTTCAAAAATTCTTCTTCGTTATATTATGTTGTATACTTTTCAAGATACAACAAATTGGTATGGAGGTCCAGAGAGGTACAACCAATCATGGCCCTTGGAAAAAATGCAAATATCTAACGAGGAACCTTACATTATAAAAAAAACCGACAATTTTGCAGTTGCTGAAAGGTTTATTTATGATAACTTTAATTTAAAACCTACATTTCATAAATATCTGATAGGTTAAGAAATAAAAAAAAAACTAGTCTCTAATCTAAAACATATTGTTTTGCATAAATTTATATGTTTAACCCAAACTTTCTTTTAGATACTGGTTAAGTTCCCAAGGATTTTTTATATATCTCGACGAGAAGGTTCCACTATGGGTTGATCAGAACCATAATTATGATGACACAGTTTGTTTTAAAGCCGAAGCAGTTGACCCATATGTTAATAGAAATGAGGTATACCATGCTGGCAACTGTTACTTTTGGGTCTCTTGCGGCGTTGCCGGTACGCCTTTCCCTATCAAGTAAAGTAAAATGACGATTGCAAACCGCTTATTTTTAAAAGTTTTTTTTCGAAAAGATAACTAGATAAAATCATTAGATATGTTTCTGAGCATCTGAAATGGAATTATGAGGATATAGTTATGATCTCCATTTTTTTACAAGGAGAAAACATCAATAATCGTGATAATTTGAAAACTCAACTTTTTAACACATAACACGCCATAACCTAAGAACTTAAGAACCACTTTAGATATTGAAACTTTTTGTTATTTTGAAGATCGGATCTTTTACAATATGTTTAAATAAGAAAACTTCGATAAGGTTTTTTTTCTCCATTCAAAAATTTAAAACAATTCATCCATTTACTTTTAGTGCATAGCAATTTTCAGCAATTTTATTTATAAAGATTTTCACATACTTCAGTGAAGAAAATATAGCAGGTATATTAAGAAAGTTTCGAAAAAACTACAATCAATTATTTCTAACAGATTTCGAGACATCGATTTTTGAATTCATAATTCTAATAGCGCGACCACTGTCGAACACCAACTCAATTCCACTTATTTTTACCAAAAATGCAAGTGTTTCTAACTTGCACTTAAAAATTTTCAAGCTGTAGGGAAAATTACGACTCGTTGATAAATAAACAAAAAAAGTTTCACGAGACGTAATGAAATCGTGAAGCTGAACGCATGATGTACACCTCTGCCTAGAACTTTAAGTACTGACAGAAGTACTGATTAGGTCGACCCGGTCGACTGCGACAAATCTGCTATATCTTCTTCCACGTCTCTTAGCAATGTGCGCAGTTTCTCGGTTTATTTCAAACTTTTGGCAACGTGTTTGATGTTCTCTCTTTGTTCAGTACATTATAAACGCATTGTACTCTTCTTACATACAGGAATCTCGACCCAAGACTAACCTTTACCAGCCCTTTGTATATCAAAATTAAGGACATTTTTACGTATATTGATATTGATGATCTTTTTTAGTCTGTTTTGTCATATGCTGTGATGGTATATGACAATGCCAAAGAAGCACATTTGAAGGCAGTGAACAATTATTTAGGTAAATATTTTTATATTTAGTACCTACTGTCAGTTCTTGCGGTTTTGGTCGACTACTATAAATAGTAGAAGAAAATATTGTCAAGACTTAAATAGATGTCAACTTCGGTCTATATCAAATTGAGAAAAATAAAATATAATTTTAGTAAACCAATTTGATATAGTTCCAAGTTAACTTCTATTTAAGTCTTCTAATATGCAAGACTACTTATTAATTTATTAACCAAGGTGCTCTTGGTCTTCGTCTTGCGTCTTTTTTACTCATCACTAATAAGGAATATCATTTAGAAGGAGAAATACATAGCATCTTCTAAATGTGTTATAAATTATATTCTTCTAAATAAAATTCTTATTAAAATATAAAACGAATATCGTGATGATAACGACCAAACATATGCATAAATAAAATTATTAGACAGAGCTAAATAATATGGACTTTTAGGGAAGCCCACTGGTCATCCAAATGACAAAATGATTGCTGAACCAATATGGACGACATGGGCTAAATACAAGAAGCCTATTACTGACGCGATTGTTCTGACATTTGCTCAGGATATCAGAAATCATGGATATGATGGAGGTCAATTGGAAATAGATGACGATTGGGAAGTAAGTCAAGTTAAATATAAGCATAACGTCAGTATATTCTTAATAAAATAGTGATAACCAAAGGAAATACACCAATAAGTATAAACACCAATAACATGTAAATAATTACCTTTTTTATTAAATTTAAAATGATATTTTAAAATACCTTATGGCGTGGATAAAATGCTTCCTGAAACACTTATACAGGCTGTTCCAAAAAACATGTGCCATCTCTCGTGGGGAGATTCCTGGCTATTTGAAACACCCTGTATTATTTAACCATTATTTTCTACCACACATTATTTGTTTAGGTATGCTACGGAGCTCAAACGTTCAAACACGACATGTTTGGCAACATTAGCAACACTGTAAAATCCTTAAAAGACGACAATTGGAGGGTTACACTCTGGGTACATCCTTTTGTAGACGACACTTGCCAGAACAATTCGAATTATGGAAAAGAACACGGTACGTAAGTCGAAATTCACAAATATATCCTATAAAGTCCTTCGTGTACAGGGTGTGTCAAATTGGACGCTTTTAAACGGAAACACCCTTTTTATTAGTATCTTTACCTATAGTTATCATCAGAAAACTTGATTTTTTATTTGGGACACCCCTTATATTTTTAATTAACTGAAAAGGACTTAAAATTACCTTTCCAAAAATATAGCACGTTTAATATTTTGTTACAGTCCCTTTCGAACTACAGAATTTTTAAAAGTTTTCCCTTATTGATGATCTGCCTCTAATGGAACTCAAAACATATTTTCCAGCAAGACGAGACACCGCCTCAGAACGCTGAAGTTATCAGCAAATTTTTGCAGCCAATTTCGAGAATAACTGAATACCTAACCAAGATCCCAGCCGTTGGCCGGAAGAATAAAGGTTCTTATTTTTAAATTGCCCGTATAATCTAGACAAGAATTAGAAGTATTTAGCGGTTGTGCGAGGTTGTCTTTCACTTCTACTGAGTTAATGAATTCCGCGAGAAATGTTCAAAAACGGTCTCGTCTGTTCATAACAGAAGACGATCGACATCTGTAGCAAAATCTACCTAATCTATCTAAAATGTCTTGGTTTGTTATTAATCTTTATTATTATTAGATATACACACACTGGAAAAATCTAGGGATATCATTTTATTAAAGTTAAAAATAAATGTTTTGAATAAACAATCACATATTTGTAGGCCGATTCTTTCTACTTCGATTGAAACGAAGTAGTCACACTAGTTATTTCTAAATTTGGGATATTTGCAGAAGTGTTGCATTGTGTGCATTTTTTGTCGAATGTATAAAAAGCACCTAGCATCAATTGTTCGAATCTAACCTGTACTGGCTATGTTTTTATGATAACTGATAAAAATTCATTAAAATAACTCTGTTTAGTATTAAACGACATTATGGAGCGTAGACATCTTAACAGAGACGAAATGCTAAGGGCCACGGGTATGCTCGAAGCTGGAATGCGCCAAATCGACGTAGCTAGAGCATTAAATACAACGCAAAGTGTAATACCGCGATTAAGTGCACGCTACAGTGAAAGTGATGATGTTGCTGAAAGGCACACAGGGCGACATCGCATTACTACCCCTCAGCAAGATCATTTTTTACAATTAAATGCTCGACGCCGACCGACTCTTACAGTACCAGAGCTTAGTTTAATTCTCCAGGAAACACATAATGTAACCGTTAGTCCTGACACTGTTCGCAATAGATTAAGAGAGGTTAACTTAAGAAGCAGACGCCCCTGGAGAGTTCAACCCTTAACGAGAGGAAATCGAGAGGTACGATATTTGTGGGTTCAAGATCATGTTCAGTGGTCGAATGAACAATGGGCCAATGTTCTCTTCACGGATGAGTCACGCTTTGGAATTCATCCGGATTCGAGAAGGCTCAGGGTATGAAAATCTTATTCGGTTGGATCATGTTCAGGAAGTGCACCCTTATCAAGGTGGAACAGTTATGGTCTGGGGAGGCAGTTAGGCCGAAAAACCGATCTCGTTTTTCTTGAAAGGTTTCTAACAGGAATCACATATCGTGATTTAATTCTTGAGCCTGTCGTGTTACCATATGCCAATGATTTTGGGAGAAACTTCATTCTCATGAATGACAATGCACCGCCTCATACAGCCAGAGTGGTAAGTGAGTTTATCAATGCTCATCAATTAAACATCTTACCTTGGCCGGCACAATCTCCTGACCTCAACCCCATCGAGCACGTATGGGAAGCGGTCCAAAGAAGAATTTTGAGAATGGGTATGCCTCGTGAAACTCGTAGGGATCTGGTTCGGGCAGTGAATGCAGCGTGGCAGGCTGTACCTCAAAAAGAGATCGACAACCTGATCAGGAACATGGAGAGACGATGTAGGGCTGTAATGAACAGTAGAGGAGGCCATACCCTTTATTAAGTAAAAATGGGTTTATCTTTTTTTTTTAATTCACAGTTTAGAATAAAAAAATGTGTGTATATTTTTGATTTCAATAAAAATCAAGATAAATTTGAAAAAATTGGTAAATTTCGCATTTTTATTTCCAACACGTCCTGTAAACTATTTGTTTATTTTAATTTTATTATATCAGAAATACAAATAATAAAATTACTGACGATGGCTGGATAAAATTTTAATATCCCTAGACTTTTCCGGTGTGTGTAGTTTAAATGTGTTGATGTTATTAAATATAGTTTAAATTATTAGAAAATTCCGCATCTCTCATTGCAAACATTATTTTCGTTTTAATTGCTGCTCACAGCTTTTTGCATTACAGCCGGCGCCATTCAAAACCTACTTATTCAAAGTTGGTGAATGTTTAAAGATTGAAGAGAAATCGAGCAAAATATCAAGTATGCAATATTTTTGGAAAGGTAATTTTAAATTCTTTTCAAGAAATTAAAAATATACTGGGTATACCATATAAAAAATCAAATTTTCTGTAAAAAAATTATACTTAAACCATTAAATTCTACGTAAAAAGGTGCTTTGGAAATGTTTTCATAAAAATAAAAAAAATTCGTAGCAAAAAAGTTACAGCGATTTGTTAAAATTGCACATTTTTGAAAAACACCGAAACGGTAACAGATATCGATTTGCGGTTTTCTCCATATTTTTTGCCACAGGGTCTAACTGTCTTTATGTTTTTTTTGTAACATAATTAGTGTGAAAAGATTATTTCTAGATTATTTTGCCAAAAATATATCTGGACAGACCCTGGCAATATGGTGGAATAGTGACAACTCGCATCAAATCGACTTCACCAATTCCGAAGCAGCCCAGTGGTGGGTGGACAGAGTGAAAAAATTGCAGGAGAATCCAGGGATTGACAGTTTCAAGTTTGACGCGGGAGAGTCTAATTTTGTCAATCAGGTAATAAGACGCCACTTGTCTTGGTCTTGCCGTAAGTCTCTTGGGGTATTGCATTTTTTAAAGGATTTTTACTTTCTGCATAGAAAATCTTTAAATAAATAGTATTTTTAGTAATTTAATGCAAACAAAACTTTCTAAATTGTTTAAAGGTACTTTAATTTTGGAAGATGTTCGTAAAACATTTAATTACCAGTTCATTAAAAAAAGTATACCATTAATATTGCCCAAATTATATTTTATTCTCTCATAGTATATGTCTATTCAATTTTTTTATTATGTAAAGAGCACTTTGTTTACTCACTTGTTTCGTCCAACTGCTTGAATCCATTTTTGCTTTTGATCAAATCGGTGTGAGAAACTATGAAGCTATAAAATGTTGTTTCGGGAGAGTTGAATATCTATAATATAATAATAGAATAATATAGAATAGTATATAATAATATATACTTAAATATTATGACAAAACAACCATTTCAATATTATTTTAATGCGAACAACATGACGGCGTGAAATACATACTTATAATTTCTTATTTCCGCCGTTGAAGCGCTGCGGTCGCAATTTATTGAAATCAACTGAAATGCCCCAAACCTATAAACCTGAGAAAAAATGCAAGACAGCGAGAGCAAGAGTCCAGCATGCTTGGTCTTGATCTTGCAGGTCAAAGGCTGGTCTGCACAAGAAGCAAGACAAAGAACAGTCTCGCTCATCACTAACTGCTCATGATTTTTGCAGCCCCCCGACTTTAAAGATGTGTACCTTGCTCCGAATATTCTTACAACAAAGTACATCGAAACTTGTAATCAGTTCGGGTCCTTGATTGAAGTCAGATCGGCTTACAGGTAAAACAGAATACCTAACAAAAAGCTTTTACTACTTGAAATAAATCGTTTTAGGACCCAAAAGCATCCACACTTCGTCAGAATGCAGGACAAGGACTCAACCTGGGGTTTGGATAATGGACTGGCCAGTCTGATCACAACTTTGTTACAAATGAACATGAACGGCTATGGAATGTAAGATAACAATAAGAATAATCAATATTTCCTCCATTCCTGCTTTAATTCAACGTTATAGCATAGTTACATCACTCTGTTATCAGACAGATACTAAAACTAAAACTTCATTTAAATTTGCCAGGTTTAACGAGCATCTTCAAGGAATCATTTAAAATGAAAAAATGATAATTATAGAATTATCAATCAAAAACTGTTAAAATTATCACAGATTATACAGATTATAAACTTTGTTTTTTCTTTATTGTTTTTCGTGGTTCCAATTTTCGGAATCGGGCACTAGTTAGGTTACTAGTTTGCGCACTGCCGTTCTTTAAAAGATCAGCCCGGGGGCGGACTTTTGTTTACTTCATCAGCTGTACATACTTAGATATTGGGTTAGATTCCGTTTCATATTTTGTCGGTTGATTTTTGGTTTTAACTCTATGATTTTTGGTATTATTTATTATTGTAGTGCAAAAAACTAATTATTTTGGTGTTTAAGTGACATAAACTACTACCAGATTTATGGTCACTCTCGGTTTCGCATAAAAAAATGGAAAATTGAAAAAAGTACACGTTGTGTAAGTGATTTAACCTAAAAGTGCCCATACATTTTTTACTCATCGTGATACAACGATGTGTTTTTAAGACTTTAACAATTCATCAATAAAGCTTAAGTGGAGTGTGTTTTTGGTGCTATGCCTCATCTTTGTTGTGTTCCTGGTGGAAAGGATAGTTATACTAAGCAGCCTAAAGTGTCCGGAAGAGCAAGAAAAGTGGGTACGAGTTATAAATCAAGAGAATTCTATTTAAAATATCTTTAATAAATTTAAAAATAATATTCTCCCATGATGGTATTAATGAAAACTGGACAATTATGTTTATTTTATTCATATTGTGGAATCTCCACTCCAAGTGTTGTTGGTTCAGCTTCGATAGATTCAAACACGTAAGTAGGTATTATGATCTAGTGAAAAATAAAGAATATGTGTATTAAAGATCATGAAAAAGATTATTATTTTGAGTTCAAATTTTAAAAAAGATTTTTCTAAAGACAAGACTGATACAGTTTAAAAGAAGAATGTATTTTTTTTTGATAATATATAATGTATGTCAAGCACACATTTGTTCAGTAATTTTTAATGAATAGTGTTGATTATTTATAATACCAAATTAATATCAAATATTTAAGTGATGGCTGAATACAATATGAATAAAATAACAATAAAATTGATATATTTGCATAATACAAAATTAAGTTTTAAAAATAAAGGTGTTACTAAAAATACTAAGAAATTCATATTTCTTTGTTTTAATTGGTCTAATGTTATTTACATTTTACGTAAGAATTATACCGTATCATCGAAAAAAATCGGCGTCTAGTTGGCTTGGAAATGAACATTGATGACATTCCCTAAATAACTGTACACATAAAATAATTAACTAGAATTTTACAATCTTGGAAAATTTGATATTCTTGAACCTTGTTTCTAAATATTCTAAATGTTTTGATTTTCTTGGGATTTAGGTTCGGGAAAAACGCTGATTAAGTTTTCATTTGGCTTTTCATTATTTTTATTTGGTTTAAAAAAAAACGTTTCGGCTAACATTATAGCCTTCATCAGTGTTGTGTCATATGAAAAAAATAGTGTCGAATATTACATATAAAATATTCACACCACACACATAATGTTTACTGCGTACTCCATAGTCAATGTAGATAATTTTAGTGTTAAGAATAATAATTTAAAAAAATATGTGGTCATCTTTTGATAAGTTTATATTAGTTTATTAATTGCAGTAAACATTATGAGGTGTGAATTATATTGTATATGTAATTTTTTGGATTATATTCGACACTATTTTCTCATATGACACAACACTGATGAAGGCTATAGTTAGCCGAAACGTTTTTTTAAATCAAATAAAAATAATGAAAACCCAAATGAAAACTTAAATCAGCGTTTTTCCCGAACCTAAAAATCCCAAGAAAATCAAAAATTTTAGAATAATTTTACTTATAAAATGCCAGCGATCTTCATTTCATACCCATCGCTGACGCCTTTTTTTAGATAATATTGTATTATTTGTAAATATAATTTTTCGAACATTGATACTTGCAAAATATACATATAAATTTTGTGAATGCAAATAATAATACATCACTATTAGTAGATATTGAATGTTTTTTGTTAAATTAGATCGATTTTCAAACCCCAAAATTTAAAATATATTTACATTTTACTCATTATCTTATGTACCTATACATTATTTGTACATTGTAAAACATTTGCTGCATTTGTATGGTTCATAGTTTATTTGCCAAAGTATTTATTACTATAAATAGGTATATATGTTGTAGTTATTAACTGTATATTATGTATATTTCATGTAAACTATATCATTTTTAAAATACAAACCAAAAATCTGAGGAATAATTATGTTTTCCATGTATTCTACAACATTCAAACATATTTATTAATCCGTTATATCTAACTAGCGTGACGTCATAAATCTCTCCCGTAGGCTGATCTTTTAATAGAAGGCACTGGTTTCCGCACATAGCAAGCCCACTTATGGCCTGTAAAATTGTGCACAGCGCCTGACCGGCACAGTTATTAGAGAGATATCATAAAACCGAATAGAGTCATGCAGTATTTACGCGTACCTTATCATGGTTACGATATGCGCGAGTCAATTTTTAACGCAACACCCGCTAATAACGTTTATGCAATTCCTCAACATCTTCTGGGCAACAGAGCATGCCTCGTCGTCTCACTGCTTGCATTGAGGCTCGAGGAGGCAATACAGACTATTAGTTGTGAGAAATAATTAAAATTGTTTTCAATATTTTCTGTTTAAAATGAAATTTGTTTTTGTTAATTTTTTTTTTAATTTTCATTATGAAATAAAATTATAATAAGCGTGTAGTAAGCCAATATGTCCAAAAATATAAAAAGAATTATATTAGGTCCAAAATAAAATAAAAATATCGTTATATACAATAATTTTGGCCATGTGTGTATGTGAGACAAGATATTTTTTCCAAATAGTAAATACCGAGATATGGATTTTTCTTTATAATAATAATTAAAAAATAGAAAACTGAAAGACGGATTGGACTACTTCTTAAAATTAAGAGCTCATACTTGGATATAATTTTTTTGAGGTGTCTACCAACCTTTTTTTCAGAGTATACAGCGAAAAAAATAGTAGATTTTTTTACCCTTTTTGTGTATATCATTCATGATCATATTTTTGTTTAGGGTATTGCCCGACATGATTGGTGGCAATGGATATAATGGAAATGTACCAACAGGAGAACTTATCGTAAGATGGACACAAGCCAACGCTTTCATGCCTTCCATGCAGTTCAGTTACCTACCGTGGGACTATGATACACAAGTTGATGTAAGTTGTTCAAAAAGTAGTCAAACTTTGAAATATCGAAAAATTTTGTTAAATCTCGCATAGAGGTTAAAGAAAATTGCATATTATTATCTCAGATTTATTTTACTTGTTTTTTTAGTTTGATATTGAAGGCATTGTGAAGGAATACGTCCAAATGCATGCTGAATATTCTCCAAGAATTATAGCAGCAATGAACCAAAGTATCGAGAATGGTACTCCAGTAAATCCTCCAATCTGGTGGCTGGATCCCACTGATCAAGTTGCCTTAGGAATATCTGACGGTAAACAAGCTGGCTTTTAAATAACAGTAAATTTGATTATCTTCTTAAACAAATATTTCTTAACGACGTAAATTTGTACAGGGTGGGTCAAATTGGACGCTTTTAAAGAGAAAAAAGAAAAAAAGAAACACCCTTTTCTATAGAGATAGACGAAAACTAATATCGGTGTCTGGAGCTCAATTTTTATCAAAAACATGATGGTGAAAACCGCACATCAATATCTATTACTGTTTCGGAATTACGGGGCGTTTTTCAAAAAGGTGCATTTTTAACAAATCGCTGTAACTTTTTTGCTGTAGAAAATTTTGTATTTTTATGAAAACATTTCCAAAGCACCTTTTTACGTAGAATTTAATGGTTTAAGTATATTTTTTTAAATTAATAATTTTATTAGTATCTTTACCTATAGTTATCAACAGAAAAATTTTATATATGGGACACCCAGTATATTTTTAATTCATTGAAAATAATTTAAAATTACCTTTCCAAAAATTTAGCACTTGATATTTTGCTCGATTCCTCTTCGAGATATAGATTGTATAAAAATTCGCCCACTTTGAATAAGTAGCTGTGAGCAGCAATTAAAACAATTATAATATTTGCAATGAGAGATGCAGAATTGTATAACAATGCATAGGATTAGATCCATAAGCACTAAGTCCGGCCGCCTGGACGGCTACCGAATGGTGTCTTGGTTGGCTATTCAATTATTCCCAAAATTAACTGCAAAAATTTGCTGATAACTGCAGCGTTCTGAGGCGATGCCTCGTCTTGCTGGAAAAATATGTTTTCAAGTTCCATTAGGAGCAGATCATCAAAAAGGGGTCCAAAGCCTAGTAGTTAAAAGCGGCGAACTTTTAAAAATTCTGTATTTCGAAGAAGATTATAACAAAATATTAAGTGTGCTATATTTTTGGAAAGGTAATTTTAAGTTCCTTTCAATTAATTAAAAATATACAGGGGTGTGTGTAAAAAAATATATATTTAAACCATTAAATTCTACGTGAAAAGGTGCTTTGGAAATGTTCATAAAAATACAAAATTTTCCATAGCAAAAAAGTTACAGCGATTTGTTAAAAATGCACTTTTTTACTAATATTAGTATTCGTCTATCTCCTATAGAAAAGGGTGTTTCCTTTTAAAAGCGTCCAATTTGGCCCACCCTGTACATTCATTTGCAATATAATTTCAGAGTATCTTCTTGGAGAGGAAATATTAGTAGCTCCAGTGATTGAAGAAGGAGCAATTTCAAGAGATGTATATTTACCTACAGGGCAGTGGAAGGATGGTAACACTGGAACAGTTATTCAAGGACCTACGACTTTGAAGAATTACAGTGCACCCATTAAAGTATTACCGTGGTTTATTAAAGTTTGAAATTTTTGTTAGTTAAGTTATATAATAATTTGTAAATAAAGTGTTATTTTTTTGAATTAGATAATTATTTTGTTTATCATCATTTTTTTGTAACTAAGGTATGTGTAGGTACTGTGATAACATTGCTTTAAGTACTTAATAAACAAAATCATCAAGAGAGCAAAGATAATATAAGATTTATTTAATATACTTGTTTTTTGTATTAGAAAATATTAATATATCATGTGGGGTAAGTTACAGGTCAATATATTCTATAATTTTAATTCAAATTTTAATTAAAATACCTAGAAATATACAGGAAAACATTAAGTTTTAAATCTATCCCTTTGTTAATTGTATATACTTTTTATTTTTTTAATGTTCTCAGTTATTACTTAGAACATTAAATCCTTTTAATTCAAAAATATGTTTTAATAAAATCACTTTAATAATTTAAATGTTTTTGTTTCTCACTAAATTAATATAAGCTTATATATCGTCATGGTTACATGATGGTTACTCTAACCATAAATAGAGTACTACAGTCATAACTCCCTTAGGACATGCAAAAAAATTCAGCGGGAATTAAGATGCCATAATTCCCACTATTTTATACAGGGTGTCCCAGAAATAAGTGCAAGTATTTTAACTGGTAGTATAGTTCAAGCTCAGAAACACGCTTATGAGGTTTTTTCGCAAAATAAATTTTTTAGAATTTTTTTTAGTTTTTAGTTAAAAAACAACATTTCTTGATAATATTGCAACATAGATATTAGATTAAATTTACAAGAAAGAAAATCCAGAAAAGATCCAGTGGTTCTCAAAATTTTAGCAAAAAATCATTTTTGTTTTGGAAATTTTCACTTATAATATCACAAGAGCTTAAATTATTTTCGGAAATTTTTTTGAGGGCACGAATATTTTGAAAATTATCCCGAGTCGAAGACGAGGGATAATTTTCCTAAAATATTCGTGCCCGAAAGAAAATTTCCAGGAATAATTTAAGCTTGCGTGGTATTCGGTAAGAAAATTTCACACCTAAATTTGAAAAAAAAATATTAATCCAACATGACATTTTAAAATAATTTCAATTTGTTAAGTTGGCCAAGGTATTGATGTTTTTGACATATTATGTGTTTTGTCTTTTTTGTTTGAGATTCTGTCATTAAGCTATTACTAGTTTTAAAACGTCTGTACGTAGAGTAAGAAGTGTCGCGATTTGGAAAAGTAAACCAACAAGTCATTAAAGAAGAAATTGAAAATATAAAACCAGATAACACCCGAAAATCAAAATCAAGTGTATGGAAACAGTTTGTTGAATTTTGTGATGAAAAGTCGTATAATATTCACGAGTGTATGAGTGTAGTACAGCTGGCTACTATACTGGAGGACTACGCATTTAATATGAAAAAGAAAATTTTTGAAGATTATAAGGAAAGTGTGGTCAAAGTGATGTGGAACTCTACTGCTAAGCAGTTGCAAGAAATTTATTACGAAAAATATAAAATAAAATTTAATCCGTTTTCTGATGTGGAATTTGTGACCGCCAGAGCTGCACGCGATGCTAAGCGCAAAATACTACAGAGAGATTCAGCAAAAAGAAAAGTGAGTGCTTCAGCCTTAACCAGTGACGAATACAAAAAAATTATTGAAATAAATTCTAAAAAAATCATATAGATATATCCATCATATTTCGTTAAATAGAAAAATACCAGCTTTAGTTAAATAAAGGCGGCAGAACTATATTTTTTAGAACATGGCAATTTCGAAGAAATTCATATGTAGGTATATCTAACATATTTCCTTAAATAAAAAATATTACCAACCTTAGTTACATCAAATGCTAAAACTCAAATGGGTAATATTTCAATATATAGACATTGTAGTTCATTCACATTATGATTGTAGATCTTATGTTTACCTTTTCAACTGTCAAAAAATTTCCACTAAAGTTTCGTGGCGCCTCGAAAAAATTTCCGGAAATTTTTTCAGTTGCCATGGTAACTAGTCAACATTAAAGCATGTTATTGGTTGAAAAGTAGAGGTGTGAAATTTTCAAAGTAAAATAGATAAATGAGTTTTAAATTATAAGAAAATGCATTTTCTACGGAAAGTTGAAGAGATAGGTAAAAAATGGTATAATACAATTTGATAGACAATTAAATTGTGCATCTGATTTTCATAAAATATACAGGGTGTTCCATTTAAATTAATCAAGTTATTGCCATTTAAAGCTAGTAAATATTTAGAATAAAATTTTAGACACTCGGTATAAGGTAGTATAATTTTTATTATTGCAACCCAATAACTGATCAATAAATAAACTTCAGTAAATATTTAGTATTAAAAACTTTGATACTCTTGGAGAAATGAAGCCTTAAAACTTTGACAGCAATTTCACAAAATTGAAAATATTTCAAAAAACGGTAAGATTAAAGTGCGGTAAACCTTAATCAAATTTACCTTTATTTTAATCGTAGAAACTAAAAATGTAATAATATACAGGGTGTTCTATTTAAAAAAATACAACTTTGATATTTTTTATTTATTTGGGACACTCTGTATTTTGTAAAAATATTTTTAAATTGTAGCTCTAATAGTCCTTCAACGAACCCAAAACTTACATTTGGTAAAAATCTAACCGTTTAGCTACAATACTCCGTGTCGTATGTTGTGAACAACCCTGTATATTTTTTATCAGTGTCGAGGTTAGTTGCGTTGGTTAAGTTGGTTATTTGGTGGGGTGGATAGCGTTGCGTTCTTATAAAATCCCTATATTTCATAAAGCCCGTCAAGTGCGTCACATCAACGACGTCATACCTATTAACGGCATTTTAATAAGCTACCGTTTAACGGCAGTTTAAGTACAGCCTATAAAATATACCGGAAGATTAATAAATGCAACATTTCTGTAGTTTTAAAATTATATGGGAAATGTCATCGATCGTCATTTCATAGCCATCGCTCACGCCGTTTTTATTCGATCATACGGCATCATATTCCATCCATGGTACAGAAATAACTATTTAAAACTACTGAGCTTATACAGGGTGCTACAAATTCGAGGTACGAGCATTGGTATCTCGGAAACTCGGAAACTCGGTATCTCTCAAAAAGTTGCGCCTTGGGCTGTTTACCAAGATGTCATCAAAAAAGTTTTAAAAATTTCAAGGATTGCTGAGTTTTTTGGAAAAAAACGGATTTTTTTGAAAACTAATTTTATTTTTTCTTGACGTTACTTTTTAAAAAATCAAAAAACTAATTACACATTCTCATAGCCACTTTATTAGGGCTATCTGATGGTATTTTTAGATTTTCAAATTAGCTGATACTTTATGAGACACAGAGGCCAACTTAATTTTTTTAAACACTCTTTTTTAACTCAGCAATTCTTGAAATTTTAAAAAAAAAATTGATGGCATCTTGGTGAACATCCCAAACCGCAACTTTAATCATGTTCGTATCTATTACGGTTACCGAGTTACCAATGCTCGTACCTCGAATTTGTAGCACCCTGTATACAAAGCATTCACCTGTGAGCTAGGGTCACTCAAGCGTGAGTTTGTCCACTAAGGACATCAGTATTAGTACGTTTTATTAAGTGGTTCCTATATTGTGTAAATTTCGATACCTGAATTGCTGTCAAACACAGTCAATTTTAAAAAACAATATATCCTGAAAATGTAACTAATCAAAATTTTTAAGGTACAAACTATTTCGGTTGTTTTATTTTCTTGTTTGGAACCAGTGTCCACACTTTCGGACACAACGTCCTCAAAAATTCCGAAGATGTATCTTTCGTCATGATCCCAACAGCTTCTGGACTAGGATATGACGTCACAGTATACAAAGGTAAATTCCCACACTGTTTTAGCTTGAATAAAACGTTTTTTTTTCGCTTTGTTACAGGCAATGTGGACAAAATTCACGGAACCATCGGCGTAGATGTTAACTTTACCGACGTTCAGTGTGATTCAAGAGCATGCAGCTTGAAAGAAACAAATTTTACAGTGACCATAATAACAGTTTCTGATGGATTTCGAGTGCAGTGGTTGTCTGATAATATAGATTTTCAATTTAAGGATTGTTTTGATCTTCAGAAAGGTATTTTTGATTGCTTTGCTAGTAATATAACAATTAAATGATTATTTTTCCAGGAGAATTAAACTGGTATGGAGGTCCAGAGATATACCAACAAGAATGGCCAATTGAAAAACTAAATTTGAGTGGAAATGATCCGTATGTTGTTAGGAAAAGTTCCAATTTTGCTGGTACGGGTTTTACTTTAGATTCAATAAATAAATGAATAAATAAATGCCTTTATTGTCAAAAAATTTTTCAATTTGTAGACAAAGGTAAACTATCAAACAAAGTAAAAAAACAAGGTACACAAACAAACAAACAAAAGATAATACAAAACATTATACAAATAATATTGTCAGTCTTATTGTTTAAAATAAACATTTATAAATGTTTACAATGTCAAAGAACAAAAAAATAAAAATAATATTCAAAAATATTTAGTTAGTTTATAGTATAATATCAATGACCTCTAAATAAATTTATTTAGATGTCATTAGTAAATATAGCAATAGCAAACATTAGACCAGTGTTTACAAGATCAAATTCGATTTTCAAAATATAATTCATTTACGGCGTAGAAAGCCTTGTCTAGTAAATAAGAGTTCAATGCTTTGCGAAATGAAAGAAATGATGTTATGGATTCGATTTCAAATGGCAGGTGGTTGTGCATTTTTTTCGACTTGTATAATATTGAACTTTTAACTAACTCTGAGCGTAGGGTAGGTGGATAAAGATCTTGCTCCGCGTTCCTGAGTGGATAAGTGTGAGATGGCCTTTCTTGAAAAGCTGATACATGTTTACGTATTAGGCAAACGGATTCAAATATAAGTAAGGAAGGAAGAGTCAATATTTTTAATTCTTTAAAAAAGTCCCGGCAATGAGTTCTGCTGTTTAGTCCCAGTGAATATCGAACAGCTCTCTTCTGGAGCTTGAAAATGCGGTCAAATTGAGTCGCACAACACGTACCCCAGAATGGAAGGGCATACCTGAGGTGCGACTCAAAAAATGCATAATAAACAGTTCTAGCCACTGGCAAGTTAAGCTCCTTAGAAACAGACCTTAATGCAAAACAGGCAGAGCTCAATTTTTTCGACAAAGCTTCGATATGTATGTCCCATTTCAGAGAATTGTCCACAACAAGCCCTAAGAATTGTGGTGTTGTTAAGTACAAAAGTCTGCAACGAGTTTTTATACGACAAAGCTTTAGTTTTAGAAATGTTGAGACTCGGGAGGTTCGAATCGCACCAAGATTTAATGGTGATTAAGTCATTTGATATAATCCTATGAAGTGCCGTGATGTCCTTGTTGCTCCAAGTGAAGCTAGTGTCGTCCGCAAAAAGACATATTTTGCCACTGATGTTTATGTTAGCAATGTCGTTAATAAAAAGAAGAAACAAAATAGGGCTTAGTACTGAGCCTTGTGGTACTCCACATTCTATTGGCTTGCTAGAAGACAACGTGGTATCCACCCTCACAAGTTGACTTCTATTGCTCAGATACGACTTAAACCATTCAAGAGATGATCCCCCGAACCCATAGTGCTGCAGTTTATTAATTAGGATCTTATGATTTACCCAATCGAACGCCTTAGAAAAATCACAGAAAATTGTTGCTGTAGAATGATGGTTGTTTAGGCTGGAGTAAACTTTATTAATGAGAGAAAACATAGCGTCATTTGTGGACTTGTTGCTTAGAAATCCAAATTGATATTCAGTAGGTATTTTGTACTTAAACAGAAAAGATACCAGCCTTCTTTTAACCAACCTTTCTATGATCTTAGATAGCGTTGGAAGGAGTGCAATTGGGGGCGATAGTTAGAAGCTTTATCTTTGTCTCCTCCTTTATGCAGAGGAATGATTATTGCCGTCTTAAGACATTTTGGAAAAATACCATTTTGGAACGACATGTTTATTAAAGTTGTTAGGTGATTCAGAATGCTTTCTGGCAGATTCGAAAACATTTTTAAAGTTAGTCCCTCGGTCCCAGAAGAAGATTTATTTTTGATGGTATTAATTGTACTGCGAAGCTCTTCTAAAACTGCGGGCGAAAAAAAGAAACTGTGTAAGTTTACTTTATCATTAGAGAGATAAGAAAGTGGATCATGAGAAGGACATATGGTATTAGTTAAGGTTTTCGCTACATTTGCAAAGTAATCGTTAAGGTTCTCAGGTGAGATAGAGATATTGCTAGATGAAGAAGCTTTGTTTCTCAATTCATTCACAATAGACCATGTTTCTTTAGCAACATTACCAGAGTTGACTATTCTCCTATTATTATAAAGGTCCTTAGCGGCTCTTATAGTCTTATGATAAATTTTTCTGTATAGTTTTACGTAATTGTGGAAGAAGACACTGTCTGAGAATTTTTTTAAGTGAGATAATGAACGCATGTTTTTAGAAGATATGCGTAGACCTTTAGTGGTCCAAGGTATATACACGTTTTGTGTAACTAAACGTGTTTTGTTACTGTGTGTTATTGTTTTTGTATATTTTATAAATAATTTTATGAAATGTATATAAATCTGCAAAGGCATTGGTGTCAAAACTATGATTTGTATTGAGAATTTGATTCTTATATTTAATTTAATTATGTTTTTATTCTCCATATACCTATTACTACTAACACTTACTGAACAATACTTATTTTTTAACAAAAATCAAAAAAACTTAGTTCCAGAAAGGTACTGGTTAAATTCTAACGGCGCTTATATATACCACCACGAAAGAAACCCATTGTATATCGACCAGAACATAGAAGAAAATGGTAAAATTTGTTTTATTGGTAAAAACACTGGTCCATACATTAACAGGGAACGGGTAATAATATTACTTCATTGTTTTTTGAGAACTCTTTTTGTAAATCTTTATTTTTCTCTTAGGCATATTTAACTTACTATCTGACTGCGTTAAATAATCCTAAGGAAGCTCATTTACATGCTGTGGAAAATTATTTGGGAAAACCAGAAGGTATTAGATGAAATAAATATAAAGGGGGTAAAAAATAGTCTACCAAACTCCCGTGGATGATGTAGGTTTTCTTGTAGAAAATGTGTTAATTTTAACTAGGGCCCCCTTTCGAAAGCTGTATCTTCCTCTGAAAGCATCTTTGAACTTTTTTATTTATATTTATATGTAGATATCCCCACTGAAATTTGGTACAGTATTTTTTTACCATCTTGTATAGAGTATTATACATTCTATTGCTATTATATTTGCATAGGACATCCAAACGAGGCAATGATAAGACAACCCATATGGACCACATGGGCTAAGTACAAGAAATATATCAATGACAGTATAGTCAGGACATTTGCTTATGACATTTTGGATCATGGCTTTACAGGTCAAATAGAAATTGATGAAGACTGGGAGGTATTTTGAAAAGTTGTAGTATTTTAGTTTTGTAGTATTTCTTATTATATGCCTACAGAATATTTCTTAAATCTATACAAACTTTATAATTTTTTTGACACAAGAAACACGTCTATTGGAGAGTATTATGTTCTCGTTAAACCTTCCTTTGTACTTTAGAAAACTTTTTGAAGCTGCAGGTTCTTTAAGTTATAAAGAGAGAAAAAAAAACAAAATAAATCGGCAGTACCCAAAATGTGAACAATTATTAAGAAAAATAAAATTAGGTACCTCGACTATCTATTTTGTTTACTTATTTCAGAAACATCTTGTATATACAGAGTGTCCCAGAAATAAGTGCAAGCATTTTAAGAGGTGGTAGATCTCCATAAAAGAAACATATTTTCTCTTTATCGTTTTTCAAATAAGTCCAAAATAACGGAGTTATTTTATTTTGAAAATTTCCAAAAAAAAAATTTTTTTTTTATACTGGATCTTTTCTGGATTTTCTTTCTTGTAAATTTAATCTAATACCTATGTTGCCATATTATCAAGAAATTATGTTTTTTAAAAAATTTCGTATTTTCAAAAATATTTTTTCGCGAAAAAAACCCATAGGCGTGTTTCTGGGGTTGAACTATACTACCAGTTCAAATACTTACACTTATTTCTGGGACACCCTCTGTAATATATTAATTTATATATGTCCATCTTTAGCTAACATTTTTCTTTGTTATTTTAGACTTGTTTTGGTTCTCGAATATTCAAACCCGAGCAATTTTCGAATATTACCAACGTTATAGCAGACCTGCATGCCAGAAATTTACGGGTAACTCTATGGGCTGCCCCGTTTATCAATCCAGAATGTACTGATTTGGTAAAGGAGGGCGAAGAAAAAGGTATTTATTTAATGTAAAAATATCATGGAATTGCAACAACAATACATAAATACAGTTCGTTCATACCAAATAAACTTTAAGTCGCGTGATTAAGCTTGAATGGCACAACGTTGCTCACTTTTACCAAGGTTTTTACATATTTTCTTTTAATCAAAATATTTTACGAAACAAACATAAATTAATTACAAATATATTAACAGTTATTATTTACATCAACAAAATTCACTTTCTTAACAGCACTTAATGGACATAAAGGGCCATTACTACCGCTTTCCCGTTCAAAATATTCTAATAAAGTTGCTATGAGTTTTTTACGGCTATTAAGCTACATTGTACTCTTCGCACTAAAAGAGAGGTTCTAGAAAGAACAATGTTCGACTGTAAGGTCTGCTAGTAAACATTTTTAAGCTTAAAGCACAGATTAGGTATCCTATAAATATACAGATAAAAATCTTGTCCCTAATTCGTGGTACGAAAATTGTTTTTTATGACGATGTGCAAACGAGTCAAATTTCCTGTGCGCAAAAATAAACTCGCGTAAAATAACAATAAACAGCGTAATAGAGAGATATAGCTAAACCGAATAGCGTGCATGGACGTTAATAAGGCCAGGTGTTATTTCCTTTACGTGAGGTGGTATTAACTCTCTTCATTTTTAGTTATCGGATCGGAAAGAATTCTGATCGCGTCGCGTCCGCTATTTAAACTTAACCTAACTTTCAAAAACTTTGAAATTGTTTTGTTTTCTAGGTATTTTAAAACTAAAGGGCTAAAGTGCTTATTTCCAGTGCTTTATTGTTCAACGTCTGCCAATGGGTTTAGGACAACAAGCAACAAATTCTCTTAGAAGGGCTAAGTCGTCATCTGCTGTAAACCTAAGACTCTTTATAGGTTCTTTAGTATTGGAAGAGGTGGAATCCATATTTTGGACCATATTTATTTAATTAAAACTAATCCCAGCTACTTAAATATCAAATTACCTAATAAAACTAAAGCAATAATTCAAAACAATTCAAACAAAACCTAAAATAAAAGATCTCGTCGGCCGGCTCCAGTTGTCAAATACCCGCACATGCCCATTTAAGCAATTTTTAAACGTTATCAGAGGTTATTTAGAAAGAGCGCTTGGTGTAATTGATCCGCAAATTACGTCAGGCGGTAACGTTATTAGCGGGTGTTGCGTTGACTCGCGCATATCGTAACCATGATAAGGTACGCGTAAATACTGGATGACGCTATTCGGTTCTCCGATATCTCTCTAATAACTGTGCCGGTCAGGCGCTGTGCACAATTTTAGAGGCCATAAGTGGGCGTGCTATGTGCGCAAACTAGTCACCTAACTAGTGCCCGATTCCGAAAATTGGAACCACGAAAAACAATAAAGAAAAAACAAAGATTATAATCTGTATAATCTGTGCTTAAAGTATCACAACAAAACAAAACTTAAGTGTCAAAACGAATGACAATGTCAGGAAATAAATAAATAATCATGGCAACTTGACAATTTTTATAGCAGAGCTACCACCTGAATTCCCAGCGGGAAATTTAAATTCCAATTAGTCAGCCCGGCGCGGCGCCGAATAAAGGATGCTTCACGCTATACCGTAACGGGTCCGAGCCGTGCGTCGATGAAGACACGGCCAAACATTCAAGTGTTTTTTACACATATACATTCATGCCAGGCCGAGAACGATCCGAGCTTCGCCGGAACTCGTCCGTGCCCCGTCCCAGAAATGTCGGCGTACATTTTTTTTCTCGGATCCGCTCCGTTCCCGCCCCGTTGCGGAAAGCATGAATGTACTTTTCCTGGTGCCCGACTGCAATCTGCAGTCGTGATATAAACAAAGTACACTTTTTATCATGTCTGTAGTAGGTATTAGTGAATCTTACAGCAGTATTTGACGACAGGGTATGCGTAAAACTGGACAATGAAAGGATGTAATGAACAAGATAGATCCTTCATCTTTTCCTTTGAGCAGGTGTTTCCCCTGCAGGTGTTGTTGTTTATTCATTAACTGCAATTGGTACCAATTCCAACTGCGAGAACTTTGGCATTGTTCGTATTAAATCTTCGTGTGTCTATGGGGCTGTGTTTTCTAATATACTCGGAACTAATACGAGCCCCGTTATCAACTCGGTGTTGCATATACAGAAGGATCGGACGTGGCTCGGTGTCTACTTCACGGAACGTGCCCGGCTCGGGCGCGGTCCGGTGTACTGTAAATCATCCTTAAAGGATGATTCACGGTACACCGGACCGTACCCGAGCCGGGCACGTTCCGTAAAGTAGACACCGAGCCACGTTCGGGCCTTCAATATATGCTACACCGAGTGGACAACGGGGATCATGTCCGTGCCAATTATATTCTAGAAAACAGTGTTGCCGCAGTGGTACATTTGTACCAAATTTGATACTTTTAATTCTATTTGGTACAGTGGTACTACATTTTCAAATCCAGGATGATTCGGTACAATAATTATTTCCCACGCGCACCGAAAATGAATAGATATTTAATAATTATCGTCGTTGATAGTGCATTAAACGCGCTTACCGATACCATTCGGAGACAATCCGCATTAATTAACGACGTATTATAAACGTTGTAATGTCTATAGGGTTGCCTATATTAAATAACCCGAAGAAACAACTTAAAAATTTGCTGTTTCTAACATGCTTCTATATTTGCGTTTTTTTTAATAAAATTTAAGTTTTCCAAGTATCGTGTGTAGTATTAGAATTACTTACATTTCTTCAACCTATACTTATACTTGGGTTTTCTGAATTTCTATTTCATGTTTTTCGTCTCGATTTGTGTCTTTCTCCAGGAAGTTTTTATGTAGAAATTTATGAAGAAATTCACAACGACCAAACCGGTTAAAGTCATTTGCAGATGTATTTTGTTGTGCTTTAAAAAATTGTACCAAAGTGGAACATTTTAGTTTATAATGTGGTACGCGCTAAAAGTTGGGTGCGGCAATACTGCTAGAAAACACTCGCTATAGGCCCGTAGACGAACGAAGTATTTAGCCACGGCGGCTCATTTATGTTTGCCGCAACGGGGCCGGAACGTAGCGGATCCGAGGAAAAATGTACACCTACATTTCCTGGACGGGGCACGGACGCGTTCCGGCGAAGCTCGGACCGTGCTCGGCTTAGCATGAATGTATAAGTATAAATAACATTTGACAATGTTTGGCCGTGCCTTCACCGTCGCACGGCTCCGGCCCGTCACGGTGTACCGTGAATCATCCTTAAGTCCATGGTTGGTAACAATGAATTTAAAAATCGCGCCCTCGATTACCTAACTAAAACTTTAATTGGTATGAAATATACATATTTTATTAATTAACTTCAAAACTACAGTGAATTCGAATTTCACAACTATATACCTATATAATTTTGTCTAGGATATTTCGTGAAAAACACTAACGACAGTATGACAACTGTGTGGTGGGAAAGCGAAGATGCCAGGCAAATAGATTTCACAAACCCACAAGCAGTAACATGGTACACTAACAGACTAATCAAAGTCCAAAATGAGTCTGGCGTGGATGGCTTCAAATTTGATGCAGGGGATTACAACAGATTACGTTGCCCAGGTAACTTTAAATCTTATACCATTTAATAAAAAGCCTATGGTGATCTATTTTTGTATTTGCAGCCAGGAGTTTACAACGTTGAAGACCAGGAATTGGTACCGAATGTTTTCACACAAAACTATATCGAAACAGTGTCACAATTTGGTGATCTGATAGAAGTCAGATCAGCTTTTAGGTAGAGTTAAAAATATAGTTCTTGTTTATTATTAGCGTAACTAGCAATTTCTCCTGGGGGGGTTAGGTTTAAACGAAAGAGGGGGGGCTAGGGATTTGGTTTGTTAAAAAATGAAGAATAATATTAAAAATCAATACATTTTTTGAATAAAACGTTTACATGAATTTCTCTATCAATAAAATTGATAGACTTGATTGTATTACACCCGTATTCCCGTGTATTACTTAAATACCTACAAATTTTGTAAAAAAACAATAAAACTAAGACAAATTTTTGAACACAGAAAAATAATATTAACTAAATAAAAATGGAAAAAAATAATTTTTACTACATAACAAGCAAATAAAAATTAATATTTAGCCCAAAGCCATTGTTCAGTCAAAATTCAAGATTTCTCTGGGGGGTGCCCAGCAGTACCTCCGGGCACCCCTGTAGTTACGCCAATGTTGTTTATTATAAGCAAATTCATGATGAGTATTGCCAAATCTCAATTTTTTTTGAAAATAATATGTACATTTAGTCCAAGAAAATAGGCCTTCAAAAAGGAAGTTTTGGTAAAAACTTGATTTTTTTGTTACTTTGAAAGATCTAAAAACGAATTGAAATTGAAATCCTCCAGAAAAGAGGTGAAATAAATAAATAAAATTATTTTTTCGAAGGAACGGTAAGGACTAGAAAAAAAGTTCAAATAAAAGTTGTGGAACGTTAAATTTTACATAGAAATGATCTCTATACTTTTTTTACTTACATCAAAATTAACAGAGATAGGGTGGCTATATAGAAGCTAGAGGACGATAGTAGAAATTAAAAAAAATATAAGTTGTTGAAAAATTCATATATTTAACATTTTTATTCAATTTGTTTGGAAAATTATAAATTTCAATTAAGATTTTGAAAAAGGGTGAAAAATATAAATAAAATGTTTTTTCCAATTTTCAGAGAAACGGGAAAGACTTTGAAACAATAAATATGTTTCAACAAAAGCTGTCCCCTAGCTTCTAAGCCACCCTATCTCGGTTAATTTTGATTTGAGTAAAAAAAGTATAGAGACCATTTTTATGTAAAATTAGATGCTCTACAACTTTTATTTGGACTTTTTTTCTAGTTCTTACCGTTCTTCCGAAATTTCAAAAAAATAATGTGTCACAACCAAACCAAACTTATATCAAAAATTCAAGTTTTACCAAAACTTCGTATTTGAACGCCTATTTTGTTGGATTAATCCGTAAAATTTATAATCCTTGGCTTAATGCTTGTAGAGTTTTGTCTAAGTAACGTCAAATTTAAGTGTATTTTGGTTTTTTATTTTTGTTTAGAACTACTAAATATCCCTTCTTTCTGAGAATGATCGACAAGGATTCTGTATGGGGTCTAGACGATGGTTTGCAATCTTTGGTTACCACGTTATTACAGTTAAATATGGTTGGATATCCTATGTAAGATATGTAATATTTTTTTTAATTATAGAGGGTGTTTCAAAATAAGTGTTTCGATAAGCAATATACCTAGTACTATAGTCTGTAAAACGAATAACTTTGAATTTGACAGTTCCCGCGGGCTTTTCTAGTGTTAATTTTATTAGGTTAGCAACTTGCGGCCGTACTGACGCAATGCTGTCTCTAGCCTAGGAACGAGATTTATGACGTCACACTAGTTAGATACTACAAATTAATAATTATGTTGTAGAATACATGGAAAACATAATTATTCCTCGATTTGTTGGTTTGTATTTTAAAAATAATATAGTTTACATGAAATATACATAATATACAGTTAATAAATACAATATATATACCTATTTATATTAATAAATACTTTGGCAGATAAATTATGAACCATACAAATGCAGCAAATGTTTTACAATATGACTGAAATCGTACTCCATAGTCAATGTAGATAGTTTTTGTGTTAAGAATAATAATTTAAAAAATATGTGGTCATCTTTTGACAAATTTATATTAGTTTATTAATTGCAGTAAATATTATAATATATAAATAAATTTTGTGAATGCAAATAATAATACATCACTATTAGTAGATATTGAATGTTTTTTGTTAAATTAGATTGATTTTCGAACCCCAAAATTTAAAATATATTTTACATTTTACCCATTATCTTATGTACCACCTATTCATTATTTTTATATTGTAAAACATTTGCTGCATTTGTATGGTTCATGTTTATTAGCCAAAGTATTTATTACAATAAATCGGTATATATTATATTGTATTTATTAACTGTATATTATGTATATTTCATGTAAACTATATCATTTTTAAAATACAAACCAAAAATACGAGGAATAATTATGTTTCCCATGTATTCTCCAACATATTTATTAATCCGTATTATCTAACTAGCGTGACGTCATAAATCTCGCCTCGTGGCTGTTCTAATAGAGACGGCATTGGTCTAATATTTAGAAATGTCAAAAGCTGATGACATTTTACTTTTGTCAATTATGACATTTCGTGTTGATTTTTGCAAGAAGAGGAAGAATTGTCACTTGTTTTATTATTTTCCTTTTCTATTTCACGAAAGTAAAAAGAGTTACCTATCTGATTCGTTCAGGCTAGTTCAGGCACTCAATTTAAAGAATATCAGTAACTTTTTTGACAGAGGGATTTTATATTTGCCATGTTGGTAAAAAATAACGGTCAAAATTCAAAGTTATTCATTTTATAGACTATAACATATATAGTACCCGCATTTTTTTTAAATATAAACATTATTTTTAGAATCCCCATTTATTTTACAAAAAATGTGAAATATCGGAAACATCCTGTATACATAATATTCTCAAATATGTCTAAAAATTAAAATAACCACTAAGACTCTGAGTTAAGCTGATATATAAATATTTATTTAATAAAATTTTTGTAAAACACAGGGTGCTTCCTGATATGATTGGTGGAAATGGATATCGAGCTCAACCAACCCTGGAACTCCTAATAAGATGGACGCAAGCCACTGTTTTTATGCCTGCCATGCAGTTCAGCTATCTTCCGTGGGATTTTGCCGAAAATGACGAAGTAAATGCTAAGCTTCTTAAACTTTTTATACTCCTACCTACCATCAAAAATATTTTTTACTATTTAATTTAGCTGAACGCCACAGAAATTGTAAGAAATATGGTACTACTTCACGAAAAGTACTCCCCAGATATTCTTTCCGCTATGGAACGTTCCATATCAGACGGTGTACCAACTAATCCACCCATATGGTGGATAGATCCCACAGATAAAACAGCCTTGGAAAACTTCGATGGTATACTTTTAGATTTTTTGATTTTGATTGAATAAATGTTTTTTTTCTTGTAGAATTTTTGTTAGGCGAAAATATCTTGGTTGCTCCAGTAATGGTAGAAGGAACAACATCCAGAGAAGTGTATTTACCCAATGGGACATGGATTGATGGTAACGATAATGAAACAACCTATAATGGTCCTGTATCTCTGACATATCAAGCTCCTATTGATGTCTTACCATACTTCATCAAGCAGTAATAGTTGTTTATCAATAATATAACTGTAATAATAAAAGTATAAAAAATATTAAGTGTTATTTTTTACAAATTAAAACACCAAGTCACCATTTTGAGACTTGTTTGATTCATTCTAAATTATTAACATATAAATATGTTTAGCAACGCAAGATTTAACTGTTTTACCTTATCTGAGCCATAATATATGTTCTTTAAATCTAGTTAATGTTAATATTGATCTTCTTCATTTAGCTTATTCCGTCCACTGCTGAACAAAAGCCTCCCTTAACTCTAGCCATCTCTTTCTATTTTGTGCCACTTGAATCCAGTTTCCAGCCACTCTCTTAATGTCATCTGTCCATCGACTAGGAGGTCGTCCTCTGCTTCAATATTCCTCGTTTCTTGGTCTCCATTCCACAAGTCTCTTTGTCCACCGTCCATCCTAGCCACATGTTCTGTCCAATTCCATTTATGATGTAAGACAGGTATCACCGCATGTCTTACTCCTGTTCGATTTCGTATGGTATGATTGGGTATTTTATCTCTTAGTGTAACTCCCAACATGGACCTTTCCATTTTCCGTTGCATGACCTGTATTCTATGTATGTTCTTTTTTGTCAAAGTAAGTGTTTCAGCTCCAAACGTGAGGACAGGCAAGATACACTGGTTAAAGACCTTTCTTTTTAAACATATTGGAAGATCAAATCTCAGTATATGCTTTAGTTTACCGAATGCCGCCCACGACAAACCTATTCTTCGTAGAATTTCGTGTGTCTGATTATCCCTTCTAATACCGATCTCATGTATTTATATATATGCACTTTCCAAAAGTATGTTATTAATGTTTAAATTTCCACTCAGTACTAGGTTTTTTTTCAAAACCAAACTTTTTCCGAAGCATCATTTAGCATATCTAGCATATTCTGTGCTTCCTGTATGTTGTCTGTTGGCAGATGATATTGTTTTAATAACAGACAACATACAGGATAGGGAATGCAATTCCGCAAATGCGGGATCCCTCTGTGATTCCGCGGGATCAAATTTGCGGGATTTACCGTGCGGGATCGACACCAGGGGATTCCCCTTACGGCTTGGCCATTAAAAATAAGTGAAACAAACAGGTTAGTTAAGTTAGCGTAAGTGAAGAAAAGCGTTTAACTAGTACTTGTGGACAATTTCGTCAAATAAACTGCCGGACATAATTATCTGGACAAGCAAAATTTCATGGTAAATTTAAAGTTGAATATCTCTTGAACTAAAAAAGATTTTGAAATGCGGTTTGGACCAGGTTTTAGATGTATCTATTGTGATTAAGATACTATGTGGTTTTTGAAAATATATTGAGCGAATTCTCGTATACAGGATGTTTGCAATCCCGCAATCTTGCGGAATCCCGCAATCTTGCGGATCCGCGGGATTGATTGCTTTAATCCCGCCGGTTTGCGGGATTGCGATTTTGGTGCGGGATTGCATTCCCTAATACAGGATGTTTAGGACTACCTAATAGTTATTGTAATTAATTATTAGCACTATACTCAGTTTATAATTGAAATTCCTAAAAATACTTTTTAAACCACGGGATAACTCTCTATCAAAAAATACTGAAAAATACTTTGACGCATCTAAAAGTCGAATTGATAGAAATCGCTAGCTTATACTATGCTTATACTTACGTTTTCTAATTATTTTATCAACCAATGAAGGAGAATATCCATTACACTGAGCTACATTCCTAATATAATTTTTTCTATTTCATATACACACAACCAAACTTATATCGAATCATCTATTATTTTTCATAATTTTTGAGATGTATGAAAATTTTGTGTTTATGAATAAAACTCAGTCCTTACCAATGACTTTTAATGAAAAATAATTCATATAGAAATAAAAAAAAATAATCAGTTCCCAAAATAAACAAAATGGCATTTTTTTGGTTTCTGAAACGAACTTTAAGATTTAAATTTTTAATGGCCAAGAAGCATAAACAAAAAGAAAATTCATAATTTTAATATTCCTTGTTGCCACCTCTAGCCCTTATGCAAGCTTCTATCCGCGCTGGCATGCTTCTTATTAAATTATCGACGTTGTCTTGGGGTATGTTTTCCCATTCTGCTAATGCTGCATCAATAAGCTGTGCGAGATTTCCTGGATTGTTTCGACGAGCTCTAACCCATCTTTTGAGCTAGTCCGACAAGTGTTCGATAGGGTTTAGATCTAGTAAATAGGCAGGCTAGTCCACAACTATGACACCTTCCGTTTCAAGAGGTTCTCTAGTCACTCTGCTGGTATGGGGAGGTGCACTATCTAACTAGTGAAAATTATCCCCATTTGCAGCTCTCCAATGAATAACGATTGGTTCTAGCACCAAATCAACATATTTCCGACCCGTTAAAATTTGTTGAGAGGTAACAATGGATTTTTTTCTCCCAGTATAATACCTCCCCAGAACATTACAGTTCCTCCTTTATATCTTGGTACAGATTTGGCAGCCTGAAGTCTCGCTCGTCTTCCTGGAGCTCTGAGAACCCGAATTCGATGGTTATCTGATCTTAGGCCAATTCTGGTCTCATCCGAATAAAGAACATTTTGCCAATTCTCAGTTGTCCAGTTTTGATGTTGAAGACATCAATGTAGCCGGTCCATTTTATTTTGCCGAGAGAACTGTGAGATCCGTAACTATCTCCTACTGTAAAACCCTCGTGCACGAAGCCTTTTTCTTATGGTTTCAACTGAAACGTTCACACTTGTAGCCATAGTCATAAAATAATTAACTAGAAAGAAGTGTCAACTCTGTGTTAAATCGTGGAAACACGATACGCCACCGAAAGCCTTCGTTGTCGTCTGGAGAACTAATTTTCCAATTGACAGGTTGACATGATAAGGACATGATGGCTTGTATTTGTATTTGACTAAGAGTGGGTCCCAAGGGGGACCCTCCACTGAGGCCGCGAGGGCCTATTGTGGCACACATGATGGCTTAATTTTCATTTCCGTTTCCGGTTATTCAATGGCGGGTCCTCTTTCAGTTCAAATGTATTTTGTATTTTTACTTTTCATAAATAAAACCAAAAAATTATTTATTCACATATATTTATTTGAAATATGGAACAACGTGACTAAACAAATATAAAAATATAGAGGATTGTATTGTTTCAATACCAATTAGTTAATTATATGTACTTTTAACGTAAATTAGTTAAGGTATAAGCATGACTTACAGTAATTTGTAAAAAACACACGTATTCGCAGACTTCAAGGACAGAAAACGGACACAGGAACATGAAAACGGGAGCCTTATACAAAAACCTGAAAACAGAAAAACAATTTTTTTTATACTAAAATTAACAATGTAAAAATATCAATAGGTATAAAATATAAATATACTGTTTAAAAAAGCGTCCATTATTCCCAAAGAGACCTGGCTTATAAATCAAAAAGAAGCAAAAAGAGACTTTTTTAGTCGGATAACATAATCAGATTACAGTCCGATTTATTGCATTATTGACAATAAATCGCACATACTGGAGATAACTAATGTTGGATATAGTTAAAAATGATCTTACCTTGCTATAAATTGTTTCCATTTTCAAAAAAATCGCCGATCAAAGAGATTATAACACCATTTTCATGCATCTAAAAAATGTAAAAACAGTGTTTATTTACTACCTATTTTTCATGTACATGGGACATACCTACTACTACAGAAACGTTATTTTCTCCAGGATTCTTCATGTAATATATATTTTATATACTTTATTACCTTTATATTTATAAATTTCAGCCGAAATATTAAATTGAACTTCCAAAGCAAAACTAAACGGAATGAATTAAAAGGGCGTCGAATATTTTCTAATTTGTTCTAGAACAAATCTGAAGTTGTCTCTGAAACTGAAATCTGTCAATTCTAAACTGTGAAGTTAGACAATAGTTAGACAAAAACAATGCTGTCCTTGTCTAGGCGGCCATACTTGTCGTGAGGAGAATGACAGGAATGACACTAATGACTGTTTCCAATTTTCCTATTTCACTGTCACCCCCCTGGCCATACTTGTAGCTGCCAGAAGTTCTCTTTGTAGCTCTGGATGAGAAACATTGGGATTTATTCTAGCAATTTAACACACAAGGCGGTCTTGTTGTTCAGTTGTGACTCTTTGACGACTTTGTCAGGACCTATTCTTGTGTGTTCCTAATTCCAAGTACCTTGCATATGTTTACGATACAACATCCTGGGTAACGCGTACTATCTCTCCTACGTCTCTCTGGAGCATTCCTTGTTCGGTGAGAGCACTAATTCGTCCCCTCTGTACATCTGTTAATCCAACATAAGACTTTTTTTAATTTTTTTGATTGAATGAGAATTACCGGACAGTCGTGATTTTCCTACTGAACACAAAATTCAAAAGAAAATAAATTGCAGCAATCGTTTGTTCTTTATTATCATGTTTATTTACAACAAAAAGCCTTATCTTAAAGTTGTATACCAATTTTTATCCTTGCAATAAATTTAGTCAAAAATAAAGAGTGATTCCATATAAGTTTGGTTGTGTGTATTTGGTTTAAACAAAGTGTTTTTTTTTTTATTGTGATGAATTAGTGTTATATTTTGCTGTTGTAACACCATAGGTTCCAACCCCCAACTGTAATAGTAAATTAAAACACTGAAATTACTATAAAAATGACATATATTACTTACAATTAATTATTATAAAGTTGACAGTTCGTTTTACGCTACACATTAAGTACCGATTGCATTTCGTTAGTATTTTCCTACGATTATCCACCAATATCCTCATTCAATATATCAATTTTACGTCTATAAGTTATTATTCCAGCACAGAATTAGTTAAAACTAATAACAATTTTGATCTAAGATTTTTTTATTTACATTAACAAAAGAATTAATAATTTCATACTTAAAAAAAAATTGTAAAATTTAAATTTTAAGTAATTCTGCACTATTAATTTATTACACTCTCTATGTCCAAAAAAACTTAACCTCAAATTGACAGAGAAAAAAGATACAAATTGTTTTATATAGGCTGGTCAAGTAAAACCGCACAATGTAAAATATACCCTGCTGAATATATTTAAGCTATATTATAAAAAAAATATTTAAAAATGTTTAAAATTGTGTGATAGAATGAAAAGGAGAAAATGTACTTTCAATGCCCTCTGTATATCAGAGAATATATAGGAAATCAAAACCAATTGTAAAATTCGGAAGGCACAGATATATACCGTATGATCGAAAAAAAAAACGACGTTAAAAACTGATCTGGCCAAAATTATCATCGATTGCCATTCCCCAAGCGTTTTTTTTTTCGATCATACGGTATTTTTAATAATCGTATGAAAACTCAAGTCTTTGTATAGCTTGGTTTAGAATAAAATTACTGAAAAAAACTATCCACTCTTCTATATCTTTCCATCTCTAGTAAAAACAAAAAAAACAGTAAAATGACATCATTTGATTGTGATTTTCCCCATACTTACCTTTATTTTTAATATTCACAAATTCCTTTAGGCCTAAAATCATTTATTTATACATTTATTGATTGTACGAGATTATTGTTACTTATAGTTATTTATCAAAAGAAATACATGTATCAAAAATTATATTCTCTGATCTTTTTTTATTTGTGTAATGTAAACAAAATTGCACAACACCCTGTACATAAAGATATTCAATCAAATAAGTAAGAAATATTTCTTTCTTATGATGAAAAAACGTTTTCTTTTTTTTCAAAACACATTTCAAAAAAAATCAGAAAATATATGTAGATTCTTGTTGAAAAATTCGCCTGTTGATATGTAAAATAATTTTTCACCAACACTTACAAAAATTAAAGTTATACAGGATGGTCCGAACATAAACTTCTGTTCAGAATATGTTGTCGAAGTTTCCCGCTTACAATTCGGACCACCCTGTATAACAAAATACATTGCATTAAAAGTCGGTCTGTTTAATACAGAAAAAGTAGTAGTAGTTTTTCGATATTTTTAAATATCAATAAATTATTTTCTAATTTACAAAAAATTTGATAATATAGTTACAAACAAAAATTTAACAAACTAAACAAAAATAATACCGATAAAAATTTTGAATTTTGTTCAAAAAGCTGCGCTTTTAAAAAATAAATATTCAACACCAAAAATATAAATACATTAGTCTTGTTTGAATCAAATACTTTCACCAAAATATACATAACTTTTTTTGTTTAATACGAATATATACACAACTTGGCAATAGAAGTATAAAATAAAATTAATATTTTATTTTATATCGGAATGTTCCATAATAATTGTTAAAAATAAAACTTCTGGATAAATTAAATTAGACAATAATTATATTTTCCCAAATATAAATTAATGAAAATAAAATTTTAGAAAGCTCATATTAAGGCAAATTAAATAAAAAAAATTTAGGATATCTCATTTAAAAAAACCTAAGTTTGTAAGAAATAAGTAACAAAATGATGTAAGAACCGTATCTTTGTATCTCTACTCATGAAAGAAAAACCCCATAAAACACACGAAAACGAGACACCCTGTACACAAGAAAAAAAATATTTACCTCGTATTATCGACTAATTTAACTTATCCAGTGAGTACCTACACCATAGGCGTACCTAGTTAAAAAACACAAAGGTTTTCTACCATTTAGGAGTGAGCTGTTTAAATAACCACTGATGGTAGGCGTTGTTTTTATCACAAGGCATCAGAGAAAGATGCGAAGTCTGCGGATGCAGTGCCATGCACTTTTTATGCACCCTGTGCATCAAGGTGTGAGTCTCCTCGTCGTAGGACCACGGGCCGTCCACTGTACCTAACCTATAAAAAATTGACAAAAAAATCTATGATAAAAGAAATCTAAATAAAGGGAGACACAACTACCGTATGATCGAAAAAAACGACGTCCAGTTGGCTGGAAAATGACGATCGGTGACATCCCCCATATAAAATGACAGCAATCTTCATTCCATGGCCATCGCTGACGCCGTTTTTTTTTCGATCGTACGGTATTTACTACGGCATATAAATCACACGGCAGGCTAACTCGTTTTGGCGGGAACGCTACGCGCATATCCTTGCGCACGCCGCCATTATGGGTGCCAGCAACAGAAATTAACCAGTGCCGTAGTCAGTCGTAGTCTTTGTCATCGACAACATACAGTTACGGCATCTTTGAGTCAGTAGCGCACGGCTTAATTTATTTCATTCTTTTCTTGCGTGATATATTTTGTTTATTGTGTGATATATTTGGTTTTTGTAGTTTAGTAGTACAATGGAAGTCCGAAATTCTTTTAGTTTTAATACTCTATCATTGCCTACAGCATTCAAAATAATTGTTATTATTAGGTATCCTGTAAAATGACAAACAAGATTCATTTCTAAATTACTGTTTTTCTGATTATCCGTATCTAGTTTTAATTTTTATGGATAGCTCATGACAATTCAGAGAGAAAAGAACAGAGGTCTCGTTGTTTATTATAATAAGGTATGCCGTTTTTAATAAGATATTTGCCAGATCATTTTGGCAATCTTCAGTACCAGTGTGTAATATTCGGACACAAAGTTTTTTAAATGTTCTTCTAAACTGGATGAATTTATCCTGGATGGGAATAATGATAGGTTTACAAGATATTGGAATTACAAGATAAAGTTGTCGTACCAGATTTTTATGAGTGCAACTGTACACTCAAATCTCGCGACAAGCTTTTATATACGTTATAAGTTCATAAAAAAAGTTTTAAAAACAAAGTTTATATTTTTCTTTTCAATGTATTTAAATAAAAGCTTGTTTTAAAAATTTTTTTTTTCTTAAATTTATTTTTTACTTTTTAGTTATGCTGGTTTCTCAGTGCCACACACTTAAACTCAATTCTTTTTCTTAAATAACTTCCTATGGGCATCCTAATAATATGTACATATATCGATTTTCATTAAAAAAGTAGAAAGACAGCTGTCAAATTTGACAGTTCAAATGTGAGACAAATAAAATGAAAACCGACTATGGGGTAGGGAGCATCCAATATATCGATTTTTATCAAAATCGGACAACTTTGAGATTTTTTTGACAGCTCAATTTTTTTCTTTCATTTTAACCCATGGCCATCCTATATATATATATAATAATAAATAAAATAAATAAAAATAAATAATATATATATATATATATATATATATATATATATATATATATATATATATATATATATATATATATATATATATATAAATATATATATATATATATATATATATATATATATATATATATATATATATATATATATATATATATATATATATATATATATATATATAGATTTTTATCAAAATCGGACAACTTTGAATTTTTTTTGACAGGTCAATTTTTTTTCTTTCATTTTAGCCCATGGCCATCCTATATATCGATTTTTATCAAAACCGGGCAACTTTGAAATTTTTTTGACAGTTGTCAAAAATTCGTGTCGTGCCTTGCAAGAAAATGTATTGTCATCGGGACTGAACCTGCATGCCAAATTTCAATTTCCTACAATGAAAGGAAGTGCTTCTAATTTAGCTTACAAGTTTTGCCCAGAACAAACATACATACAAAGCAAGTTAAATAAAAGCTTGTAAAATAAGCTAGGGACTGTTTCCCATTGGTAAAGATCTTACCATAACAACATTAGGCACCCGAGCTGGTTTAAACTCTCTGTTCCCCTTCTGGTCCTCAAAACCTACAATATTATCACGACCACTATTTTAAAATAAATTGCACTTGATTTCATATCATCAATACATAGAACACAATATCGATTAAGTTCATCCGGTTCATCAAAACTTTCAACTTTTCTTTTTCAGTGTCTCATCCGGCATCTTAATCCGGCCCTGACTCGGCACCCATAATGGTGTTTTCAAGGTCAAATTTTATAGAAATTTTAAACAATGGGATCTGAGCAGAGTTAGCCTGCCGTGTGATTTATATGCCGTGTTATCGCGATCAAACATCGTATATCGTTAATATTTTATAGAAAAGTAACTGTGACACAGTGTTGCCAGAAATGTTCGAGCGAATTTCTCCAACGGTGACTTAAACTACTTTAAACTGAGGTATCCTTAAGTAAACATCGTTAAAAAATAGATGTAGGAATATCAATAAATACTCCTACTACATATTTTAACAATTTTTATCGTGCAAAACTGCCGTAAAACTTCATATTGTCTTCTTTTTGGATAAAAAAATCCTTCAGCTCTTCAATCGACGAAATTTGACTGCAAAGTCCTTCATATTGAAGGAAATCCTTAAATTCTGGCAACACTGCTACGAAAACACTTCTTCAGGAAGACTGTTAGGTTTCTAGAGATTTTACAATGAATAGTAAAAGTTTGATGGATTCATTCAAGTTGTGTTTAACAGTACATGCGGTGTTGTGAATTCTGTGCGGTATTTGTGTTTTTCAAGGAGTTTTTTTTTTCGTTTTTCGTTGCAAAAGAACTGTTTAAAATATTTTTAAATATCTAAGATGAATCGCCAGTGCTTATTTTGCAAAAAAAGTAGACTATTCTAGTGACAAATTGATATTTCGGCGGTAAGTGACGTATTTTTCAGCTTTAACAGTGGTGTACGTAATTTAAGTTTTAAGTAGGTTATTACAAAAAGCATCATTGTAAATAAAATTATACAATAGTTGAAAAAAACAGCACGCCACTTGTAGACCGAAAAGACAGAAATACAGACGAAACTCAACAGCATTGTCATACTAAGGGCTGGCAAAGGTTAGTCTTGGGTCGAGATTTCCGTATATAACAAGAGAACAATGCCTTTATAATGTACTGAAAAAAAAGAGAGGGCAGTAAACACGTTGCCATAAACCGAGAAACTGTGCACATCGCTAAGAGACGTGGAAGGAAATATAGCAGATTTGTCGCAGTTGACCGGTCGACCCAATCAATACCTCTGTCAGTACTTAAAGTTCTAGGGAGAGGTGTACGTCATGCGTTCAGCTTCACGATTTAATTACGTCTCGTGATACTTAATTTGTTTATTTATTAACGAGTCGTTGTAATTTTCCCTATAGCTTGAATTTTCTTTAAGTGCAAGCTAGAAACACTTGCATTTTTGGTCAAAATAAGTGGAATTGAGTGGGTGTTCGATAGTGGTCGCGCTATTAGAACTCTGAATTCAAAAATCGATATCTCGAAATCTATTAGAAATAATAGATTGTAGTTTTTTCAAGAACTTTGTTAATATATCTGCTGTATTTTCTTTGTAGACAGTATGTGAAAATCTTTATCAATAAAAAAATTGCAAGATTGCTGAAAATTGCTATGGTCTAAAAGTAAATGGATGGATTGTTTACAATTTTTGAATGGAAAAAACAACCTTATCGAATTTTTCTTATGTAAGCATATTGTAAAATATCAGATCTTGAAAATAAAAAAAGTTTCAATATCTAAAGTGGTTCTTGAGTTATGGCTCTCTCTTTTTAACTCGCATAAAACAAATCGTGAATTCAGGAATATTTCCAAATCTTTTTTATTTATATTTATTCATGATAAAACTTACCTGCAGAAGGCTAATTTAATGCCTTGGGCGTCCGCTTCTATACACCTCTCCCCTACTCCAAGCTGACCCTTGGCGTTCAGTCTGATCAGCTGATTATTGCCGTAACCGTGGCAATGCTGCAATGCCATCAAAGATGGCGGACCGTGACCCAAAGTGTCCAAACATTTGCCATCGACCGCCAAAGATCTGTCGTTAAAACAAAACAAAAATATTTTGTCAAAAACATTACAGTCAAATTAAGAATATGTTCTATTTAGAAATATTACAAAATTACATAAAAAAATCTACATATATACAGGGTGACCCAGGCTTCCGAAGAAGCTCCATATTCGGTTTTTGGTTTGTGATTTTTATTTCAATATTTTTTACGTAATGTGTGTGTAATGGTTACGCCTATTTGAGAATATTTTTGTCCACATACAGGGTGATTCAAACACAGTGGATTTCCCATTAAATTTCCTTTCCAAAAATACCATAAAGTTATATACTATACCCAGTGGTTTTTGAAATATATCGTTTTTAAACTAAATTTACTGCGAGCCCTCTCAAAATTCTTAAATCTCGAAGTTTAAAAAATTTTAATAGGAAATACTGTATAATAGCGTTGATTGAAAGAATTGGGAAGATAATAATTCGCCCATAATAGACGAATTCGTGATAAGGCTGATTTAATTTCCCCTTACGTCTCAAGTGCTGTACGGTGGTGACACCAATCGTTCTGCGGTCAACGCATAAAACACTTATTTTCTCTAATTCAGCCAGCGAATATAGTTGCCATAATAAAATGAGTAATATCTCTAATACATTTGACGAAAATATCTTTGGATAAAAAATCCGCGTTTATGTATTGAAAATTTATTCGTATTAAACATGGAATAAACAACAAAAATAAAAATTCTTTTCTACGTACTGAATATGTCCTATGATCGAAAAAAGTCGTTTAGTTGGCTTGGAAATGACGATTATTGACATTTACCATAATAGTTTACATACGAAATAACAGCGATCTTCATTTCCAAGCCAACTCTGACGCCGTTCTTTGTTTAATTACGTAATGTTATGTTAAATTGTTTAATGACAGAAAATCCCGTATTATTAACGTACTGTACCCAAAATCGGTATATCTACGGATTAATCAATAGTTCTGGCAACACTGTCCCCGGCCACCACTCACTCTGTCGACTGAAAGCAGAACTACGGTACAGTATTCTTGGATCGGATATATTTGTCAGAAACTGACATTGTCACTTGGAAGTGACAATAAAATGTCTGTTTTCTTGACGAAACCGTCTAAAATAAACAGAAAATATTTATTTGAGTGATAAAATATTAAAAAATGTCACAAACTAGCCTAGACCCTCCTGCTTCCAAAGAAAAAAATGAAGAGAAAGCTTCGAAATCGATAGCAGTGACACAAATTAACGATGTAATCCAGTTTCAAGAACCGAATACTTCGAAAAGTTACTCGCTGAAAACGGAAATACGTATCGACATAGTTGAACAGGGTGAAACAGATAAACGTGCGGTGGAAAACGATGATTCCGTCATATCTTTGTCACTTTTTACCGATGAAAATAAAACAAAGACAGGTAGAGTGATGTTCTTTCGTTAAGGTTACGTCTTCTAAGCCATAAAATTACATTCAATAATAATTATACTAAGAGACATTGCAACATTTATGGAGAGTGCTTTAATTTTCACTATAGGCTTGGTGCACACACATTTCAGTTGATTTTTAAAAGTACGGCAGTAGTCAGAACTCTCTGACTCTGTATTTCACGCAGTCTCGCATTTACAGTTCGTGTTGATAGCATTGAAACAATATTAAAATCGGGACTTTGTCGTATATTTAAGTATTTTAGCTTTTCTACTGTTTGAAACTATAAAATTCTCAGGAACAGGTTTGCGTGATGTGACGCTGCTTGAGGTAGTAAAAATTAAGTAAAAAATAATCAGAACTGGGCGTCGTGTTGTGTTGCGACAATTTCAAATGTTAATAAAATTGTTGAAAAAATAATAACACGTAAAGGAGGGCGTAATTACGTGGTTGTTGGGTGCAATAACATTCAATAACTCAACTTTCCCGGATATTCAACTCTCCCGAAACAACATTTTATAGCTTCACAACTTCTCACACCAATTTGATCAAAAGCAAAAATGGATTCAAGCAGCTCGACGAAACAAGTGAGTAAACAAAGTGCACTGACTTGAACACTATAGTTGTATTGAAGAATCGTAATTTTTACATTGATTGATAGAAAACTTATTGACTCACAAATAACAAAGTCAAAACCTTGTTCTTATTTAAAAAAATTGTAGTTTTATGGCTTAGTGACATATTCTTGACGATTGACCTATAGTTGAAACCATAAAAACCAAACTAAAACACTCATCTAGTTTTTTTATTGTATATCTATAAGATCCAATAGAGGCTGAAGAGAGTTATGCAACCATGGATGCCTGTATTAAGGAGAAAACTACCAATACCATTGGAGCAACTATTTTTAGTTCTAACGACCGTACCCAGAGGGTAAAAGAATATTCCCATCCCAGGGCTATTTAAAATCATTTCATTTTTTTTCATGGCAAATATCGTAAAAAAAGGCGTCTAGTTGGGTTGGAAATGCGATCGATGACATTCACCATACAAAATGAAGTGATCCTCATTTCCAAGCCATCACTGGCGCCGTTTTTTTTCGATCATATCATCCCGAAATACTTGATATTAAATTCTGAACATTTTTTCATGCAGAGTAGTGTAAATTTATTATACAAGGTGAGTCTTGAATAAAGGCAAATATTTGTAGGCGCGTAGTGATATTGGCAACGAATATTTCCATTCGAATTTTGCAGGAAATTTCAGAAATTTCCGAAATATTCGGTCCCAAAATCGCGAATATTCGCAAAAATTCGAATTTTGCAAGAAATTTATTTTCAAAATTCAAGACATTAAGCAAAAATTTAACGAAAGTGAATCAAGTAAGCCGATTCTTAAGTCAGAAGAAAAAGAATGCTTTAATGCGCCTTACAAAATAAAAAACCTATGGCTCTTGAACCAATGCAGTTTGCCGCGAATCTCTTGGATCCCTGTTTCCTGGGAGAGCACCTTAACAATGAAGAACACATAACCGCTATGGAATTTATCAACAATATCAACAACAATCATCCTCAGTTTGTCAATAATAAAGAAGCCATTTTTACAGATGTAACAAATTATTGCGCCAAATCGGGTTTATGGGCTCTCGACTACGTTTGGATGTCAGTTAAAAATGTAGACTGTCTAAGTTGGTGGCAAGCAATGTGTAAAAATACTCAGTTAAAATATTTAGCTGTTGCTCTGCTGTCTTTACCAACGTCATCTGCAGCCACAGAGAGAAGTTTCAGTACTTACAGTTTTATCCACACTAAAAAAAGAAATCGCTTAACTGCACAAAGAGCCGGTAAAATAATGTTCGTAGCTCATAACAATAAATTATTACTACAAAAACAAAAAGTGGATATGGAGCATGATATTCAACAACATGAAATTCCTCCAGCACCACTAGAACTCGTGGAGGTAGAGGTCCATCCTTCAGAATCAGAACCAGATGATATATCAGATATATCTGATTTGGAAATAGAAACTGACGAAGACAGTACTACTACTACTATAATACCCTATGAAGATGGGACCAGCTCGGCGCCTGATATTCCGGAATAGAATAATTCAGTTATTTGTGTTTTACGTTTTTTAAATTTATATTTCGTGCTTTTTTCTTTTTTTTTAAATTCATAGTCATAGTTCGTGGCTTATGCACAAAATACAAATATTACCAAATTATTTTTGTTATTGGTTATGTTTATGACTTTTATGGGTTATGTATTGTTTATTAAAAATATAACAACTAATATTATGTTTATTGTTTTTTTTCCACTTACATGTTGGTATCAAATGTCTATCTAATTTATTCCTTTATTGTATCGACAAAAAATATGTAAAATTGTAAAATTTCCTAATATTTCATAAATTTCCGAAAATTTCCGAAAGTTTGAGACATTTCCTACAACAGTCAAAAATTTCTGAAATATTAACATCACTAGGCGCGGTATATTTCAAATCCTGACACACGTCTGTGAGGTTTGTTTGGCGAAAAAAAATTGAAAATTTGCTGTTTTTTTTTTCAATTTTTAGTTAAAAATACATAATATCTTGATATTAAGGCAACAAAAGTACCTAGTAGATTAAATTTACAAAAAAGAAACGCCAGAAAAACAATATCACTGTACTTCTTTGTACTGTACCATTCGTGTGTGGTTCGCCATCACAGTTACAGTCGATAGCAGGTTAGTCACAGTCGCAAAATATGAGCAAAAAAGATATTTTTTTCAAACGTCACAAAAGTATTAATTTTTGCGACGTGATTGACAATATAAAAGTCATTTTAACGCCTAGGCATAAAAGTACGAAAATATATTATGAAACTGACATAAAGTGTCAAATTCAACGAGCGTAACTATAGTTTCTCGATATGTAATTACATACAAGGTATGACTTTAAAATCTTTTTATATTATTTGGAACGTTTGAAATTGTTTAAAAATTATTTGTGGCGTTTGAAAAAAATAGCATGTTCTATTCGGAGTAAAAATGACTTTCTGTGCCTCGCCTGTATGTCAAACGTACAGCCTAGCCACAAAAAGTGTCATTTTTACTCCTAATAAAACAATATACTATTTTTTAAAAAATAAATAACTCGGGTATTTTATTTTGAACTCATTTAAAAAACTGTAAAGAGAAAATATGTTTCTTTTTTTCGAGATCCACCAACCCTGAAAATATTTGCACTCATATAAGACTCACCCTGTACATTCATTCATATTTGAAGAAAACAATCGAAATGAGTTAAAACAGCCCACCTAACCTCACAAAAACTAACCAAACGTAAATTCCAGATGATGGTGGGTAGAAGTGAAGCCCCGCCCCCTTACGAGAGCTCCGCCCCTCCTCCTTATACCACCCATAGATCGTTTAACGCCCCCTCAAGTCGCGCACCCCAATACGGCTACCCCGATCCCTCCGACAGACCATTATCACCCCCAGACTCGGACTACATGGCCGCCTTCATTCACCTGGAACTACGCCTGGCGTTCATCAGGAAAGTGTTCTTCCTGCTGGCCCTACAGCTCGTCTTGACAGCTGGCTTTGTTTTTTTCGCCATGCATCACGAGCAAACCAGAATATACATCAAGACCAACGTCCCGATGTCTTGGGTCATGTTCATGTTGTGGCTGGTGCTCTATATCGTTTTGATGTGTTACAAAATCGCTAGGCAACTATTCCCTTTGAATTTTGTACTGTTGTTGCTCTTTACCATCGCTATGTCGTACATTTGCGCTAAAATCAGCCTGGTATTTTCTACCAAAGTCGTCGGGATGACTTTGGCTGGCACGGGATTGATTTGTCTTATCGTGACGTTTCTAGCCTGTCAAACTTGGTTCGATATAACCAAGTGGGCGGCGATTATAGGTATAGCGTCGCTGATTTTGTTGGTTTACGGGGTGGTGATATCGGTTGTTTTTCTATTCACGTATTCGCCGATTATGTGGCTGGTTTATTCGGCATTGTGCACTATGATGTTCACTGTGTTTTTGCTGTACGACATGCAGTGTATATTGGGAGGCAGAAGACACGAGATGGCACCGGACGAGTATATTTTCGGGGCTTTAACTTTGTACGTGGATATAATTATGATTTTCATGTATATGCTACAATTAGTAAACGCTTGTTCGCGATAGCGTATTGTATATTCTGTTAAATAAAATTATGTTCAATGATTCACTTTTTTTTTATTTCAAAGGATTAGTACACTACATCGAATGTATAGAATGTTCAGCCATCGTTATAGATAATAGACAAATTACTGCATATTTTTTTTAGTAATTGTCATTGTCATTTCACTTGTGGTTATAGATGTTAGTGTGTGTTACAGATGATAGATACGACAGACCATTATCACCCACAGACTCAGACTACATGGCCGCCTTCATTCACCTGGAACTACGCCTGGCGTTCATCAGGAAAGTGTTCTTCCTGCTGCAGCCTTACAGCTCGTCTTGACAGCTGGCTTTGTTTTTTTCGCCATGCGTCACGAGCAAACCAGAATATACATCAAGACCAACGTCCCGATGTCTTGGGTCACGTTTATGTTGTGGCTGGTGCTCTATATCGTTTTGATGTGTTACAAAATCGCTAGGCAACTATTCCCTTTGAATTTTGTACTGTTGTTGCTCTTTACCATCGCTATGTCGTACATTTGCGCTAAAATCAGCCTGGTATTTTCTACCAAAGTCGTCGGGATGACTTTGGCTGGCACCGGATTGATTTGTCTTATCGTGACGTTTCTAGCCTGTCAAACTTGGTTCGATATAACCAAGTGGGCGGCGATTATAGGTATAGCGTCGCTGATTTTGTTGGTTTACGGGGTGGTGATATCGGTTGTTTTTCTATTCACGTATTCGCCGATTATGTGGCTGGTTTATTCGGCATTGTGCACTATGATGTTCACTGTGTTTTTGCTGTACGACATGCAGTGTATATTGGGAGGAAGAAGACACGAGATGGCACCGGACGAGTATATTTTCGGGGCTTTGACTATGTACGTGGATATAATTATGATTTTCATGTATATGCTACAATTAGTAAACGCTTGTTCGCGGTAGCGTATTGTATGTAGCATTCTGTTAAATAAAATTATGTTCAATAATTCACGTTTTTTTTTTATTTCAAATGATTAGTACATGAAAAAATACCTTAAAATTTTCATGTACTTATAAAGTCCAATATATTTTGTTCTAGTGGGTCAATCTTTTCAGCAATTTGTAGCTAAATTATCTGACTCTTATAGGCCAGACAAATAGGACTTATTGAAGGGGTGTAACTTGGAAAAAAATGTGTTGAAAAGCTAATTATTGGTCCATTTGAAGTGTAAGAGTAGTATTCTAGGTTTGCACGGTTCTTCGACCGCTGCTCAACTCGGGAAGCCTAGAAGATGTCAAAATTCTTGGATTTTTTACGTTTTCGCCTATAGTTCCCCAACGAGAACGAGGTTGAAGTTGCTGCCACTATTATAGGAGAGGACATACAATACTTACCCAAGCTGGATCATTTTTGCAACTATGTGGAGGAAGCCATTCAAAAATTTCTGAGGCTTCTTATACATACAAAAGTAACACCTAAAAGAGAAGCATACACAACGAATTAATACTGAAGTCACAGTCATTTTTGACCCTGTATTTAGCGCTGCAAGACCATCGACTCTTTCTCGATCTATTAAAGAAATAATATATAGGATGTTCCATTTACAAAAAACGAAGAAAAATTATTCTATATTTTAGAAAGTTTGGCGTAGAATTTTGGACACTCTGTATGATTTGAGATTACGATATTTATAGCAAAGTAAGTATAGACCATCTAAAGTAAATACCTAGTATAGTTTTAATTTCAGGACAGTTCTTGTATTTTTAATATTTTTTTTTAAAAGGCTGAAAAATATATATTTTTTATTTATTTATTAATATTTCTGGAACTATCGAAATATATTTACTCATATCTGACGATTATGTGAAGTGATGTGAAAGTAAGACAAAATTGCCATAATATACGAGGTGTTTCATTTAAAAAAAATAATCCCGATCTACTCACACTTTTTGAGCCATCCTGTAGTAGTTAAAATATTTTTCTGAAATACATTCTAGTTCATACTTTAGGTTCGCACTTAAACAAAATGGGTAAGTTTTTTATTCTAGGAGCTACAGATGCCCGACGCACTGTTGCCGGATCCTGTATAGTCTATTTCTAAAAGCCTGATAGCACAAGACCCTCATTATATTATAAATGCAAAAGGCGCTTTCTTGTATATAGTGTGACACGTCAAAAGATGGGATCAATTTCATTTTAAGGGTATATTAGAATTTAATTCTCTTTAATTCATGTAATAATGAAATATTCGCTAAAACCATAGATTTAGGAAGTAACAGATATCACATTATGCATTTTAACCCGATCAAACATTCGGAGGTTGATTACGTACTGTAAAAATCAATTGAGATAGAGAAGGCGACATTGCCACATATCAAATTTGTGCCTATCTACTTAGTTTGATTTGCAGAAAAGGTTACTTTAAAACCTTCACCGGATATCAATAAATCTCAATTTATTAATTAAATTAATAGTTTATTTTTAAAGGAGCATGCGTAATAATATGTTATTAACCAGAGGATATATGCGTTACTATTAAAAACAGGTTTACTGTTTAATGTGCTGAAACATCTAGAACTATTGGCAACGTCGCTGCTAGTCTACCTGAATGAAATGAGCCGTCCGTCCCACCACCCCTCGCGACGGCCCATGGTCCGTTATAGCGTACTACGTTTAGCTTACGGTGTGTTTGAAGTCGGAATCAAATGCGAAGTGAACTTTTCAGTGTTTTTCAGTAGTTTTTGTTTTTGTTTAATGTACTTTTGAATCTGCGAATTTTCAATATGGTACGACAGTGTCAAATGTGTGGATAAATAAACTCAAATTACCCGATTTGTCTTTTCACCAAGTAGGTATTGTTTCCGCCGCGCCGTAATCGTACATAGGCGTCCCACAAGGGAGCCTCTCACAATTAAAATAATTTCTAATTATATTTGTTGAATTTTGATCTATTAAAACAAGAACGTAGTAGCCGGTAATTGAATTATAATTCGTCTCAATTACTACCTAACTGTTGTAGATCATAACAAATTTGAATATAAACGTTACATTTGAAACTTTATTATAAGCCAGAAAGTGACATTTTTTTCTTAAAATTGCGTCCTATTTTGGTCATTATATACGATATTCTAAAGGAATTTTGCTCAATAAATAAACAAAGGTGTTTACCTGACCTTTTTACATTTTATTGCTTTATTATATCTGCCCCTTCGGCCCTGTTTAGACAATTTTTTACCACCGTACAAATACATCTTCCTAGAGTTATTTGTACGGTGTGTTTAACTTTTTTTAGAATGGGACGAACCGTAAATAATTCTTAGGCTACTAGTTTTATACATACCTATATAGAGAGCGACCCAGGCCTCCAAAAAAACTTTTTACCTATTACGTTTTTGGTTTGTGATTTTTACTTCAATTTTTTACATAAGATGGGGGCCATTGTAACGCACATTTTCAAAATATTTTTGTCAACATACAGGGTGATTCAAACCGCAATACATATGCTAAATACAGTTCATGAAGATTAGGACATTTAACTAAAATTTGATTATCTGATGAAGCTACCTTTAAAATTAATGGATTTGTCTTATATTTTCAAAGTAAAATCTTGTCTTATATTTTCAAAAAAAAACACAATTTTCTCATTAAATATTGATTTTAGGTATAGGAAGTTATTAATAATACAAGATTAAACAACTATTATACAGTACTTCACAGGAAGCTATCGATTACGAACTAACTAAAAAAAGGTAAAACTAAAACCTTAACTATCATTTGAGATTAAACGGGAAGTTCTAAATAATGTTGCCTATTCTAAACAAGAAAAATTTATAAGTTAAGTTTTATAACATTCCTAATTAAATTTGGGCGAAAAGAATATTTCTGTTTGCTGTAGGTAATTTTCTCAGGGAAAATACGTAAATAAAAATGACTTTTTAAGTCAAAAAAAGTCAAAAGGACAAGTTATTCTAAAAAAGGACTATCCTATTCAAAAAAGGGCAAGTGGCAACCCTAGGTATTTCTGGAATGGAAATTTAATGGCAAATCTACAACTTTGGTTTGAAAATATGTTTCGGCCACCTATGTTTACAAAAATGTCTAAAATGTGCCTAAATGCCTACATATTCTGAAAAAAAATTGAAAGAAGAGCCACCAATCACAAACCTAATATAGAACTGTTTCGGAAGCCTGAGTCACCCTGTAAATATTCAAAAGTAACTGAAAGTTTATATAGAAATAACTGAAAGTTTAAATTGAAAATCGACGTTGGAGTGATTTTCGAAAACTACTAACGTTTCAACATAAGTATATGTGGGATATTAATTGTATTATTATATTAGACCTTATAACAAAACTCATCTGACGAAAAAGTGTTAATGTAGTATATTAATATGGAGTAAACATTTTACTAATTACTTTACTTTTACTTTACTAATTAAATTCGTTCCAAAAAACGATACGCCACTGGCCATTAAACAATCCCAAATGCGCCTAGTTGCCGGGGTCGGAAATTTTAGACTGCTCTGTCTCTTCTGTCCTTGTTTGACACATTGGAATGTTTGATACACTACCAACGAGTATTTATGAATGAGATGTTCGGTCTATCTTTATAATGTCTTTGGCTAAAACGTAACGTTTCGGAACTTTTTTTGGGCCTCCTCAGTCGAGCGGCGGTCAAGCAACCGTGCCAAACCTAGGAAACTTCTCTTTCTCCCCAAATGGTCCAATCAAAACAATAATTACCTTTCCAACACTTCCAAGTTACCCCTTTAAGTCCTATTTGACTGGCACATAAAGAATCAAATAATTTAACTATAAATGGCTAAAAAAATCTCGGATATGTTTAACCTTACTTTAACAATGGCACATGAAAAATCTGTTTCGTTTATGTATGTATAACTTAAAGCTGTGGAGGAGATTTTGTTTATGGAACTTACCTTAATTCACCATAATGAACATTCGGTGGCAGTTCTGGATATTTATCCAAAACGTCATAGGCTACGTTATCCATGTACCATTGGAAACTCTTGCAGTTTAACCTAAAATATTATTTTATACCCAGTTAATGCATAATAACTATGAAAAAGTTTGATTCAGAAATTTTCATTTTAATTTTTTCCTGGAAATCTGAATACAAACTATAACTAAACAAAAATATTTTACCTGTCTTTCAAGGCGAGTTGTTCAGTGATATCGCCCATATCCAGATATTTAGCCATTGGTTCTCTTGTGTAGAAATATTCCTTGTATTTGGCATCAAACCACGTTTCGATAACCCTCTTATAATTAATTGTAATTAGGGAACCTTTTTTCTTTTGGGCCAACTTGCCGAAATTGTAAGGCATAAAACTGCGATAGACATGACCTAAAATTAATTACTATAATAAGTTTATTAAGTCTACTCTCATTTTCTTTTAACTAAAAAAAAGTCAAAAACTAAACTGTCCTAAAAAGTTTGATTTAGTGGTTCCAAAAATCGTTCCAATATATTTTTAGAAACTTAATTGGTTGTACATTATATTGGCATGTGAACCCCCAAATCTAATGCCCCTTTTTGGAAAAAAAACTAATTTAACGGGTACCATTTAAAAATCAAAAGCTGTAATAATTTCCGGTAAAAAGTCAAAACAAATTCGTGGTACGAAAATTGTTTTTTATGACGATGAGCAAACGAGTAAATTTTCTTGTGCGCAAAAATAAACTCCCGTTTAAACAGCGTAATAAATTTTAGAGGCCATAAGTGGACGTGCTTGTGTGCAAACTAGTCACCTAACTAGTGCGCGACTCCGAAAATTGGAACCACAAAAAACAATACTTTTGACGATAAGTTTATAATCTGTATAATCTGTGATATAATGCTGTTTTAATATAAATATTATTTTCAATTTATTTCTGTAATCTGTACATTTTTTGTTTCCGCAATATTCCTGCTTAAAAACTTTTTTTTTAATTTTTATATACACACTTTTATGCAAAAAAAAAGAAAAAAAATTGAACCTAACCAACAATTTGTGTGGTTTATTTTTGTTTACATCTTTGAATAAGAAAACTAAGGAAGGAGCATATCAAAAATATTAGGTACACCGCGATGGGCCTCAAATATGGCCGACTTAAATTCCGGTTTATCAGTGTCGTTCTAATTTTATTTAAAAAATGTAAAACTATGATGTAGGGTAGACGTGGGGTAGACTCAATAATTTGTTGTTTTATTTTACGTTGTGAATAAATGTTGGTAGTTATTAAAATTGTTATAAAATATATAATTCTAATAAAAATAGATAAGTTATAATAAGTATTTATTACCACAAACATCCGATACGCTACTGAAGCAGGTAAGTCAAATTAACGTATCTAAATTCTTTGACATCTAATCTTTGACAAGTAATAAATAAAAGCTAAAATGCAAGAAAAATGTATAATTTAGTTAATTTAAGTGAATTTCATAAATGATCGGTTTACTACACGTATGTATATTATATGTATAGTCACTTACTAGCGAAAAGTTGTTCCATTATTTCACTCAATTTTTACCGAGATCTACCGCACGCTACACAACCAACTATTTTAGAGTCTTTTTCGATAAATCGCGATAGTGTCACTGTTAATTTAAGTGCTGCCACAATTTCCATCTAGATTTACTACCTTTATACAACTATCAGTAGTAGAATAAATAATAAATAACATAAAATAAGTTCCGTAAAGACTGACAAATCCACAAAATTTCAAATCAAATTCAAATGTGTCAAATGAATCGTCAAACAGAACTGTCAAGGATCCCCACCCTAGAGTGCTTTTATGGTGCTTTTTCCGCCCACCATGCATGAATACATGGATAGCATTATGCTCCTTCCTTAGTCTTCTTATTCAAAGGTTTATATGTTTTGTTCATTATTTATAGTGATTTACAATAATTTTGTTAAATTATACGAATATTCTCGTTGATTATTGGTTTAAAATAAATATGACAATGTCCTCCAATAGAATGCATAGAGAAGCTGAATAAATTAGGCAAAGAAAACAAAGTCCTCCTACACTGGGTGCCTGCTCACCAAGGGATAGAAGGCAATGAAAAAGCAAATAATCTAGCTAGGAAAGGAGCGAACACTCCACTAACTGGACCAGAACCGTTCTGCTTTCCAAATGGTAACCGACTCAAGGCGGAACTCAAGAACTTGGAAGATTCCATCCGCAACCTGGAATGGAAATCTTGCAATGGTCTAAGACACTCGAAGAAGTTTCTGAGGGCTTATGATCAAGAAAAATCACAGATCTTCCTGGGTCTGAGTAAGAACAATCTTCGGATTGTCACGGGGTTTTTAACAGGACACTGTCTCCTCAATGAACACCTCAGTAGATTGAAACTAAGAAGAAACGGCGAATGCAGATTCTGTGGGGAAGATGGGGAAACACCAGTACACCTCATCACTGAGTGTGCCGAGACGACAACCATTCGTGCCATGAATTTTGGTACGACTGATATTGGAGATGGAGAACTACCCTCTATAAAACCGTCCCAGATACTGGCTTTTGTCAAAGCCCTGGGACTGTATGATGAGCTATGATTCAAGAAAGGGGGACACAATGGATCTGTAAGGTCGAAGTGATTAACCCCCCTCCCACTCATTCTAAATTCTAATTCTAATGTCCTCCAATGGAAAGGTGAGTATACTCTGTTTTTTTTCTCAGGTAAGATTTCGACAGACGATGACAGAAGAAAAGCAGATGACGTCCCATACCAATCTATTTATTTTACTAAAAAAAGTTTCTAATAATTTTTAAGTTACCTATGGATGGGTTTAAATATAAATCCGTCATGCGTCGTGTCTTGTTGTTTTTAACCAGTTTTATTGGTTTATTTAAAAAATGACAGATCGTAATTCAATTTTATTGGTTTGACGGAACGACGAACGACAAACGAACGCCGATGCGTATGAACATGCCTTTAGATTTTTGTCATTTTTGACGCTTGTCAAAGTCTTGCCAAATTATAGGTTATAATTTTGTGTCAACTTTTGTTAAATACCCTGCGTTTTGGAAGATGATGCATTTTGATTCGTATTATTACGTGTGTTTTGTGTCTTTTGAAGTTAAGTGGAGGAAAAATCGAGTGAAAATTTACTGTAGACCCAGAGCACAGTTTATGGTTAATACTCGCTGCTCAGGCAGAAAGTCTTATATACCAATGAAGTTGCCATCGATAAAGTTTGTATACCATTTCGTCGTAGATAAGTGCATCTCGTATATGGTAGAAGGATCAAACTAAACACATATTAAAAACTGGAGTAGCTGTAAAATATCGACATCACACGATAGGTAAATAATGGATTTTAGTACTGCAGAAAAATAATGTCAAAAGGTACTGGTTTAAAAAAATTAAGATAAGTAATAATTAATAAGTTAATTAATCAACTTTTAAGGTATAAAATTTGGTAGGTGTTATTATTAATAAAATAGTTTGTTTTATTTACCTATGTTGTTTTATTTATTCCTGTGGAATATTACAAATTTGTATTTGTACATAAGTTATATTGATAAATATAATCATAAATGCGGGTAGTTTCATAAAGCTTGAAAGTAAATAATAGTTCTTTTTTATATTTTTTTGGTATGTAGTGTCTTGTTCTTGTTTGTTATGTATTAACACATACCGTTTTTATTAAATAAAATAACTCAATTACATTTTTTCAGTTTTATACAGTTTTTTTCACAATATTTTGAAGTAATCACTTGTCAATCAAATTTTAAATATATCCTGCTATGCGTTCCAGTTGTACCAACTTATTTCTTTGTAAAATAAAATAACTACTTTGAAATTAAAATGACAGACACATCTATCACTGTCAAGGATCTTCTCGTTGGACAGACTATAGCTTAACTCTAATAATTCTAATTCTGTGCTAGCAAATGAGCTAGATGCTTTGCCTAAACCGTTATTCAGAAGCTACAAACGATATACACATCTATCGATAAAAATATGCATGAAAATTTACTTCCTAACACACAAAGGAGGATACCAGAGGATATCGGTACACAGGTACAGTATCAAGTTTATTATGATTTTCTTAGCTTTAAATTAAATGTTTTTTTTTTGTGTTGCACGATCGTGCGAACCTTACCACTTTTCATCTCGCTAGCTCGTGTGTCACGGCTTTGAATTTTTACTCCCAGCGCGCGTATAGAAGTTTTACTTCAAAAAAATAAAAACACGGCTTTTCAACCCTGCTACTGACTATAAGTATAATACCCCTGTTTATACAGGGTGTCCGAAAATTAATGCAACAAAATTTGGTCATAGATTCTTGAAGAAAAAATAGGCGACCCGTATTTTTTATTTTTGGCCAGTGGCCCCCCTTTTCGGATTTACAGCCCCCTGAATGTCGCCCCTAAAAAGCGTTTTTTTTTAATATCTCAGGGCCCTGTTGGACGAAAATCACTAAATTTGGTACACGTTGTTTTACCATAAAATGACATTTTTTGACGCTATTAACTTTTTTTTTATTTTCATCAGTGGCGTCCCTACGGTATTTAAACTAAATATTATTGAAGAAAAAAATGGTACGCCACTGTTTTTTTTTTAAATAAAAATTATTTTTAAAATCTACATTAAATTTGGTACAACTTTATCTCTTGACTTTTTTCTTTTTTTTTCGTACGACGCACCGTTTTCGCGTAAAAAAATAAAAACCATTTTCATACTTGACTAAATCGCTAAAATTTTACCGTAAATTTCAATGGCAAAATTTTCAAAACGGCAAACTTAAGTTTAAAATAATTTTTTATTTTACAAAATTTTGTTTTTATTACCTAAGTGCAAACCAAAATGTCCAAAAATCTAAATTTCCGTTTTTTAAATTCTGCTATGAAAATTTGCATTAAAGTTGTAGTGATTTGGTAATGTGTGAGAATGTACGAAAAGAAGTCGAGAAATAAAGTTGTACCAAATTTAATGTAGATTTTAAAAATAATTTTTATTTAAAAAAAAACACTGGCGTACCATTTTTTTCTTCAATAATATTTAGTTTAAATACCGCAGGGACACCACTGATAAAAATAAAAAAAGTTAATAGCATCAAAAAATGTAATTTTATTGTAAAACAACGTGTACCAAATTTAGTGATTTTCGTCCAACAGGGCCCTAAGATATTAAAAAAAACCTTTTTAGGGGCGAAATTCAGGGGCCTGTAAATCCGAAAAGGGGAGCCACTGGCCAAAAATAAAAAAGACGGGTCGCCTATTTGTTTTTCAAGAATCTATGACCAAATTTTGTTGCATTAATTTCCGGACACCCTGTATATTAACTATTATTACTGTTGAGGGTTGGAACCTTTGGTATTACACAGCAAAATAAAACACTAAATCACCACTATAAACCAAAACACTTTTACTTTTACACCGGACGCGCCTTTCGCTAACCATGTTAGCATCATCAGCAGATGATTAAAAACAGTTTCCAATCATCAATGTTGTGGTGAATGAGTGTTTTATTTTGCTATATATTAACTAGTTATGCAGCGTGAGTTAGTTTTGGGAGTTCATTGATAGATGGCAATGAGAATTGCATCGCGGGTCTTTCAAAAATTCGAAAAGAACGGTAAACTAATAAGAGTTATTAACCTAATAAGTTTACCGTTCTTGCGATTGTCCCACTTAGTTTGAAATTCGAATTTTTGAAAGACCCGCGATGCAATTCTCGTAGCCATCTATCAATGAACGCCCATAACTAACTCACGCTGAATAACTAGTTAATATATAAACAAGGATAATACTCACCGACTCTTGAACACGGAACCCATTCAATACTACCCCCGCACTGCCAAATCTTGAAACTGAGCTCAAAGTTCTCCCCACCCCACACCAGCAATCCTGGATCGTAGGATCCGATCTCCAAAAAGAACTTCCTGTCAATGGCGAACAATCCTCCAGCATGCGTAGGACTTTTATAGGGCTCGCTGTTGTATTTCCGCTTCTTTAACTCCCTTTGAGGCACCTCATTTTCTTTGTAGAGCATACCCCACTCGAAGATGCCTCTGAAATGGCGGTCTTCGCCGTATACCGGGCGATACTCGAAGGTTTTGTGGTCAACTCCGTCGATTATGGGGACTGTCATGGTGGAACGGTCCCTGTATATCGGGGCAAGGAGAGGGGGTAGCCAGTTTGTGTTCACCTCACAATGGGCGTCTGTGAAGAACAGAATTCTATGGTTTATAGAGATTTAATAACACAACACTGGAAATAGTAGAAGAGTATACAGGGTGAGTCTTTCCTAATTTAAATGAATGGAGATTTTGAAGATAATTTTTATGTTAAGAGAGTTCAGTGGTGTACCACTTTTTTCTCCAAAAATATTCAACGTAAAACCAGTATGGACGACACTGGTTGAAATAAGTAAAATTCTTTGTACACCAAAAAAGGTATTTTGATACATAAAAAACGTGTATCAAGATTGATAAAGATATCTATAATAAATTCAGAGTTATTATAAAAAAAAGTTTTTTTTAAAAAACTTTACCACCCTGTATCTCAGAAATTAAGATGTTTAGGACATACATGCATATGAAGTTTTTCTCTTAGAGTAGGTCCAAAAATCACGCCCTTAAATATTAGCATGTCATTAAGGAACACCCTGTATACAGTTAATAACAGAACACTGGAAACAGTAGAAGAATATACACGGTGAATCTCAAATAAACGCGAATATTTTAGAGACCGCAGAAACACGTCTATGAGTTTTTTTCGCGGAAAAAATTGAAAATTTGGAATTTTTCTTAATTATTTGAAAAAACAAGCAATGATCCAGGGGTTCTCAAAATTTAAGCAAAAAATATTGATGATGATAGATGATAAGCAAAAAAGAAATGAGGGTAATGATGATTTTATAATAAAACCTTTTAAAGCCACAAAAAATGGGAAAATTAAACATAAACCAGACACGCTCAAAACGTAAAAAAATGAATAAAATTATTAAATTTAAATCACTCTCTTTATTTTGGAGTTATTTGAAAAACAAAAACCAGAAAATATGCTTCAATTATCAAGATCTAAACACCTGAAAATATTGCTAAATATTTTAAACAAATAAATAAAAATAAAACTCTTACCTAAAAATACTATAACTTCTCCTTTAGCCTCCACAGCCCCCCTTGATCTAGTTCTGATCAACCCCTCCCTCTGAGCGTTCCTGATCAGCCTCACCTTACCGTCAAACTGATCAATATACTTCTCCAAATCGTACTTCAGATTTTCTTTGTCAGAAAAATCATCCACCAACAAGATTTCTTTCAGTATATAACTCGGTGTGCGGTTCAGAACACTGTGTACTGTCCTCAGCAAAACTGACCAACCTTCATTATGAAATACTATTATCACACTGGTTGTTGGTAGATTGGTTGGATACTTCCAGTGTTTACACTCTTCTAATCTAGTGTCTAAAATTGTTCTGTCTAAGGATATTTCATCTGAACATGCAACATTCATTCCATAGTCTGATTCTGATTGATCAGCATCGTTTTGCTGATCCTGCCTCAAATGATGGGGCTGTCCTTTCTCTCCAGGGCCATCCCTGTCCTCTATTTCAGCTGGTTCGAAATTACCCAGCCCTGAGACCAGCTTAGGCACCTCTTTGTCTTTCTTATCCTGCATAAAACACAATAAATCTGATTATGCATTGTCTTGAATAGTATTTTAAGGAAAACAGAGTTTTCTAGATACCTAAAACTTGACAAGTACTAAAAAATAAGTTACTTACTTGTCTTAGTTGTGCTGATAATGGAGAATTAAAACTACTACTAGAATCTTTATCATAGCTTGCTAATAAGTAAATTATAAACACTAGAAGGATGAAAAAAGCTATTAGCCTAACTGTACGCAGTCTTCGGCTTAAATATATAACAAAAGACATCTTTTTTGCCTCAAATTTTCATTCCTTAATAAGAATATGGGACCTGAAAACACCTAAAAGAATAACAAAACGTCTATTTTTAATTTAATTATAATTATTATGACTGGTGAGGTATTACCCAATGATCCAAAATTACCGTAAATTGGAAATGCTTTATATTATAAATATATTATAAAAATAAGTCTGTTTTTTAAATAAATTTATGTTAAAAGATGTTCTTGCACTGCACACGTAAACAAACCCGGTCCTGATGACATCAAAATATGATTTTGACATTCAAAGTTCAAAGTTAAATGCCAAATATACAAGAAAAATTATGAATATTTTAACTCTGTTTTAAACTACATTTTATCAACCCAGATAATACTAAAAAAGGCAAAATTCTGTAGTTAAATAACTATATAATTTAAGTAATAAATATCTTTTAAAAAAGTTTTTGAATTTGAAATTTTATGATGTGTCAAGAACTGCATACTAATAATCTGTGGTTTTTTGACTTTGACAATCAGCTGATTTTTAAAACAAGTGGATATGGAACCTTGAAGAAATCCAATTTTTCTTGCTAATTATGTTTACTATTGTGACATACCCTATTGAAAATTTCTAAGCACAAGAATAAAACATGATATCCTTAGAGTAACGCATTCAGTTTCGTGATATTTCTCGTAAGATAACGGCTAAAACATGGCTTCTTCGATCAACACGGTTCCTTTGTTACAAGAAGATGATTCAGATAACGAGAACCCAGAAAGTTTAGCTCTTGGAGACAACATACCTTTATATAAGCCTTTGGAACCGAAAGACAAGTTTTACACAGTTTACTTTATATTTTATCTTTTAGGAATCGTAACAATTTTACCATGGAACTTCTATATCACTGCAAACGATGTAGGTTATCATTTTGAAGGTTTTTGATTACCACTGAAATAAAATTTTTTAGTATTGGATGTATAAATTTAGAGATATTCATAGAACCAATGTTACAACAGCAAGTGAAGTTACAAATAAAACACAACTGCAAGCTGAATTCACATCGTACATTAATGCAGCTTCTGCTATACCGAATCTTTTATTTTTAATTCTGAATACAGCTATAAGTCACAGGTAAGTTCTGTAATAAGCTCTTTTTAGTACTGTAATAGATATATTTTAGGGTTTCTCTTAATAAAAGGATTCTAGGATCTCTAATTTTTATGTTCCTGTTTATGATAGAGACTTTAGTCTTTGTGTTGATAGATACAGATGAATGTAAGTACCACAGAGATAGTTAATATACCGTGTGTTGCATCGTCGACCTGAGCATAGGAAATCCCATGTAAATTTTAAAAATAATGAATATAATTTCCCCATTTAAAATTTAGAAATAAACTTCTCTGTTAAGCAAATGGTTAGTTTTTATTTATCATTTTTAGAACTTACATGGGATTTCCTATAATCTGTTCAGGTTGGCGATGTAACATGTAACACACTGTATAAAGACATACATGTTTGAAACAGAATTATTTCAGGGCAGTACATGTTTTTTCTGATAACATTATTAACTGTGGTATTACTAAACAGTAAGTATAATT